GGTAACTCAAAAGACTTACGGAGCTGCAAACAACAGTTGGTCATTGCAGAATATCTGGCTAGCGTGCAAAGAAAGTAGTGTCTGTTAACCTCTGGTACCAGTGGATTTTGCTATCAAGCTAGTGAATTCTGTTCTTATCTTGCCCAAAGGACAAGTGAAGTTTTGGGGGGAATTTAAAGTGCAGAAAAACTGTAATCAGTGCTCATCAAAAATGTTTTTCAGGCTAGTTGAAGTGAATTTTGACTGGTACATGCTCGCTACAGCTTGCCTGAATGACAACCTGTAGAACTGACTAAGATTTGCCGATTGTCTGACAAAATCCTATTTGTATTTGGACTTGATAACCAGATTATAACCAGACAGATCAAAATACAAACGGCAGCATTTTTTAAGACAACAGAGGCACCATATACAAAGATAAAGGCACCAGTTTAACAAAATAAGAGGCACCATTAACAAGTTTAGAGGCAACATATGTGAAAACGAAGGCACCATAAACAAAACCCGGACAAAATTGGAGGCACCATTTACAAAAACAGAGGCACCGTTTATGAAAACGAAGGCACCATAAACAAAATTGGAGGCACCATTTACAAAAACAGAGGCACCATTTATGGAAACGAAGACACCATAAACAAAATTGGAGGCACCATTTACGAAAGTAACGATAACTGAATTTTGGCGGTAATGGCACCCCATAGTTTTTTTCATACATCTAATTTCATGAAGTCGAGCGCAGTTTATCAGCATGTTTGAATTAAGATTTGAGATAATGATCTGACCTATAGTATGAGGTTTGATTTGAGCTTGCAGAACTTTAAAAAGTCTTTAGTCGATATTTTCTCACCGCAAATAGAAAGAAAAAAACGTTGCGTTTTTATTTTGGCTGTAGAAAGAAAGCTTTGAGCAATTTTCTCGCCTCGAGTTCACCTTTGAAAACAGCAAACACCGGGAAGCCGGCTTTAAAACATAAACTTAAGCTCAAGTTCAAGTTTCAAGTTTCAAGTTTATTAAGAAAAATTGAGAAAATACAAAATATGATGTACCACTGCTCGCAGTTAGCTATAGCTATTCGAGGCGAGCAGTGGCTTGACACTAAGTAGAATAATTACAATAACAATACAATTAAAATACTAAGTAGGATTAATTATTATCGTACAATACATTAAAATAAGCTGAATACTAAATACAAAGTGAATAATTACAATTACAATACAATTACAATACTAAATAGAATTAATTATTATCGCACAATACATCAAAATAAGCTGAATACTAAATACAAAGTGAATAATTACAAGTACAATACAATACAATTACAATACTAAGTAAAATTAATTATTATCGTACAATACATTAAAATAAGGTGAATACTGAATACTGACTAGTATTAATAACATTTGGGGAAAAAATGAAGATTCTCAGGAGAAATAAGGCAGATTACATGGGAAGCTGGAAGGATAATGTAAATAGAAAGCTAATAGAATGAACTGAGTTTAGTTTTCAAGACATATTCAAATCCAATAGATCAATATACTCATTCGCCTCCGAGAGTTTCTGAAGGAGCATATTGTGAATGTTGCGTTTAAATTTCACTTTAGGCATTTGACGAATTTCATTAGATAGGTTATTCCAGACTCTAACACCGTTTCTTGAAAAGGACATGTTTAGCTTGTCTAATCTAGAGTATTCGAGAAAGAAGTTGCCTCTTGTTGATGATCTTGTGTTATGTGAATGAATATTATGTTGGTAATGAAATAGATTACTTAATTGAGGTGGCGATGTGTTATTTGAGACGTCATACATTAAGACGGCAACTGACTTGAAGTAAAGAAGATCTAGAGGTAGTAGACTGGATGAAATGAAGAAGGGTACTGCGTGAGCTTTATAATCACCAAAAAACATGAGGCGAAGGGCACGTTTCTGAAGACATAGGATTTTGTTTCGGTGGATTTTGTCTGCTCGGCCCCACGCTGTTATGCCATATAACAAATAGGGTTGAATCAGCGATCTGTATATATGTTGTAAAGTATTAAGTGGTACGAAATGTCTTAGCCTAGCAATAATGCCAATCGATGTGCTTATTTTAGAGGCTATATGTAAAATATGATGTTTCCAAGAGAGGTTCTCATCAATAAGCACGCCTAGGTATTTAACATAACTTTTACGTTCCAAAGATGTGTAAGAGTTGGTATGATGGTTGAATATTTTTAAATTAACTTCGTATTTGACATTTTTTTGTCTTGGTCGAAAAATAACGTAATTAGATTTTTTAATGTTTAGAGATAATTTGTTCGCTATTAGCCAGTCGTAAAGCTTACAGAGCTCATCGTTTACCGTAGATTCCAGGGATTTTAGGTTTTTATCTGAATATAAAAGATTCGTATCGTCTGCGAATAGGTAAAACTTCATTCGGTTACAACTGTTACAAATATCATTTATATAAACAAGAAAGAGCAGAGGCCCTAGAACTGATCCTTGGGGAACCCCAGATAATAAAGTCGCCTTCTTAGATATATTTGAGGGGTCAAATTCAGTTATTTGCTTGCGACTAGTAAGGTAGGAAGTAAACCAGTCATTCACAATCCCGCGTATACCATAATGTTCAAGTTTCTTTAAAAGTATTGAGTGGTCGACTGTGTCAAAAGCTTTTTGTAAATCAATAAATATTCCGCAGGTGTACAGCTTTCTATCCATATTAGCTTTAAGCATAAAGACTCAGGATTCTTAGAGACAATTTAATACTTAATTGTCTTCGTGAATGAAAATTGTTGTCTCTGTAAATGTTTCAACGAATTATATTTCTTTTATTGATTGTTAGTAGTCTCTCTTGCAATTTGCCGTTAATGTTTTCAGTCGTTCATGAACATTACCTTGCAGGAGTACTCAAAACGTCGCGCGTATTAAACGCTTGTTAAGTTTACACATCGTTATAAAACCATTAAATAAAAAAAAAAACACACAATAAATTCTTTACTATGTTGAAGTGTAACTCTATTAATGTTCATTCAAACACTCCACAGCTTGCAACTAGCTGGCCGTTATATAGGTGATTTTGGAAATTTTTATAGCGGTTTCGCTAAAAGCCCACGCGTGCTTCGATCGTCCTGAATATTGAATGAGTGCAATTTGTATTTCAAAACTGTGAAATACTGCATTCTGTCTGAGGTCTGTAAGATAAAAACAGCGCCTCATAGTACTGTTTCGCCTCAGACTGTCAGATGTGATGTATAAAAAGTATAAAAGGTCGGTTAAATTTACACGCCCCCAGATTTGTTAGCAAGATTCTGTAAAGCAAACTTGTCAAACGGAAAAAATTCTGCCGGATTTGCTTTCCAAGTATTTGTTTTCCAGGCCTAATCTACTGTGATCAAGAGCCATTATGGACGTTAAATGTGATCGAAGATGATTGCTATTTTTTGGGTGTACATATAAAGGCCGTCAACTCGATGTAAGGTTTGGTGCACTCTTGGACTGTTAGCAAATTATTTTTCTCTCAAATCACTTAGCCTTAATCCCTCAAAACAAAAGTCACATGAATGTGCTCTAAAGTGAACTGATTTGTGGAATACAAGTTTATTGTTTGATTGAAATTACAAATTTATTAATGGGAGCTTCGCTTTTAGCCCTGGCTAAATCTATATATTACAATAAGCACACCACAAAAGTAAAGCAACTACATTTGAAACAAACTCAAAAATATTTGGACTAACTAATATTTCCCATTTCCTGAGCGTTCGCTGATTGATTCGTGTTTAAATTTGCTCGAGGAAGGTGGAAACTAAGAATTTTTCATATGATACAATTAGTTTTGTCTTGACAGTTTGTTTAAGAGCCTCATGATAGAAATTTTTTGATGGCACCAAGAATCTAGAAGAGAAAAATCAAAGTTAGCTGTGAACAACAATTCACAGTAGACTGTGAACAGTCTCTCTTTTTCTTCAGATTTAGTGAGGGGAGTGCACGCGAGAGCGCACGCGAGGGGAGGCCTCTCCCGTATCGCGCCTTCAGTGACGCGCGTGGTCACTTTCGTCTCTCGCGCGTTTTGCTCGACGGACTAAGAAAAAAGAGGGGCTGCTCGTGGTCTAAGTCCGCGGGACAAAGCAAAATGAGCAAGCAATAATAAAAAATAGCAACTTCACCGGACGACGGAGGGATATTTGAGTCACGTGTACACTACGAGTAGTCCCCATTTTTCCTCAGGGATAGTAGAGTGAGCGAAACGCGAGCGCGCGTGAAAATCACCACACGCGAGCCTTTTCTCGCGTGGGGTGATTTTCACGCGCGCTCGCATTTCGCTCGCACGGCTATCCCTGAGGAAAAATGGGGACCACTCGTAGTCTAAGTCACGTGAGACAAAACGCTCCATTTGTAACTTTCAAATCATTTCGTCAAATTCCAGCCATTCCAAACTTTCTTGCTGTACAAATGGTCGTTATATAATATAAGGTGTTCAATCAATCAATCAATCGATCAACCAATTAATCCATGGACCAACCAACCAATCAATTCATCAATCAATCAATCAACCAATCATTTGACCAGTCAATCAATCACCAATTAATCGCTTGATCAATCAATTGATTGACCAATCTCTTCATCAAACAATCAATCAATCAATCAATCAAACAATAGATTAATCAACCAATCAATTACAAAATCCATCAGATCATCAGTCAATCAATCAATCGATCAACCATCAATCAATCACTTGATCAATCAATCAATCAATCAGTCAAACAAACACTTGATCAGCCAATCAATCAACCAAGCGATCACTCAATCAACGACTCTCTTCGTCAATTAGCCAATCAACGATTCACTTGATCAATCAATCAACCAATCAATAAATTGATCAAACATTTAACCAAGTAACCAAGCAATCACTTTATCAATCGACCAACGAATCTATTCGTTAATCAATCTATCAATCAATCAATCAGCCAATTAATCACTTCATCAATCAATCAATCATCCTCTCTATCAATCAATCAGTTATCTTAATCTTGTTCATTATTAAAAGCAAAGTTGAACCTAACCATTTTGTGATGATGTTCCGGAACACCAGCCTCATTCAATTCCTTCTCATTTAAGTCACCCAGGAATTTCAAGTCATCCCAACCATAATCGACGAGGCTGCTAGTGTACTGGGAGAACCCTATACGCTGCATAAGCTCCTCAACTGTTCGAGGTTTGGACTTCTAAATCACAATACCAAAACAATAGTGGGTAAGACACAATTTGCAATACTGTTTACACGCAATGAAAAATACAATAAACAATATTTTATGGTCATTCAAATCGCCCAGCTAGTTCTTCATACAGCAAATTTTTGAAGACGCTTCCGAGATGCGATAAAGTGGCTTCCACCGAGAAGCCCTGGGGACGAGGTTTACGTTGGCTTAGTTGTTTTGGTATAGGTGGACAACACCCTCCTCGATTTGCGTAATTATTCAGATCACACGAGAGCCAAAGTCATTATTAGTACGTGAACACTAAATGAGGACACCAATTTACGTGTCCTTCTATAGACAGAGCCATCATTTTTACGAAGTCATCCGAGTCACGTGAAGGTGTAGGCGTTTACAGGGCAAAACAGTACCTCCTTCCTCTAAGTTTTTTAAGCCCTGAGACTTGGTCCGGTCTCGGGAATAAAACCCACGATCTTTCGCTTCGCAGTCCAGCGCTCTACGTACGGAGTGGGTTGTGTTTCGTTGCAGGTGCCGCGGAAGGGAAACAACGCGACCGAACGGTTCACTAAGAAGAGAGCTAAGCAAACGCGATGGCGATGGCAACATATACGTCAAAAAAGCAACACGATTAGTAAGCAGCAGAACTCCTCTTCACGTGACGGTTTCACTGCTGTCTCCGTTTTGGTTAATTCAACAGACAAAGGAACGAAAGACAGAAAGACAAATGGAAATTACCTTGACAGGAAGTGGCGGAGGATCTTTCGATGTCTGCAAATCAAAACAGTGAATACATTTTGACACTGAATTATTTAATCTCCATCAAGAGAATCTATGTTAGCTGAACGATTCGTTATTTCATTGCTTTTGTCGGTTATTAGTGTAGGTTTCTGAAGTATGACCATTTACCCATTAACTTAAGACGTCGTTAACAGTATTTACAGGTAAAGGTTCGACATTTATTTCAGCATAGGATGAAATGTTGACTTTGATGGGTTAGTTTTGGAAGTGAAAGAGTTAAACGAAGTACGTCCTACCACTTGGTAGTTTCTACCGTTGCCCAAGCAAGTTACTGATCTTTCCATCCTTCGCCCCCGAAAACCATTTCCCCAAACACCGGGTTCTAAACCTCCAAAATTTTTTTTCGGCCATTCGGGTCTCAGTTTGGTCTAAAAATAAGAGAGGCATCGGGTCCCCCCGGGTCCCTTCCTTGGATCCGCTATCGTAGAGTAAGATACACCATTCTCACCTTTGTGGATTCCGGTACAGGAGCTGAGTGTCGTTTTGGAACTGCTGGGGGAACGCCTAGTGAGGTGGTTCCTTGCCTGTTCCAAAACACGATAATAATTGAACACAGTTAGAGAGGATCAAGGACGCATTTGATCGCAGAGCTGATCAAGTACGTTTTGCGTCTACTGGCTTTTAATTAAGGTGGCTCGCTCCTATTTATATGCGTGTTGGTTATGTTTTTGATTCGCGTTTTTTAGAATGAAAGATTCAACCGATTTCTACGATTTTTTGCATCCTTAATAAACAATGATGGAACTTTAAGAAAATGTTATTTATTTTCTTATAGGTATAAAAACTTTTGAGATATCGGCATATATTTAAAACCTCATTTTTACGAAAAATGAAATTAACTTCGAAATCCCACGACAGATAATAGAGCTAAAGAACTCTGAGGCTTATTTGCTGAAGTCAGGGAAAAATCTGTCGTGGGATTTCGAAGTTAATTTCATTTTTCGTAAAAATGAGGTTTTAAATATATGCCGATATCTCAAAAGTTTTTATACCTATAAGAAAATAAATAACATTTTCTTAAAGTTCCATCATTATTTATTAAGGATGCAAAAAATCGTAGAAATCGGTTGAATCTTTTATTCTAAAAAACGCGAATCAAAAACATAACCAACACGCATGTAAATAGGAACCGGCCACCTTAAGCTTCAAACCGTCATAATAAATCGAATTCGATTTAGTACAAGCTGGAGGGCGGGGGACTCACATCCAGGGGAGATAATAGCAGCGTTCTCCCAAAACTTTAGCTCAGCAGGTAAGGGACCATTCATCGCGGGTAAGGCCAAAAAATGTGCCAGAGGTGCACTTTCCTGGGGCGAGGGGGTAGTGAGGTGAGGGACATGAACTCGACCTCGCCGTGAAATTTAGAAGCTAAGGTCATTCCCACATATTTTACACAAATCAGCCGTTGTTATCTTTAGACAACAATTTAAAACGTTTGATTCCAATAATTTTACTCTGTCTTCAAATGCTCTGTTTCCAAAATGCGTGGCCCAAAAAAAGAGAAAGCTGTGTATACTTTAGTACATGTCCATATACAGCTATTTCGAGAAAGGTTGTCGGAAAAAGTGCACGCGACAACCCCGAGAGGTATTGTGGCTGGTTTTGAGTTCACTCCTCTACAAAGAAATTTGAAAGAATGGCAGGAGAGGCCATGGACATATGTTTGCGAGTGCTAAAGGAAAGCAAAAAAAGCAGGTTCGACAGCTACAGTCGTTAGCTACAGTGTAATGATCATATCCCATATTACCTTTCGGGATTGTCGGGTGCACTTTTTTGGCGACAACCTTTCTCGAAATAGCTGTATTCATTCATTAGCTTGATGGGATCGGATCACAACTTGCGCATTTTTTAAAACAACTTATTTAATTTTAGCAAACCTTCAAGCGGTTGCAGGCGGTAAGAAGTGTTGTTTTAGATGGCAAATTTTAGCAGTTACCACCTGATAACGAGAACATGGTAAGTAGCCGGATTTACAGGTACATGGGCCTATAAGGGAGGGCTTAAAAGGGGCATTTTACGGTACGTCCAGACCTTCCAAGCCCTAAACCATGCAAACATGAAGTGTTTGGAAAAAAGCCCCAAAAAACCTGGATATTAGGACTTCAGACCTGGAGAGTTCCAAAATACCGTATGTATCAAATAAAACCAAAGAGGCAGATTATTTTTGTCATGGTATTCTTTACCCTATAAGTGATCTCTGTTATACTGCCTTGTAGATCTCTTGGCAGCGATGAGAAGATACTGTTTTAGTATCCAGGTCGATAGGAAGGCGAGTAGCCAAATGAGTATGCTATAAGGGCTTTCCCACAGACCTTTGCGAACCTATGTTTTACGGGAATGAGGTTGGAATTGGACTCAGGTCCCCCCCCCCCCCATGATACTACTACATGAGAAATTTCTGCAATTTGATTGGCTTAGAGCAGTGGTATTTCAGCTTAATTTGAAATACCTACATGTGAAAATTACAAACCTTCTGTGGGTAGTAGTATAAACAAACAATAGCATGATTTGTAGGTGATATTTGGCATAAATACCACTCGTGATATTTCAAAATTGTCTCGTGAAATTACGTATAACAATTTCGAAATAACGGTATAACAATTTCGTATGACAATTTCGAAATATCACTACAAATCATGCTGTTACCTATATTAATTAGACTGATACAATATTCGTCCATTATCACGACGGGTGTTTTGAAATAACGCGGTTCCTACCGGAACTGTCTGGCAATTTTAAGATTTTCTGATTCACCGTGAGATTTGGTGGCTAAATCGTGAGACCGTGAGTTGACTGCCCAAACCGTGAGAGTTGGAAGGTCTGCGGTACGCCTTTCCTCGTCACAATTTTATCCGGGGCACAATTTTCTCCAGGTGCACTGTACAGAGAGTTTAGCAACACGCAACAAAATATTCGAAATACGAGTAGTAGAAATCTAACTAACACTTACTTCTCAGGTAACGGAGGAGTCTCTGAAAATCACAGTAAAAACAACAGTGAATAAGTTACACAAACCTCTTTTATAGTGAAAGAAAATGAACCCAGGAGGGAGGGGGTTAATTGGGTCAATTTTTGCTGGGTATGTGCCGTTGCAAATGTAATTTTTGCCATCACAACGTAGTCGCGAATCATCCCATTTTAAATACCTACTTACCAGGATTTCCTTACCCCCAAAATCTCGAAAATGTGCGACCCCATTCTAGTAACTCTGCTGAAAACCCAACCCCATTTTTTGCTGAAAATCCAACAAGAAAGTACCACACCCCCCAACCCCATTCGAGTAAGATGAAAATAAGAGTAATAAGAGTATGACGAAAATCCTAATGACTAAATTGTGATCTTTTACTTTGTATACAGCACCAAATGCAAGTTTCGGTTTTCCCAATATTTAACAGTTTATAAGTTTCTAACCTCTGATTGGTACATGACTTCTACGCTTTGGGGTCTGAGGATACTTCACTGATCCTTTTCTGTTTACTAAAGAAACAGCAAACACCGAATGAAGACAGGCAAACACATCTTAAGTTAAAGAATACAGCAAATTATCGCGTTCTACCTTGAGCGCACTCCTACGCCCCATAGACGCCAAAGCTTAAATTCGTTCGTACTAGAAATTGCTTCCCGTTGACAGATGTTTTGCCAACAAACAAATTTTTGCGTAGTGCGAACAAGGCCTTAGACAAGGTTCAGGCGGCCTGCGCGAGATCGATATAGTCCTCTTTTAAAGTAAACAAACTGAAATATTTTGGAAAGGAGACGATTTCTGTTAAAGAAATGGCCCGTTAAAATAAAACGGAAAAGAACTCGATCGACATCGCATTCACATCCTTACACGACAATGCAAACAGCCGTGCGTACGGTTTTTAGCAAATGTGTTTGTTTGTTTTTCAGTTATTATTAAATGAAGATTGGATGCGCAAACAATTTGCACTACCTACCCTCTTCAAGAACTTCCTCTTTAATAAGATCTAAGAAAAAGAATTAACAAAATAGTATTAAAAATGGCCCAAAAACTTGAGAGAACTCTCCCATTCTTATGAAATGGTGTCCTTATACATACATTAGCGACTAGATACACTTTTTACAGGTAGCCATTACTACTCCTAAGGAGGATAGAGGTTACAGTCAACTCTCTCTATTACGGACACCTTTGGGACTGGCACTAAGTGTCCGCCTTAGAGAGGTGTCCGTCTTATAGAAAGTCAAATAAAAGGAGTAAAGAAAGGCAGGGACCAACTCTAAGTGTCCGTCTTATAGAGGTGTCCGTCTTATAGAGGTGTCCGTTTTACAGAGGTGTCCGTCTTATAGAGGTGTCCATCTTATAGAGGTGTCCGTCTTATAGAGGTGTCCGTTAACAGAGTGTCGACTGTATCCCTATATATATTTATCCCAAATAGGTAAATTTATGTATCTTTTTGAAAGAGGCTTCCTTCCTAATTATTTTGGTGATATGTGTACTATTGCAAGCCAGATACATTCTTATAATACAAGAAATTCCAGCCTTTTCTATATACCTCTTTGTCGAACTAATTTTCGAAAATTCTCAATTCGGTTTCAAGGTCCTACGTTTTTCAACTCACTAAGTCGGGAAACTCAAAACAGTGAAAGTATCAGTTTGTTTGGCAAAAGATTTAAAAAATTCCTTCTTTCTTAGTTAAATTGACTCTTTGTTGAGCCACACACCTTTTCGTTTTCTTTCTTCTCTTCTCTTCTTTTCTTTTCTTTTTTTTTTAATTAATCCCAATTTTCATTCAGTACCCTTAACTTGCATGATTTTCCCTACAGTTCCAGGAAGCCTATAGTTTATAAGCCCCCGGCTTCTATATTGGATTCCTTGCCTTTTCCACTTTAAACATTTGATCTGGTAAATAATTTAGTTGGAATATTGCATATTATCTTTAATGTATTTGTATTTTTGGTTAATGGCAAGAACGAACGAGCGAACAAACGAACGAATGAATATTAAGATCTCTCTTTAGAAACACATGGACTTATTCTTAAAAATGCAGTTCATATTCGCTAGAGGAACGCATCTGGGCTAAGGAAAGCAATGTTACTCACTTAGATCGCACAATTTTTAGAAAAGTTTCATACTCTACAGGACATCCAATCTTATCTATAATGCCTCGTGTCAAACTGTCTACCTACCATACTATGCGTTTTAAAAACTCTTTTACTAACCGTTTAGTTTTTAAATACGAACCATTGCCACTCACGATAATAAATTGTCATTAAACACGATATTTCGACCGCTTTCTGCTGTTCTTCATCGACGATGGTACCGATTTGCTTTGCGCACTATAAAAAAGCACCCTGGTTGTGAGTAACTGGTGCATTTCGAACCTCACTCATGGCTGTTGAATTCTTCTATTGCCTTATGAAGAACAGCAGTACAAAGTCGAGACGCCGCGATCAATGAAAGAGTGATTACGGTGAGATAAACGGTAAACGGTAAACGAGCCCTGTCATACACAAATCAAGATAAATATTACTTTTTATCATTCTCTCAAAACAATAATAAGACCTCACAATAGACGCTTGTAATGGCCGCCTATAACGACTGTTTGCCCGCTCAAGGCCCATACGACATTTTTATCCCATCAACACTCACACGCATACTGACAAATATGGGAGGGTCTCTGTCCATGATAGGGATCTTCGATCCCGTTTCCCGACCTAAAACTTCGCGTAATCCCGATGGTTATGTCCCGTATCCCGCATGCAATGCATACTATCAACCCCGAATCTCGTCCCCATTTTGCTTTAGCTTTCCGAATACTGGCCTTCAAATAAGACAAATCCCGCATCTCGAAAACCCTATTATGACGGTTTGTGTGAATTGGGCCCATAGACCTTTTAGCCTGTATGTTTCAGACCACGTGTTGTCACCTTAGGTAACTGTTGCTTTTAAATGTCGCCCTATCCGCACGGGTATGTGTGCGTAATTTATGAAACGACATAATAACATCACGTGGTTTGAATTGGTAAAATAAAACACAAGCTAAAAAGGTTTGTTGAGGGAAGCATTTGAGAATCTGAGACCGATTACTTTCAAAGGACCTGTCCCTTTAGCCCCAAAGAGAAAACTTTCAATTTGTTTTGAAGGGGTGCCAGCACTTGAAACGTGAAGTTTTGAATTTCTTCCATGTGGAAGATTTATTAAATCATTTTGTTACATAGCTAGAAATTTCTTCTCAACAGCACGCGGTCTCATTGGTTACTTCGAGATCACATGACATCTAACAATAAAACTGTTTCCCGCCAAAATCTCTGAGCGGGTAACATTGCAAAAATCTATGACGTGAGAGGGTAACAATGCAATGTTACCCGCGAATGATGACCGATGACCGCCGTTACAGCGAGGTTTAATGAATTTCCAGCCTCAAACTTCCGAGCAATATAACAAATCACTTAAAGACTGGTCCCTCGTGAGATTCTCGAGAAACAAAATTAACTGTTTCCCTCGCGACCAGTCATTAAGTGTTTAGTGTTTCGTTCCCCCAAACATGACAGTTCCCTTTGAATGTAGCCCCTTTTTCGTATTTTACGTATATACAGACTACAGTAGTCTGCCATCAGCTGTGCCTTACCAAGGGGCTTTGGAGATTCCGGCATATTGTTGTTGTCTGGAACCTTGACATGCATCTCCACTCTGAGAAACAAACGGACGCATGACCACGTTGTGTTGGCTGTATGATAGTCAAGATATAAGTGTTATTGTCCAAGCATGAGGTTAACATGGTTGGATATTGGCCACGTTATTTTTTGACAAAGTCGAGGTCAATTACAGTAAACGCAAAAAAGGGCGAGGCCAATTTTCAGCCATCCTGACCGAACAAGCGTGGTCAATAACGGATTTATCATATGACCAAACAAAGAACTTTTTCTTGCGGGACCAACGTGGTGTATTACAAGGGAGCTTAAGCAACGACTACGGCGACGGCAATGAGAACGAAAAAAATGCAATGGGTTTAGATTAGCAAAACAACATCTCTGCACGTGTATCACGCTCTTTTGTACATTTCTTTGCCATCGTTGTACGACTACAGCGTGAAAGTACCTAATTTCACGTTTTGTCGAGGACGGAAACACACGACAACAACTTTCTTATTCTTTTCCTGAACTTTGATATTCAACTCCCAAAAAGTTGCCAACATCTCCACGTTTTTCAGTTGCTTTGTAAAATGTAGAATCCCTTGACTTGATATCAAATATCTTGCATGACTTTTTGTGCGATTTTATTTTACTATATGTATATACTACTATGTATGTCAATACTTGTTGTGGCAAAAAAAAAAAAGGCCAACATTTGGCGAATTAAACGACATGGAATAAGCGCGATAAAGTTTGAGGCAGCGCGAATTCACTTTTTAAGGGACGTTTTCGTAACCGTCGTCTCCCGTGTTGCTTAAGCTCCCTAATGTAAAAAAAGTGAAGCGACCTTTAAAAATGGCACCGCTCTTGCTTTTTTGCTCGTCGGCTCTGATCATACAAGCGTCTGAGGTTCATAATGCACAGTTACCTTACCATTGTTCTTGCAGTTTACTGTAATTACACTATTGCCATTTTTTTAAAAGAAATAGCGAGAACTCACGTAATTTCTCCCGTTTTTTCCCCAAGGTGAGAAAGTACAACCCCTCGTATCCGCTGTGGAATTACATTAATCATGGTCCTTAGGGCTATACAGCATTCTCCTGTAGAATGAAAAAGAATTATCAGTATCAACTGGTGGTAATCACAGATTAGAGACCTTTAGCATCAGGTTTTTCATGGCAAACCGCATAACGCAGTTTGCAGTTACGCGTTTGCAGTTTCACGTTACCGAGATTTCAAATTTTAGCAAGACGTTCAGTTCAGTTCAGTTCAGTTCAGTTCAGTTCATTTTTATTTAGCCAAAATATAATACAATACAAGAATACATATAGGAATTGAAAGGTTGCAAGGCAGCCCAGAAGAAACCAGGAGGGCTTATGAAGCCTGGGCTTCCCAGTCTCAAAGAAATAAGTAAAATAAAATGAAATTCGCGGAGTTAAAAATAGGAGCTAAACAGAGATTGAGTTAAGTTATGAATTCAGTAACAAGATAGAAAAAAAGTATTTAGAACTGGAACAGCAAACTTTCTTATATTCGTACGGCAGAAAGGAATATAAAATCGATTTGAACTACGCGTTCTTGTTTAGTGCCACCATGTTGTTTTTCCTCAAGTCGAAGTGCAACACTTTAATCGCCCAAAAAACAGGAATAATTCATTGATTCGAGATCAAAAATCCAACAAACACATCGCAAACGGATATAAATACGGATATAAACACCGCCACCTGGTAAGCTCAGTTGGGATAGCACCGGTCTGTGGAGCAGGAGGTCGCGCGCGCGCTAGTCCAAACCCCGGCTGGAAGAACACTCAGGGTCGTTAAATAGCTAAGAAGAAAGTGCTACCTTTACAACAACATATGCAAACGGCTAGACTTTCTAAACTTTCTAAACACCGCCGCCCGGTTAGCTCAGTTGGATAAGCGCTGGTCTGCCGAGCGGGAGGCCACTGGTTCGAATCTCGGCCGGACCAACACTCAGGGTCTTTAAATAACTGAGTAGAAAGTGCTCCCTTTGTAAAGACATCTGCAAACGGTTAGAGTTTCTAGTCTTCTCGGATAAGGACGATAAACCGTAGGCCCCGTCTCACAACCCTTGCATATATAAATTCTGTGGGACGTTAAAGAACCCACACACTGTTCGTAAAGAGTAGGGTACGTAGTCCCCGGTATGGTGGTCTATCTCTCATTGGGGAAGGGACAGTTACAGGCCCGCAGTAATTGGCGTCATGCTGTTGCGGTGACCCTGTCAATAATTGGCGAATCTAATAAAATAAAATAAAATAAATAAAATAAAACTTCTCGGATAAGGACGAAAAAACCGAACGTTCCGTCTCACAGCACTTTCACTTATCTGGTTCTTGGGAGACGTAAAAGAACCCACACCACTGTTCGAAAAAAGTTTGGGAAGTAGACTCCGGTGGTGTGGCCAACCTTTCCTGGGCTGGGTGGGTTAAATTGGAGTCCCGCTCTGTTGTGTGTTCCGCACCATATGGTGGAAGTGATTAAATACATAAGTAACTAAATCTCGTCACTGCTATTACCGTAAGATTCATCATTATCAGCAGACTTGACGGCAAGTAACAGATGCTGCTCCATCAGGAAATTATGGTCCGATATTATGGGATGTAGCTGAAAAAAAGAAACAACAACAACAACAATCAGAGTATTTTAAAAAAACGTTTCTTCCTATTGTCTCTTCAAATAAGTATGGATGACCGGCAAAATGTCCCTGCCATGGACTGACGGGAGAACTCGCAGACGCTTAATTTTTAAAATTGATATCCTATTAAACGGGAGATAAACTATAATGTTTCATACATGGACAAACATGTACATGACAGAATAAAATTATTCCCCAAACGTAAATTGACTAGCACGCCAAGATTAGCACTAGCTATTGCGAACTCGTGCAATTTTTTGAATAACATGAATATTGAAAAAATTAAAGATTATCGTCGTTGTTGTTGTAGCATCGCGGCTGCCTGAATTGCGGACGGATGATACCACCTAGCCCATCCAGACTGAAAACTGCGTAAGTCTAACAAACCATGACAACGAGATCTACGTTTTCCAGCCGGGGGACTTGAGGAATGTTTGGGTGAAGGTAGGTCATCAATGCCTTTAAACCCTACTCTTGTCCTAATACATCCTAGGAGACCCAGGATCAGATAATGGGGGCGAGGTATGCCATCAATGCCTTTAAACCCTACTCTTGTCTTAACACATCCTAGGAGACCCAGGGTCAGATAATGGGGGCGAGGTATGCCATCAATGCCTTTAAACCCTACTCTTGTCTTAACACATCCTAGGAGACCCAGGGTCAGATAATGGGGGCGAGGTATGCCATCAATGCCTTTAAACCCTACTCTTGTCCTAATACATCCTAGAAGACCCAGGGGCAGATAGTGGGGGCGAGGTATGCCATCAATGCCTTTAAACCCTACTCTAGTCCTAATACATCCTTGGAGACCCAGGGGCAGATTGTGGGGGCGAGGTATGCCATCAATGCCTTTAAACCTTACGCCTGTCCCAATACAAAAGAATGATAATTAGTGAAGCGGAAAACGGAAACGGGAGTGGGTTTGGGGTTTGTCAAACACTTCCTGTATTTGCAACCTAAAATATGCCAGTTGTGGGTTAGTGTCGATGGAGTTCTCGACTGGGAGGGAAACGAGAGTTGAATGTGTAATGGAAACATGTTTTCGTTGTCAGACGTTTTACCTCCGCTTTGGGCTTTAAGGTTATGGGTCTCTGATGAGTTCACTGCTACTGGCCTCCATATATATAAAAACCACATGCCTGGGATTGTTTCTTAAGCCATCACCCGTTGGCAGTTGAGATCCTAGGCTGGATCTGTCATATTGTAGATATTTTACTATATTCAATTCAGTCTGTCTTGGGCTTTTCCAGGTGAGATTGATTGCCCATACCTTATTATGATGTCATGAATAACAATACCCAGGGATGAATATCATACTATCTACCCCTGGGTCTCCGAGGATGGTGCCAATATATACAATTCCAAATGCTCCAGCCCATCCCACAACACTTTTTGACCAGTCCTTTAGCACCAAGAAACTTTAATTTCATAGAAATCACAATCACAATAGCCTTTCAATTCCCTCGTATTGCAATCCGCGAGTCGAGAGCTTTGTCGTAGGAGAGGATTACACATTGAAACAATAATCAAGGTACTGATGTCTCTTGATTTTTTTCAACAAAAAATGAATATAAACAATTGTAAATTCAAGAACGTTCGATGAATACAACTTCTGTAATGACTATCATACTTACAGGAGGAATAACACTCTCACTCCATTCAGGACAGGAATACTGCCCTCCCGACTTTTCATATTTATGAAACCTTACAGTAGAATTCTTTCCCGTCTTTTTCACCTCTTCAAAAATAGAGAGAAACAATAAGGAAATAAGGAAATTAAGAAACCAAGTACTTAGCCAACTTACAAAAACGTCTCGCTAGCGTATTAGTCTAGCGTAAAGACAAAACTAACAACGCATGGGTGATGCAATATTTACTTTCTATACCACACACGGAAGATTTTCCCCTAGAAACATCCCAAAAAATTCCAAATAATTCAGGAGAAAACGACGGAATGCTCCGAAAGATTTCCTATCTACAGATGAGATTCGAACTCTGAAAAACTCTGAGAAATTGGACGCTCTAACCACTGACCTACTAGAGGCTCTATCGCGGTCTAAATTTAATCATAATTACACCAGCAAGAAGGGTAAGGGATTCATAAAACTTCATTTTCCCAAAAATGGATCAACAAAAGCTGCCTACAGTCTACACTTTTAGAGATCCTTGATTTTTTTGACATTTTGCGATTTTTAAGAGTGCAGATAATGGTCAAGTGTAATCGATGTGTTAAGTGAGCTTGCTTGGTTGCGATAAATAGCAAGCAGTTACCTTCCAAGCACGTGGAGTGAAATTCGATATAAAATTGAGTTTTACTGTTGGTTTTGATCTGTTGAAAAAAAGGAAAACAATAAGTATACAGGTAATCAATAGGTAATTTACAAGTTACAAAATCCCCACTTTCAAAATGAGGCCAAGGGCAAAACATTTCATATCTAAATGAGTTTTCATTTGAATGAGAATAAAAAACATTGTAATATCAAAGATTTTTCACCTACTCTCGATTTGAAAATCAGGCTTTGAATAACTTGGAAATGAAAACTATTTCACAAACTCAATTATAATTCATGAAGGAATAACAAAGGAGTTCACACCATCGGGGCAGTGGTTTGGATATCGAATCTCCGTTACCGTAATAGTTTGGAAATTTCTTCAAGATCTTTTGTTTCTTTCAGAAGCTATATAAAACACTCTTCTCGGTGTTTCACCCAACATTCAAACACTTTTACACCTTGGAGGCAGTCTAAATGAACTCGACTGTCCCTCGTTTTTTCAACCTACTTTTCCGTGTGCAGAGATTGATACTTAACATAACACATGAGAAAAAGGATTTGGTTTTGGTTTACTTCACGACTCTACTATATCCTTGACCGAACCTAATATAGAAAATGTCCGATATGCTTGGCTCTCAAACGGGTCAACTAAAGGTTCAAGAGTTATTTAGTCTTAACAGAGACTTGTCAGAAAAACTACCGCACCGTTGCACTGATCTTGGCAAATATTATTTCACATCCTTCGGACTGCGGACTCTTTGGAATAGTTTGCTCTAATGAAAAAAAGACAATAATTTCAAATGACATAGAACCCAAACAACACTCCATAAATCGGTCTCATTTTATACAATTTATACCACTTATACTAAGGTAACTTGAGGTCGGAAAGTGACAAATGAACACTGCATAAATGGTTCGCATTTCATACGCACTATACTACTTATGTTTGAGTAACTTGAGGTAATAAAGTGAGCAATGAACTCTTCTTCCTAAATGGTCTCATTGTATACACTTTATACTACACACGCGGGGGTAAGGTCAGAAGGTAAGCAAAGAACACTGCATAAATGGGTCTCATTTAATTAAAACTATACCACTTACGTGGGGGTAACTTGAGGTCATAAAGTGAGCGATGAACCCTTCTTCCTAAATGGGTCTCATTGTATAGACTTTATACTACTTATGCTAAAGTAACCTACGCGCTATACTACTTACGCGGGGGTAACTTGTGGTCATAAAGTGAGCAAAGAACACTGCATAAATGTGTCTCATTTCATACACACTACACTACTTACACAGGGTAACTTGTGGTCATAAAGTGAGCAAAGAACACTGCATAAATGGGTCTCATTTCATACACACTACACTACTTAAACAGGGGTAAGTTGAGGTCATAACGTGAGCAAAGAACACTGCATAAATTGGTCTCATTTCATACACACTACACTACTTACACAGGGGTAACTTGAGGTCATAATGTGAGCAAAGAACACTGCATAAATGGGTCTCATTTCATACACACTACACTACTTACACAGGGGTAACTTGAGGTCATAACGTGAGCAAAGAACACGGCATAAATGGGTCTCATTTCATACACACTAAACTACTTACGCGGGTGTACCTTACCTTAAAAGTAATTAAGTAAGCAATGAATACTCCTTTAATGGGTCTCATTACTACTAGCTTTTACGATCGTAAATTTTGGTAATAAAGAAAGCAACGAACAAAACGTAAACCAACAGTATACTCCTGGCATAGCCCCCTTTTAGGTCCAAGGAATTTATTGCAGAGGGGTTCGACTGTCCAACAAAGCAAACAGGTAAACATACCTGGTGAAACAGTGAAGGGCAGGGACATATCAAATGTACAGAAAACAGGCCAGTGGTCACTCGTCCTGATATAAACGGGACAACCTACACAAAAAAGGAGCAGATACATTAACTAGCTGCCTGGGATAAATTCTCAACTCTACGCCGGAAACCGGTACAGTGGCGGGGGGAGGGGGGGGACTGCCTTGTATACATTTTTTTCTCATTTCCCAGATTCTCGACTTTCTGTATGTAATGGTTTACATTTTATAATTTTGATTGCGTGACAGTGAAACAGAGAATTACATGACCATAAAAACGTTTCCTTGCGGGACCAATGCGGGAAATCCCGAGCGGGCAGGATAGGCCCCTCTTACCCTATCGGGCAGCCAATCACAACACAAGATTGACTTCAATTTTTCCCGCTCGCAAATTGAGTCATATAATAAGACAGAATAGTAGGCAGGGACGAACTCTAGCTGTCAGTTTTATAAAGGGGTTTGTCCCGTCTAGGCTAGGGAAACATTAAATATCCTTAGGGTGTTTATCATTTGACACCCTGACAACTTCATAAAGGCATGCAACGGAGTTAAATCTCTTGAATCAGCCAGCAAAATTATATGGTATTACCAATCAAATGAAACCTTTTCAGCAGTACTTTCACATGGTGCAGTTGATTTAGTACGTGTAGTTGTTACTTTCAAGTCTGTGGATGCAATCCTACGGTATGGCCCTCTTCAGCAGTGCTTTCACATTGCACTATTTGTCACGCAATGTTGGGAAGTTTCTAGAATCTTAACTACTGGAAGTCTTGACTGCGGAGTATATGCACTCACCATATGAAGTGGAAGTGATCTTGGTCTGTGGGAAAGAATGTCTAAGTACTCTATCGCACCACGATGGTACATTGGTCAGCACCTGCAAAATACATAACATTACTTTTAATCCCTAAAACGAATCTATTCAGTAAGTAAAGAGCCATTAGTTCGCAAATTCTTTAAGTTCATTAAGCACCACTTCCACTGCCGTCAAAAAACCTTTAGCAGCACTGAACTCATTATTTCTAGGCAAACTTAACGCAACTTACGAAAAAAACATAAAAATGCTATAAATTGCCACAAGAACTTATAGAGCGTTTTCACTCACGTGGCCAGCATCTATGTAAATTTATTGGAACAAAAGAAAAGGTTTACATAAGAAAAGAGTTCAACTCCCATAGGATTTGTTTGAAACACCAACATGGCCGCCGTTTCATTGTTCTGGAACACCAATATGGCCGCCGTAACGTCATGTGAAAACACTCTATTCTAAAACGTAATAAAGACAAAGTATGCCTACCCCGGTTCTCTTGACTTTCTCCGAGATGTACTCGGTACCTCCTCGTTTGTACCTGTATGTTGGTGGAAAGTTAATGACTTCTTCCTCTAAAAAATTAAAACGGAATGTGCCATGTCAGCCTTGCTAACTACTCAATTATTACAAATATCAGTGTACAAATGGCAACAAGCCTAAGCACGGGAAACAAAAAGCCAACAAAGCATTTCCAATACACCTTTTTCCCAAATTAGTAGCAAATTAGGTCATTATTGTCTTTATGATAATTAACCCTCAATGCCTCGTTTCCAGGTAAATGTTCTTTTGAACTCGGACGATGCAATCAACAATCAGTCAGGTCTGGATAAACGGGCCGACAACACTTTTAAAGGATGGGCGGAAGAATGTAGCTGTTCCTCCCGATCCCACTGACTGCCCCAAGGTCTCCGAGGATGGGTTTACACGCACAAAATCACAAATCTTACCGAATCCAAGGAAAACATTCCCTTTATTCTTCTCCACCCTCAACTGGTCGTGAATTTTCATTTTCCTAAAGTTCTGACACTTGACACTAGCCAGCACTTCCTAAACAAAAACACCAAGAAACTATACAAATATCGGATCAATATAGGTTTCAGGGAAACTGCCCACCTAACCCCTACCCTAAGTCAACATTTTGCCATAAGTGAGAAGTAAGTGATAATATTGGCTTAGGGGAGGGGTAGGTGGGCAGTTTCCCTGAAACCTAAATTGATCCCAAATATCAGTGACACTAAAATGAATTTCTTAAATACACATCTCTGATATCAGGTGTGCTACTGTAATAGCAGTGGTATTTGATCCAGTAATTGAACATCTGCCTCAAAACGCAACCTGCTTTTGTTTGTTCTCCAACGTTGCTCTTGTCCAATAAAGACAGTCGTTGTCTTATGGAAAAGTCAAAACGAAGATGAAGCTGTCTTCAAATCAAGCATTCCACAAGCCAGATTCGTCTATTAGTCTCTCTCTCTTAAACCATTTCTCATTTCAAATTCCTGGCTTGTTAAGGAATTTACAATCCAGATTTCTCTCCGAGTATCTCTGTCACTTCGACCACTCGTCATTCCAGAAATCCTCCCTCTTCAAGGATTTCACATTTAAGATTCCTCTTGCTCTTCAATATTCCCAGATTTTGGATTCCTTTTGCACCCCTGCCAGCCGAGGCTACATTTTAGAGGTATAAACTGGCATGCATTTTTCAGGGATTTTAGAGTCCAGTATTGTAAGTATTACCAAATGTAAGAAGTTTTATCATTTTGCTAATGGGAAAGGGCTCAACCTCCTTCAGGTATAGATAACCATGCTAACTTTTTTGGTAAAAAAAAGTAAAATGAAGCTTTTCGAGGTGTCTTTTTTTTTAGAACACGCGCAAAAAGTTTAAGTTAAATCTTGTATTCGTAGTCGTTGTCCTCCTCGAATCTAAAGCTCTCTAGTGTCTGCCCCTAAGTCTCCGAGGATGGATCTTTTTAAAAAATGCTTAGATATTTTATCAAATTCTCGCAACTAATTCTTTGAGGAATTAGTATGTGGATATTGAGCCACAGATTATACTCTCAGCCCTCACCTTAACATCCAAATCTATTCTGTAGTTCAGATCACCAAACCAGAAGACATGATGGAACTGATGTGTGATACCAAACACACCTTTCATACCAAGGTTCAGTCCACTAAGAATATCAAGAAAATTTTGATTCCGCCTGCAATTGACACAAATGATATGGTGATTAACCTTTTCTGGTTTTAAATTTAAGCCTAGTTCATTGCACAGTTTTAAACATCAGTCTGTGCAAGGTGCAATTGTATGCTCGATTTCCGGGGGAGTAGCGCGGGCTCATTTCCCGAACAGCGGCTGATAATCGAGCCTATGTGGAATTGGTGAGATGCTCAAGTGGTAGGAATGTTTGGTATTGTTTGGCCTACGAGCAAGCTCTCTGCTGAGGCTCTCTGACGGCAGAGCGAAAAGAGCGCCATGGAGAGCTTGCTCGCAGGTTCAGTATGGTTGGTAGTCGATCGTTTTTAACTGGCCACCTCCATTTACAAATTTCATTGGAAAATATGGCAACAGCATCAAATTTTCTGGCCTCTTGATCATCTCACCAATTCCACGTTGCACAGAATGAAGTCATGCTTGATTCAAAATGACGGCTCACGATGTTAAAATTGCTACAATTATTGGAGAAGAATTCCGTTAGGATCAGATAGACTTTGATGGCTCGGAGAATGGCCTTTAACTAAACACAAAGTCTTTTAAAATTTAATAGCGAATATAAAGACATCATCCGTTCCGGGTTCATTTCAGTGCTGCTGCCAAACTCGTTGTGTTTCAGGTATCTAAAAGACAGTCATGACAATTATTTTTTGTCGCTGCTGCCTCTGCTGAGCTATTTAGCCCCTCTATGGGTACATAATATTCCACGTAGGTACCAAACACGAACCTTAACTTTCTGGCCTCAGATGCCCTTGCTGCAAGATGACAGTTTACAAAACACAGGGACAGTGGTCCAAGAGAGAAAGAAATGCCCACTCCTCCCTTGTTACCTGGAAATCGAAGAAGACATAATGAACATCTTAGGTATACAGGGGAATCGTCTTAAATAAATAAATAATAATAAATAAATAATGATTTGGAGGTAGCACATCCACAAAGTGATTCTTCGTCTACCTGATTCCTGGTCGAAGTGGAATTTGTAAATGCTGGTTTTTGAGGAGAGGGGAAAACCGGAGTAGCCGGAGAAAAACCTCTCGAAGCAAAGGAGAGAGCCGACAACAAACTCCACCCACACATGGCGTCGACGCTGGGATTTGAACCTGGGCCACATTGGTGGGAGGCGAGCGCCCTCACCACTGCACCTTCCCTTGCTCCTCTTAGTGAAATCACAGTATCAATATTCTCTATCTGGGGGATATGATGCCCACCACTCAAAATGGCAAGCGTGCCTGCAGGCTAGAGCGTTACCAACAAAAATCCTTCCAATCACAATGACCGAGACCAGGTTTTATGAGTCCGCGAGACTGAGCACCCCAACCAAACCCTTGTTCTCACTAAAACCGCTGGACGCCAAGCTGGTTGAGGTCATTGTTATCTAAGGCCTTCCATTACCAACTGGCCGTACCGACGAGGTAGTAGTGAGTTTACGCAACAGGACGGCAGGAAGAAGAGGACGGCAAAATGCTTGTGTGTGACAAACGTGACAAGGCTATTTCTTACGTGTTTTGTCGTGATCTTCACTTAACATCAATGTTTTCTGGTCTTTTACAAAAAGATCTGTTTAAAGGAAAGTGAATTTTGGCGAAAAGTTATTTCAAACAAAATTATTGTCACGCTTGTCACACAAGGTTTGCCGTCTTCTTCCCTCTCCCGTCCTGTTGCGTAAGTTCACTAGTATCCCATTACAACACTAAGACATGTTAAGCTTTACAATTACTTTTTCTTTATTTGCACACGGACGGAATTCCCTAAATCCTGCAGTCTGCTTGGTTCCGAGATTTGGCTAATTTTTTTCATTTTGTCTGTTAACCTGGGTGGAATTATTAAGGCGACTTCATTCTCTTGTTTGCTTGATTTATGTCATTACTGTTCGCCATGAAGACATCTACGGTCGCTACTGCATACAAAAAGGTAACGATGATCACTTCCACCCATATTTTGACATTATCGTCTTTAAGATGAAAAGGTCTTCATTTCCTGTTGTCTAGAATAAACAAACTCTACCGCGATTTCTTCCATTGGCACTTTTTTCACTTATTTGCCCCCTGAGAAACCACGTGACATTGTTTTTATCCCATCATTCCTTAAACGCGTGAAAAGATGGTGGGTATCGTGAATAAGGTCTATACAAGGGACGAGTCATTAAAAAGACTTAGGAAAAAAAGAACAGCAGCTTGGCGGAAACGCTGTATGTGGCTTGAGTCTTCCTTGCCTAGTCCCTAGGCCTCATTACTTCGCGCGGCCAAAGCGTTTCAGGTCACGTGGTCCAAGCGAAGACGTGTTTCCTGCCCTTTCGCTTCGGACACGTCATCGGAGTGAATTGACCGAGAGGGCCTGGGAAAACGCCGTACAGAGACTAAGCAAGAGTCTTCCCATCATTCGCCTCAACTGCATAAACATTAAAAAAATTAAAGTTATTTCCCAAAGAAGTTGAAAACTCACCGAGAGCATTGGCTATTCCAGTCTTGACACTAGACTGTTGAACATGCGATATCATGTGTTTCAGATCTTGATTGGCAAAGACAACTAATCTAATACTCCACAATGAGCAGGTGCTGACCTAAAATTAAGAAATACTATAGAATATTAAATAATTATTGGATGAGGCTTTTGTGATATCTGGAATAATCAAGGTCGAGGGAAACTTTGTTTTCAGCCGAGCCCAAAACTAAGGCTGATAACACTTACTGAAACCTTGACTATTTCAGAAAACACAAAAACCGAGTTTAATAACCGCTTTTCAAAATCATGCATTGTGTGTGCAACCTACAGATAGTCACTAATCTGCGAGCACATATCTAATCTGTAGGTTGCGCTGATTCCCAAAATTAACTGTAGGCTCGTAGCCAATGAGAAAGCACTAAGTGAGTACAATGCATTTTAAAAAAAGGTTAACTTCTTCGCTCCTAACTTTCAACATTTCGTTTCAACTTTATTACACAATTGTCCTGCTTGTTTTGTTTCACTATCGCTTAAAGAGCGAGATATATTACATACACTCTTCATTAAAATTTCGGGCGACACAACTCTGGTTTAGGGCGACATGACTTTGGGCGAGAGGACTGTCGGGCGACTTGACCGGTTACACCTTAGACAGGAGTAAACAGAGAAATTCAGCCCCTCTGATCTATCAACATTTGCTGTGAATTCCTGACCATTTACCCTGAAATAAAAACAACTTTAAAATGCTCCAAGTTTTTGATCACATAAAACTGTTGCTTTTTAACAGAGATTTAAAGGGAAACAACCATTCTTGCCATGGACTTGTACACTGAACGTTTACAATTATACTTTGTTAACCAACAAAATCTTATGTCCAACATACCAAATAGAATTCCTTGTTTCGAAATAGTATTTTCAGCTGCTCCTTAATTCTAAGAATCCAGTCCTTTTCACCGATTGGACACTCCTGGAACAGTGAGATTGATTCAAGTTAAGTGGAAGGAAAATAATCTACAGTTGCACCTCTATCAAGTGGCCACCGTCGGGGTACCGGAAAGTGGCGGCATAATAGAGGTTCGCCATAAATCAGCATATTTAGAACCTGCAACGGAAGCAGCATTGGTCCACCGTCAGTCGTCACCTTCTATGAAGACTGTATTTTCCTTCATTATATTCTTGAAATAAAACCAAACTAGGTGAATTAAGCGCTTAGTGACCACTTAATAAAGGCGACAACAATGGGAGAACTCTTGTTGGGATGGTCAAAAGGTGGTCGCGGCCGCCTAACCCCACAAACAAATTCTCCAAACTGATCTCTATACATTTCCTTACAGAATTAGTTGGGAAGAAATTGATAAAAGATCAGAGATTTTTCTCTTTGTGATCATTTGATTAATTCTCATAACTTTATCTCTTGACAATCTATGGATATTGTTAGGAGAAAATTGATGTTGTTCACTATTGGGACTTAAAGGGAGGTTTACTTTCCCATTCTTTTCTATATTTATTTCAGGACTTTGATTACTGGCCGTTTAATAGGCAGATTTATCGTGACGTCATTGTTTACATTTTTGCTCATTAGCATGCGAGTTAACCCATAGAACATGTAGCCGTATATACCAATTAGATTCAAAAACTAAAAGAGCTGGTTAATTTATGCAGTTTGTGAAAGTTTCAGCTCTTTGCAATCAGTAACAAAGAAACTAGCGGCAATTGAAAACTGCAAAATTACTGGGTGGTAAAACGTTAATGAGCTCGTACATTCTTTGTAAATTTCTTTGTAAATACAATTAGTGCTCCCGCAGTCCATGTCAAGTAACTAGTGTGCTTATAGAACAGGGTATACTAGTGCTCCTGCACTCGCACACTCCCCCAGTCTAATTAATTCAGAATTTATTATGTAAATCAGACGACAGCCAGACCGTGTGAGCAGTTTTCAGGTTAGATATTTAATGGGCCAGGTGCTCTGCAATCTAGCTGTTTATTTTATCTATGCCACTCACTGATAGAGATCTGAAGGACATTATAGCACTTTGAATTTTACTATGTTAACAAAGGAGTTATCACTATGGCCTGCAAGTCATAAGTGCATGATGGCTTGTATATTAATAATAATTTCCATATCTTGTTTTTCAAAGAAACTGAAAAAATCTGAAAATATTACTTCGCATCCCACGCTGTACCTGTGTGCCAATCGCGTAGATATCATGAGGAAATTCAGCCAAAGAGCTATCCATGGTTTTGCCAGAACCCTGGCACTTAAACCAGGATTTAAGGTCAGCAGGAGGATTAGCATTACCTAAAAATACACAAAACATCACTGTAAAGAGCATTTTTAAACATGGCTCATCCTAGCTGCATTGTGTACTATAAACAGCCAAGCAAGCCCATCTTAAAATATGAGGGCTATGACGAAGCTGTGAGTCCCTAGGGATCTGGGGGCATTAAACTCCAACTTCCAACCCTCAGAAAATTATTGAAATCGAAATCTTGGAAATGCACTTTCCAGTGTTCTTTAGACTGTAGTGGCAACTACCTAAACAACACAATGCCACGCTTAAATAACGAAAAAGAAATCTGTAAATACAATATGGTGACAAAGTACTAGGCTCGATTTCCACCGTCTCCCGGGTCCGGTCTTTGATCCTCCCCGAAGAGAGACTCTTTCGAGGGATGAGTGTGGGCTCATTTTCCCGAACAGCGGCTGGTAATCGAGCCTAACAAAGTACCAGATATGACATGGTCAGGAACCAGTCTAAATGTTTGACCCCACAGCCTCAAATAAAACCCTTGTAGATGGTAAGTGCACCCAGCTAGTTCCACTGGGGTAATCTTTAGTACAACAACTTGTACATCAGAAATTTTGGATTAATTTAGGTTTCTGGGAAACTGCCTACCTAACCATCAAATAATCCAACATTTTGCCTCAAGTGAGACGTAAATGTTAATGTTGAGTTAGGGGACGGGTAGGTGGGCAGTTTCCCAGAAACCTAAATTGATCTGAAATTTTTATAACCACTGCTTACATGTACTACATACCAGGGCCTACTGTTGTGGGCACGACTCAAAATGATTACCATTTTTGCCAGATAGACGCACCATTTTCAAAGTCACAACCATGACTGATGACGTAAAATCTATTTTCTGAGAAACTCACACCAGTTAAGGTGGCTGAACACAGTTTTGGCAGTTTGTGAGTATAGGTCATTTGCCAAATCATGGTAAGAGAAAGGTTGCAGCTCACAAGCTGAAACTTGGCAAGTGAAATATACACTGATGAAAAATTTTGACTGACTGGTAAAATTTGACGTTTTCGTAATTTCCATGGCAACATGAACGATTGAATACAACCTTAAAAATTCACTTTTGCTCAATTTACATAAAATTTGATCATTAGATTTTCGTATAAACTTGCACACAGCTTACCATAATTAGTCGTTACCATTTGAAACTTATTTGACCAAATTTTAACAGACAGGTGTTAAGATAATCAATAATATAATAATTGTAGTGTAATTATTAAATGTGCCACAAAATTCATCTGTTCAACTTCCATTTTAAAGTTCTCATTATTCAAAATACGATAAAAGCAAAAATTCTGCCATAATATCACCAAATTTTAAGAGCAGATTTTGAGAAATCGTCTTCTGTGTACCCTTGCTTTTTTGCTGCCATGTTTGTTTGTCTAATTTAAAACACAAGCCGTCACGCGAGTTACTGCTGACTGCCCGCAAAACTGTGTTCAGCCACCTTAAAGGCAAAGCTGCATTTTGCTAGTGAAAATATTTTACCCATGTTCCACGTCCCAATAAAAACTGATGCTTGATTCTTGGTGTTTTCTGAATGTTGGTTCTTCATTTGTTGAACAAGTTGACAAAAAACCTCACGAGACTGAGACAGAAGATATAATAGATAAAATGAACAGAAATTTAGAACCGCTTAACACAGTGATTTTGGTACCCTTGTGTCCTGTGTCCTTGATGCATAAAAAGTGCCAAAGACACAAAATAATTCATGGCATGCCTCCTGTGGGATGCAAAGGTCGATCAATTGACCTGAAGATGTTTTTGTAGAATATCCTGTTTGTGTGATTTCTGTGGCTGTTCTCGTGGCTGTTGTTTAACCAGGTATATTTCTTTTAGTCTTTGTTGTGCTTTACGATAGCAGGAGTTTATTAGTCCAGTAAACTGTAATACAGAGTTTTGAGTCTGTCTTCAGATTAATTGTCTGCATGTTTAGACAAAAGCCCAAAAAATTCAGTTTACAACTCACTGTTTTTTGAACTGGAACTCAATGGTTCTGGACTAGGACTCACGATGTTTTGCTCGATGAGTCCGAGGACTCACCACAACTATTTGTAACAAAATCACTGTAAGCAACCTCCTGATTTGAAGTCTGTGACACTTGGACCCATATTACATCCATGAATTCTTACTCTTCCATGTTTGTACTACAAATGGACCTTAAAATATTAACAGGGGTCACTTTGGTAAAAATTCCAGCTTTGTTTTCAGGGGCCAATTTCATAAAACTTTTACAAAATAAGGTTTACAAATAATCAAAACTACACTTATAAATAATTTTTAAAAGTTTGATTAAATTGACCCAAAATCTAAAACAATGACTACACTAATATTATTGCAAACGTTTTATCAACGAAATTGGCCAAAGACTAGGTAGAGTTTGGTGTTAAGCTACCTGTATACGGCACATTCGTCAAATTTGTAAAAATGACTAGACATTTTTTGCTTTACTGGCCCAATTTTTCAAGCGGAAAAAATCATTAGAAAGTTTTATTTTACCTTGCCATCATCAAACTCAAAATCCTTGGCAGCCTTTGACTCCATCTTCAGTCGTAATCGTTTTATGTTATCCTTTGATTTAACTAACTGAACAACTAGAAGAAAAGAAACAAAACTAAAATTACAGTCAACTCCCGATAACTTGAACCATCGCTAACTTGAACCAAAATCGATTTCCCCTGGATTTCCTCAATATAATTACTATAATCATACCCTCGGTAACTTGATCCCTCAATAACTCGAACGTCCTGCTGACTTAAAGTAATTTTTGTTTCCCATCACATCATTTCTATATAAATTTACCCTTGAAAACTCCAACCATGCTTTTTAAAACATGGTTCGCTTAAGAGTGCCTGACAAGTCTAACAAGAGTGTACTGCAGTCCGAAACACTAAAATTATTTTAACAACGATGTATTCTTTGTCTTTACTTTTTTGTCAGTCCAGTTTAAATACAGTGTCCAGCACTGTGTAGTTATCAAGTTTTGAAGTGTGTGCATGATACTTGCATTCATTCCCCATCCCATTTTCTTATTTCTGGTTATTTGTTTCAAACTCCCGGTAACTCAGACTTCTGCTAACTCGACCCTTTTTCAATTTCCCTGGAAGGTTCAAATTATCGGGAGTCGACTGCAATAGCTAACCTAACTGTAAGTATATGATATACAACATCAACTGTGTTATACGTAAATCTTAGTCTCTTGTAACCATAAACCGGTTACAAAAGATGAATCGTGTTGTGCGGGAAGAAATATCCATGAATGTCATGTCCACTCTGGTGTTCTGCTGTATGAAGGATGATGATGATGATGATGATGATGATGTGTATGTGCTTAAACTTACAATAAATATCTGTTAAATACTTGCTGACAAATTCACAATACTCACTTTTGCTTTGATCTGAAGTATTATTGACATCTAAAGCTTCATTTAAATTCTTCAAAAATGAGATCTTGCCTGATAAAAAAATATGATTATATTAATTCATTCAAACAGCTGGCAACTCTCACACCTGTAGGCTGAAAACTTCAATTTCAAACAAACTCTTGCTTAAGAACTCATTTTCTATATTCAGTGTCAAAATTAAAACTTGTTTCCATTGAAATTCCTGTTTGATATTTCAGTAATGTTGTCTTCAGTTGGAAACCCATTTATAAATTAAGGTGATTCCCTAGTAAAAGAACCTAACATAGATTGTAGATGAAACTTGGTACACTGGTGTAACAAGTCAAGAAAATGATAAAAAGGTAATAAAAAGTGGGGGTCACCGTGCTCGTTTTGACGTCACAATGCTGACAAATACAGCTATTTTGGACCCTTTGACCAAAACCGCGCGCAGCCCAAAACTAGACAAAAAGGAAAGATTTTTTCAATGATGCATGTGGTATCGCACAGAATTTGACATTAATAATGTATTGTTTATCCACTTACGTACCAGAAAAATGCCTTTTAATGCCCTTGTTTTTTCTTTACGCTCCAACGTAGAATTAAATTGGACACGCGCTATTCGACACGTGATAACTGAATCAGTACAATTTAGTAAAATTGCCAAAAAACTGAACATAGATTTGTGCCAATTTTTTTCTCACCGAAAGGAAGCACTGTCCTTATTAAAATCATGAAATAAAAAATGGGGGTCACCGTACTCGTTTTTGCGGTACAGCTGCAGAGAGTGCACACAAAATGCATTTTCCTTGATTTTTGGGAGAGGACTGGGGTGAATTTCAAAATAGAATGTATGCGAAAGGGGGAAGAAAGTATTAAAAAATACGTTTTTACAGAATTTACATTGAGATATCACATTTAGGACACAATGTGATAAAGAAAGCGTTTAAATGAAAATCAAAGTGAATAAGCACAAATTAAACATCCACTATCGAGGTTCTCCGTGAGGAAGTCGAACCCAGCAACACGCGTACTGCTCATGTTATGCACATTCCCACCAAATTGAGTCTCACCTCGGCAAGAAACAACTGCAAGCAAAAATTGCAATAGCGTTTCTCTTCGGTCAACTTCATTTTAATAATGTTACTTCTCATGCTCTTTTTTTACGGAGGCCATCTTGTTATGCGCAGTAAGAGATGCGCAGTGCAAAACCAGGGAATCACCTTAAAGAATTAACTAAAGTGATGTTATTAAATAAAATTAGGATCCCTTGAAATAAGTTTACCTTTTTTTTTTGCTGTTGGCATTTAGTGAACATGAAGTACTCAGTATTGATGGTCAATTTTTTAAACTAAAAGCCTTTTTAATTTAAAGGTAAATGGTCCTTATCAATGATTACATCATATGAGCAAATTTCACCTCGCCTCATCTGAAAGAACAATATTATTCTTTGCATTTGCACTTGTTGTGCTTGGTTATTCCATTCAACACTACTGCCTTGGGAATATATTTATGCATGCAAAACTTTGCAACTTGACAATTTCAAAATGAGGCTTGGTGGTGAAATTTGCTCGTCTGACGTAAACATGCTGCAAGGGCCACTTCAACTAAAAAGGAGCAGCCAACAATTGTCATCTCATTTGACTTAAGGTGGCTGAACACAGTTTTGGCAGTTTGTGAGTATATCTCATTTGCCAAATAATGGCAAGAGAAAGTTTGCAGCTCACAAGCTGAAACTTGGCAAGTGAAAAATATACTGATGAAAGATTTTGATTGACAGGTAAAATGTGACGTTTTCGTAGTTTCCATGGCAACATGAACGATTGAATACAACCTTACAATTTCAATTTTGCTCAGTTTACATAAAATTCGCTCATTAGATTTTCCTTTAAACTTGCACACAGCTTACTATAATTAATCATTACCATTTGAAACTTATTTGACCAAATTTTAACAGACGGGTTTTTAGATAATCAATAATATAGTTGTACTGTAATTATTAAATGTGTCACAAAATTCGTCTGTTCAAATTCCATTTTTACGTTCTCATTATTCAAAATACGATAAAAGAAAAAGTTCTGCCAAATATCACAAAATTTTAACGAGTAGATTTTGAGAAATCGTCTTCTTTGTACCACTGCTTTTTTTCCCGCCATGTTTGTTTGTGTAATTTAAAACACACGCCGTCAAGCGAGTTACCGCTGACCACCCGCAAAACTGTGTTCAGCCACCTTAACTACGAAACCTTGCACTGCAATTTCTTTTTGAATACACAAGAGTCCGTGGTTTACAACAAATCAGTTTGGGGAGGCAGCAAAAGGTGCTAAAATATGTAACTGGCGGGAAAATGTTAAGAGATTAGTCACTGAACATGAAATCTTCCTTGTGACCTCAGCTTTCTTTAATTGTCTTGTAAAAACTGAATGCGTACAAAGTTTGTAAAATATTGGTACTTCTGAAAATAAGCTTGTTTGATAGCCATGGCCAAAGCTTTGAGGTAAGAATTGTAATCAGTTTTATTTTTACCTTCAACATAGTTAACTGAGATAAACAATCTATTTTTGAAGCTGGAAGTAGCCATTCCCTGAGTCATCACCTGAGTATAGGAACAACAAGAGTTAAAACCTTAATACAGTTTAATAATAATAATAATAATAATAATAATAATAATAGCGGTTCTTAATATGCATTTTGTATACGCCTCAATGCATTTACAAAATGTCTAAAATGTTACTAATTTAAATGGTACTAATATCAAATGTACATGAAATTATCTATATTTATCTGAATTTAATAATAATAATAATAATAATAATAATAATAATAATAATAATAATACTCTGGGCATCCAGATGTTTGTCCTGCCATAATAATATAAAAGAGAGAGAAAAAATAAAGATAAAATAAAATAAAACTTGTTGTATGGTCCATAACAGGCAACTAACAAAATGCCTGTTTGAAAAGGAAAGACAAATTAGACATAAGACTTGAATGATGCAACAGAACTTGAGTTTTGGATAGGACTTGGTGGTTAATTCCACAACTGTGGCTCCATCTCCATATGTACTAAGGTTAGATCTAGGAATACTGAGAGGGTTTTTAGAGGCTAATCTAAGTGACTTTGTGAAAGGTTTGAACCCAGGAGTCATTTCAAAAGTAGGTTGAGTTTGATCGTCCAGCTGAACGTAGTCCTGAATAGGACTGTTGTTGTTGACAGTGACTGACGTTTCGACAACCTGTGAAGTAGTCATCTTCAGAGTCAAAGTGAGTTGTATCTCATCAGTTGATGGTATTATACTGTAGTTATTGATCTGATTGGTCAATTATGTCATGATGTTATTGGTCGTCTGTCAGTTAAACCGTGATGTTATTGACTGTGAAGACTCGTAATCAGTAATTGGTGCATTTCGATCCATCTATTGTCACAGTTAAACAGTCGTCTATTGTCAAATTGTCAGTTCTCCAGTTGTTCTGTGACTTTGTTGGAGCATAAGGTGTTAACAGAATAATTAGATATTGTGGTATGAGACTACTGTTAACAAATTTATAAAGGAAAAGAAGAAGTTTGAAAATTATCCTCTGCTCCACAAGTATGTAGCCTACTTAAAGACTGTAGGACAGGAGTGATATGTTCTCTGGTCTAGTTCTCATGAGCAGTTGAAGATCCAGAGAAAGGGTCAGAAGACTCTGGAGGGGGATGTGTTTCCAGACTTTTTGATTACGAGAATACTGTACTTCTTAATAAACTCTTTCAATTAGTGGATGGTTTTGCATTGCAGTTCTGTGTTGTATACCCAGTGGAAAACTCAAAAGAAAGTAATGGGCAAAATATTGGTGGCAGGTAAGCACTTAAATCTAGGGGTAAGTGGACCAGGAGAGATGCCCTGCCTCCTGGGGGGAGACAAGATCGAGTGGTACTGGGGGTAGCCACCTTGGACAGGAGTCCTGCTCCGTCTCCAGGGGGTGAAGTCCATATCCCCTAGAAACTAGGAATGAAGGGGAACCAGGAAGGGGCCCTCCTGGGTGGAGTACAGATCAGGTGGGACTGGAACAAAAACAGAATGGTTCCTGAAGACCATTTACATTGGGCATGAAAGCAAGTGAAGAAGAAATAGATGACACACAACAACAACCCTTACCAAAGCAAAAGTATGGTAATGATATGGGAAAGTTTGGGCCATATCTGACCCATATGTGGGAATGGTATGGGAAGGTTGGATGATGATGTGGAACTGCTATGGGCATATATTTTGACACATTTTAAGCTACGGGAAGTATATGGGAAGAAAACCTGATGCTTCCCATTGTATGGACGAGCTATGGGAATACATTCCCCATACATATCCCATAGCAATGAGACATTTCCTCAATCTTCCTTATCTATGGTTATTGTATGGTATATCCACACCGTATTATTCCATAGATTACCCATACCAGCTGACAAAGATGTCAAATATGTCCCATAGATTTCCCATCATCGTAATTCTATGGGAACTGTATGGGATAAAAACTCTTTGTAATTTAACTCTTAGTGTTCTTGTTGCCCATAGATTTCCCATGTAATAGTTCTATGGGACGTCTATGGGCATAAAAATATTGCTATGATGCTCATTATGACAATGAGTAAAACAAGATGTCTGCATACTATCAAGACATTATAGGATAAGTTTCTTACCATAAAAGATTTTCCTTACAAGAATTGCTTTGATAGGTAGATAGATAGTTTATTTATATAGCTTTCCAACCCAAGAGTTGAATTACTGGTGCGTCATATTTACATAGGTAAAAAATCTCTAAAGCGATAAATTCTTAAAATACTTAATTCTTAAAATGCAATAACATTTTCACTCAATGTATTTAAATTCTGTTAGAATATTACTGTATGTTCCAAACTGGAATCTGTAATCTTTTGAGCTGTAAGTGCGCTAGAAATAAGAAAACTATTTTGAAATCTCTATGTCTTAAAAAAATAGATTAAACTGGCGTGACTTTCTGAGGTTGTAACCCCAACGCCTTTGACCAGACAAGGTGACAAGACTTGCCTTAACAAGCACTTCTTCATATGAAAAACATTGAAACATTGCCCTCTTTCGCACTGCCTCTAACTCATGAGAAGGATACACAGGTAGACTGCTTGATAGCATCAAGCATTTTGAAATAATTATCTAGTCTTGCAGTTTACACTTGGGAAACGTAAAATGACACTGTCTTGATATATGTTGAGTAAAAATAATATAATGCAATAAACTTCAGGACCTTAGGATTGCCATATTAAAACTATTTGTTAAATAATGTTCAGTCCTTTTCAAAATGGTTGGGGAAATGGGCAGCATATCCCACCTCATTATCAGAAAACTTCATATATAGACATACATCAATGATGTCTTTAAAAGGGACAATGTCAAATATGTTCCTTCTTGCTTGCTGAAGAGGAACAATGTGTTCGACCAGGCTCCCCAGAACTGCATGACGTTCACAGATCACCTCATCAGCCTCGGACATGGGAGCAATGATGGCCCCACAGGTCATCCTGGGATCTTCTTTGAGCACAAAGAAAACTTCAATTTGCCCATAGCTTGTTCCTTCCCCTTTTGAATAGGCAACAGTGAAGCTGTTTCTCCTTGACACTCTCTTATACATTTGCGAATGCAAAACTGCATCACCAATTTGCAGTCGCTTAAAAAAGGAGACACATTCAATCGACTCCACCCCAAGAAACAGCAGAAGGTCGTCTTCAAATGGTGCACCAGGTGTGCCTTTCTTTAATGCACCAATCGCTCAATAAGTCATCTTTGTCTTCCAATTCAGAGTCGCTTGAATCATCCATGTCTTGTATTTGCTCGTAGCTGCAGACCTCGCCAGGCGACGTGTATGTTTTCTCGACTTGAAGTAGTTCAACAGTGTCGACAGTACAACGGAGCTCACGTGGCTGTTCGCAAAACACTTCTTGAACATCGGATTCACATTTGTTGAAGCCATTGCGAGTAACAGCTGGCGATTGTTTCGCTTTTTGGAAGTTTCCTTTTCGTCTCCTTGCAGCTGGAAATTTATATGGATTGGAATGTCGCATGTATTCTCGGTAACGGCCTCTCCGTTTTCGTGTTATTGTAAGCTCCGTCTCGTCCGCCATGTTTTTTCTTAAACGTTTTGCGCGTGGAGTGCGCGTGCGTAGTCGATTCGGCACCAGGCCTTACCCGCTACAGATCACGTGGTGTTTTGTCAACCAATAGCGTGAACGCTTCAAATGAGCGCGTCCTTTTAATGTTTCTCACTTTCTTCGCAAATTCCAGCGTGTTTCAGGAAGCTTTTAGTACTTTTGAGAATCCATTCCAGAGTGAGTTTTCAGTTTAGCTTTGTGTTTTCTATTACACTGAAATACAACCAGCGATGGCTGCACGAAACTCACGGAAAAAAAGTGTCCCAGCGCGTCTTAGAGAAGGTAAGTGACTCATCAGTGTAGCATGACATGTTTGCACGTGTTTGGAGTTAACTAACATGTACGCTTATATTTAAACACACATTTAAAAGATTTAAAATGGAACGAAAAAGCTTTAAAGAATACTCAGAAGTCGCTATAGTGGAAAGAGGATAGCTTAAAGCTCATGAAATCTGCTTCAAGGAACTCCATGTTTTTTATTTCAATGCGGGGTGATATAATTTTCATCTTCGAAGAAGCGGGGTTTTCAATAATTTTCAAGCTGCAGAGGACATTACGGTAAAAGAAATAACATTTCAATGGGAATTTATGTTGATATCAATTTCTCATTGACTCTTTCTTTGTGTTTTCGTTCGTTTTGAGGCATGAATGGCTTAATTTCGAGAACAATTGAAACAGATTACAGTTATGAGTGCAGAAGCGAATTTATTGTTGGCCCGTAGGGAAAATGGTCAACTCAACTGGCTAGCAGTCCTATATTCTCAGTAAATCTCGCAGTCCACTCAATGGCAAAGAACAAATACTGAAAACTCGATATTATTTCTATCAACGCAAAGGTAAGATAATCTTGTACAAAAAAGCTTTTTGGTTTCATCATAACGTCGACAAGAAGTGAAGTGAAGTGTATTTCAGCTCCAGAAGGGAACTAACGCGCGCGTGGAGACTTTTCCCGCCGGTTTTCCAAGGAGGCCGCATGAAAGGTCAAGATGTTATGACGTCAAACGTCGCCTGTCACGCCATGCTTTGGATAGAAAATAGTAACGAACATCCCATAATACATGTATAGAAATCCCACAAAACCGGCTGGTTTGATCAGGATCACGACTTATGATAGTTCAGAACGGCTGAATTTTCTCGATTTGTGAAATTTACTGAGAATATGGGACTGCCGGCCATTTAGCATCAAGCTTGGTCAAATGTCTTGTTCTTTTAAGTGTTCTTGTTTAAAAGTGTGTAGCCCAACATATCAACAGTGTTCGTAGCATTGTATGGGCCAGAGGAAAGTGTACAGTGCCTGAATTAAGCAGCACAGGACTGCAAACACTATGCAATAAGTTGGTGTTCCTTTTAAGCCGTAGTATGAGGTTCTATTGCTTTTTAAGTTTTTTCCTTCAAAAAAGATTTTTTGAGTAGTTTTCGCATTGAACAACTTCCATGGCATGTTTTAGCTGGCCAGTCAATGACCATACCACCTCTTACAATTCCTGAATTTTGATTGTCCTGTCAGACCAAGATAAGCAGAAATAACAGAGAAGATACGTATTATCTAACAAAGCTGTCAATTGAAAAATTAATAAAAACATTGTCAAGTGGCATATATACATGTAATGTCTAACTTCTGTCTTTAATATTTCCAGATGGTAAAAGTAATGGAGGGGTCAGGAGTCTTTTGGTACCCTCACCAGCGAGCATACTGCTCAGCATTCAAGTCGTGGCCAGCATATATCAATGCTGCCATCGATATATTCTTCAACAAAGAAACACTTGCTGTTTCAAATGCAAGAGGAAATGAAAGAAAAACCAAGAATGGTGACATCAACAAGTCATTGACTCCAATGATCATTGATGCCCTCATTGGTAAGTTAATATGCTCTGTTTCAGTTTTATTCAGAAAACCATTAGGTTCCCAAAATAACATTCCCCAAAACCAGTGATTTAATTTGGCTGTTGTTAAGCTTGGGTTAGGTTTCTTAATCCTAAAGTAACATACAACTACACGGGTCATTAGTATCAGAACTCTAAGGAATACTTTATATTAAAAATAAAACAAAATTAATGACATCTATTAAGTTCATTATCAGAACTTAAAATGGTGTATGTCTTATTTTATTGAACACTTTACCAATGGGTTATTCCAGAAAAAATCCACACACCCCCGACGGATGGGGTCCTTTTTTAACCCCCCCTCTCACCTGGATTTCCTGAAGCACAAGACCCCCCCCTCCCAACTGGATTTCCAAGGTGGAAGACCCCCCCCCCGCCTGGTTTCCGGGAAAAAATAAAAGGCTTAAATTTAATTTATTTTTAATGGAAAATACACGCAAACACGCCTAAATGTTTTTGTTTTAATTTCTAAAGCTTCAGCTTATATTAAACTACTGAATTCTATCGCGTGGAACTGAAAACGAAAGGAGCAAAAAAAAAAAAATGCGAATCGACACCTGAACGAGTGTTTACATAATTTCTTAGCTTATAAAATCACTCTTGGCGGGGCTCTGGGTACGAGTAGAAATGTGTCAGGCGTTTGACGCTCTTCGTGACAACAACGTTATGCGGAGTTCCTTCAGGCCCGTTCTTTAGTATCTTTTTTGCCTTTTCTGCTATAAAAGGACCTGTAAAGCAACTTAGATTATCATTTATGTCAGGTGAGAAATATATGAACAAAACATTTTGACTATTTTCAGGGTCTGAAAGCGCTTAAGTGTCATCGAACTAAACGTTTGATTTGTATCAACTATCGGTCGAAATGACCCCTACAGAAGACTTTTTAAAGGTCAACCCCCCCTCCTGCCTGGATTTCCGGAGTCTTCGACCCCCCCTCCCGCGAGAATTTCCAGAATCCCATCCGTCGGGGGGGTGTGGATTTTTTCTGGAACAACCCAATATATAAAAACTGGCTCACAACATTAACATGACTTTAAACTAATAAATTTTCAATTTTTTTTTCAGGAAAAGTTTGTTCAAAGTTTGCCAAGGACTCTCCTGTTCCGAGTCAAATTATTCAGAAAATAAATATGAAATGCGTGGAGGCGAGGCGGCCACAAAGAATAAGAGTTCCACTTACAACAAAAGAAAAAAACAGTTCTGATGTGCCAGTTTGAAAGTTTATTAACTTACAGGATATGTCAAGCTTGTACAGTTTGTAGATTTTTCTAAGGATTTTATCATCATGTTTCATTATAATTCTTGAGTTTCAAGAGATCTCAACAATTAAAAGTTTTGACTATATTGACTATATTGTTGAGATGTCAATGATTGATAGTTAATTTTCCTGCATTATGGAAGTAATATTGGTATGGGGGCTAGGCTGTCGATGAACTATGGGTTCACCTGTACATGTTTCACTAAAGTAGAGCTAGTTGTATCCCATAGGTTTCCCATAGTGGTGGAGTCAATCTTGGATCAGCGGTATTGGTATGGGGCGCTAAAATCAAAAGTACCCATAGCATTCCCATAACAGATGTCAGTTTTCCCGAATGCTATGGGAATGATATGGTACAATTACCAATCCCAAGGAACGGGATTGGTATGGGACAGTCCGATACCAATCCTGGGATATATGCTATGGGGAATGTATGGAACTTTACGAAAAACATAGCAATCCCATAGAGACAGGTCAGTCGTCATGTGGGATTGGTATGGGACTATCCCATATCATTTCCATACCAGATCCTATGGGGAATATATGGAACTTTACGAAATACGTAGCAATCCCATAGGGAAAGACAATAAAATGGGGCTAAATTAAAACAGACACTATTTATGGGTTTGGTATGGGAGACAATAACCCATATCAAAGCCATATAATGCCCACATATGGGCCAGAGGTTATCCCATACCATTTTGATATTTGGACCATATATGTCCCATATCACTAGCTATGGTAAGGGAAGGTACATTCCGATCCATGTACAGTGGATTACAGTTACCTCAAAGGTCCGACACCTCTCTGGCTCTTGTTTGTCTTCCTCTTGGTTAATGCTTGCCACTTCCTTAAGAGCATCTAATGCCTGGTGACAAAAAGAACTGCTCAGATGCCCTACTCATACAAGTTGTGTCTGGTATTATTGTATTTTGCTAGTAGATTCTACAAAATTGAATGGAGAGTGATAGCCTGCAGGTGGCTCATTAAAGTTGAAGTGAAACCCATTTTGCCAGTTACATATATGACCCAAACAGGATCATTTAGCTAGCATTTCTGTTAGGTAAATGCTAGTCCATCACAGGGTATACATGTACATGCAGGAAAGATTAGTGCTAGCCTGTGTCGCGGACATAGTCTAACCCCAGTTAGTAATGCCTGCAAAGCAGTGCCAAGATCCTTGTTCTGGGACCCACCATTGCATTTCAAATTTCCTTTCAATCTGATTGGCAATTTAATGATGGCTTTTTTAACATGCTAATCATGGTGTGTACTCAAAGCCTGGAACAGAGACGGAGGCCCAGAACAAGCCAGGATTTCAGTACTGTTTTGCTGATAGACATAACCAAAGCTTGGTTTCATCTGTGGCACAGGCTAATCAGTGGTAGATCCAGTGTTGAGGATAGGGGGGGCACCCATCATAATAGGGGGGTGGTGTTGAAAAATAATGGACAGGAATGCAGCCCCCAAGGGCTGGATCAATTTAGGTTTCTGGGAAACTGCCCACCTACCCCTCCCCTAAGCAATCATTTTGTCCTAAGTGAGAAGTAAGTGTTAATGTTAGCTTAGGGGAGGAGTAGGTGGGCAGTTTCCCAGAAACTTTAATTGATCCCAAGGGCCTTCCCTTGTATTTGCCACTGCAAATATATGAAAAGTTTGTTTATCACAAAAACAAACTAAGATTTATTAAGCTCACTATAAAAATCAAAATGCCTTGTCTAAGGCAGCAGCAAGGCTGCAAAGACAAAGACCTAATAATACATGTATTTGAATGTTAAGAAAACCTATTCACTCAACCCACAGTCCACCAAAATGAATACACAAACAGTAGCATGAGACATAACTGCTTATGAATTTCAAGATTAGATCATTTAAGCCTGGAGATCAAGCTACCTCTTACAGATATTCCTGGTGTCAAAAGAGAGTACCATTTTGATTTAAAGGGGGTATACAAAAAGGGCACAACAATGTAGTGTATAGAAACTCAAACAAAATGAGTCTCAAGGCAGGGGCAGATCCAGGGGGAGGCGCCCGGGGGACCCAGCCACCCCCCCAAGTATTTTTAGCCCAAACTGAGGCCTGACGGGCCCCCCAAAATTTTTTTTTGTCACTGCACCCCCTCCCCTCCCTCCCTTATCTGAAGGTCTGGATCGACCAATGCAAGGTTCTATATCTGTGGCAATGAAGAACATGGACAAGGCTGTGCTCTAAGGAAAATTGAAGGGAGCCCAGTGCTCTGAAACTGTAAAATCTAGGGTGCCCAGCATATGATTTGTGTGAAAAATCTGAGATTTCCTAGTCGCCAACGCCAAAAGTTAGGCGCCAGGGGCCACCAGGCTCTGCTAGAGCACAGCCCCGATGGAACAAAATAATTGTGTCTTTTGATCAACCTGAGTTTGAAGAGACTTGGCTCCAGCTATGCTCTCAGCTAGAAGATCCATCAATAGCTTAAAACTGGGTTCCTCCTGTAAGAAAACACATTGAAACAGTAAACAAGATGGACCTCAGGGCTCAAAACTGAAGCTTTGGATAAGTAGCTCTCACATATTGCTTGCCTACAATGGAGGCCAAAAGAACTTGGAACAGTGTGAAAAACCCTTCCAAGTAATTTTTACATAGGACTCTGCTCCTTACAACAATTTTTTGATCGGCTTTGGGTACATCTCTTCGTTCCCCACTCCCCTCAGCAATGTTGTGGCTAAAAAAAAGACTCATTTCCACCCATGGTGCTCAGAATTAAACTTTGTTTGGGGTGGGAGGGGAGGGGTCACTAGTTTGACTAATTAAGTTTGTTTACAGGGCTCTCCACTCAAATAGTAACTAAAGAAACAAATAATCCAAATAGAACATAACAGGATTAAAAACCCCAACTGGCAGGAAGACAACCAGTTGGCTATTTATAATCGTGGTCAAGGGTTTGAACTCGGGACAACTGACAATGAATCCAGCAAGTGGCCAGAGCGACTGCCAGATTGCAAGTCCCATGTGTTGGACACTCGCCACACTGCCTCCAGAAGGGCCACTGCTTGCTTCTCTTAGTTAATGATTATTTTACTTACAAGAATTCTTGCCAACTGGGCAGGTAAAAATTAAAAGATTAACCTGCCCAGCCAGAAAACACCCTCTTTTCCTAGATAACTAAAGGGGAATTTTGCAAGCTACCTGGAGGTATTAAAATACTGTTAATTACAGACCTACCATAAAATATAGTCTACATGTACTAGAATGATCAGTCACCAAGCAATATATTTTACAGCAAATAATTAAACAAATAATTAGTTAAAACTGATCTAACATAATACAACATGCCTACCTCACTGGAATGATCTGGAAGTGCACATTTCTAAAAAATACAACAGAAAGAAAATTTAAAATTGTATTATTACCAGGAGAAGGGAGAATGCAGTAGGTTGATGATGATAATAACATATGCAGAACATGCAGTGCGAGTCCACATTTATAAAGGACTTGCATTTTATTACTTGTCCATTCACATTCCCATATCCACATACCACTTGTATTGTCTTGTATTCCAATCCCACCCTCATTTATACAGTGACGAATCCAGACCCCTACACAGGGGGGGGGGAGGGGGGCAGTCATACATACATACATACATGTACATACATACACGTTTTATTTATCTGCTCATCAAGACCCTGAGATAAGGTGGGAGGGGGGGGGTGATCTTAAAAAAAAATTTTTTTGGCCCTTCAGGCGTCAGTTTGGTCCAAAATTAAGGGGCTCCCCCAGGCCTCTCCCCTGGATCCACCACAGTTATAATAATCCCAGTCCCCATTTAGTTTTTTTGCCATTGCAGATAAAAAATAGTGTCCCCAAGTTCTTTTGTGCAGTAGGTAAGATCTGTTCTCAGGTTAAACAAGGATTTCCTTTCTAGCAGGGGACAAGAGGAGTCCGCAATCATAATCGCCAACAGGTTGCCATTGCATATGGCAATGCACAGCCAAACATAGCCAGCTTCAATTGGGGAATGAGAATGGGATGGAATGTACAGAATGCAATCTGATCTGATGTGTGTTTGGACCTTCTACAGTACGTCTCTTATAATCTAATCGCGTGTTTTGACCTTCAATCAATGTCGCAGGCCCTCGGTATTACTAGAACAAGTCTTCTATAAATAATTGGGGCAGGGAAAAAAGCTAAATTCTGAAACAAACAAGGTTGGGGGATCTTTGTCACACTTGTCGAAATTCTTGAGGGGCGGCGGGTCATTCCCGCAAAATTGGAAAATCCAGGGAGGTAGGGGCTTCAAAGTGACATTCAGACAACAAGGCTTTGAAACCAATCAACTTCAGAATTCATTTAATAAATTCGTCAATCGCCATGGTCTTATCGCCGACAAGTATGGTGCCGCCCTGCAGGTGATGAGATTAGCAATCCAGGCTTAAATTGCACCATCGTATCCCTACATTGCTTATTTATTACTTGGATTTTTATTTCAGTTGTATCTTGGTATGTGTGCGCGCGCAATTTAATTTTGGGCATGAGCATTATTTATTTATTTAAGTTGCGTGTACATTTAGTTCGTTAAATAACGTCTTAGTTTTGCTTTGCGTTATTTTCCTCTCTTATATGTGTTGTCCGCAACTGTGCTCACACGGTGGGTGGCTCCTCCTAAAATGTTCGGCAATTGGTATAGGATTTAATGGAGCCAAAACCAATATTGTGCAATTGCACGCATTTTAGGCATCCTACTGATGAACAGCTGGGACTTGTAGATGTATTTTTTAGCAACTACTATAATTTGCATTCTGTCTACTTTGAATTCCCTCCGTGGTGGAGGTCTGGATATTTTCTGGAGCTACAACTTACTAGAATATGAATAATTAAGGCTAGGAAACAAACTAAATTTTGAATCAAACAAGGCTGAATACTGGTTCAACCTGAGGAAGGATTTTACATAATTGTTACACTCATTGTCATTCCCACACCCAATTTAATACCTAATCCTTTTCCAAATTTATTCCTATCAGATCCCTTTTCCTTGATTCCTCTCTTTTCTATTTCCTATCAAGGGCTATAACTGCATTTAATTATTAAAGCTCTATATTTTTGCATTACTGACGGCATAACAAAAACATACCAGTTTATTGTGTCCTCCCGTATTAAAAACACTCTGAAGAATGTTCACTCTTGATAAAAATAACTGAAGTTCCCTAAAGATTACACAAAATAGGTAATATATTATTTTGTCATTAATTCATATGTATTATTAACTTTTAGAGTACTTTTGGTACTAAAGAGTACTTTAAGGTAACCTTGAAGGGGACATTGAGTAGTAAAGGATAATAATTTTTGAAGTTGACAAAGTAATTTGAAGAGTTCCAAGGGCATGTGCAGGGAGCTTGTATGTTTATCTTACGTTATGAGGTTGAGTGACGTTGTAGCAAGGAGAGTTTGCATTCCATCTAACACTGCTCCACCATTAACTGCTGTGATCATGTCATTTTTAAGCCCATCCCCAAGGTATACACCAAGGGCTGTACGAAAGCTCTTATCCGCAAGGCTGTAAAAAGTATTGAAACAAAATATAAAGTCAGTGAAAAAGATCAAAATCTAATGTTACATCATCATTCATGCCTCCTTCTGGTCAAGGAGTTAACCCTTTAAGCCCCAGTATCCACATACAAATTCTCCAAACTGATCTCCATACATTTCCTTAAGGAATTAGTTGAGAGAACTTGATGATAGATCAGGGCATTTTTTCTCACGTGATCATTTTATTAATTCTCATAACTTATCTCTTGACAGTGTATGGATATTGTTAGGAAAAAATTGATCTTGGTCACTATTGGCACTTAAAGGGTTAACTCTCCACAGGTACTGCACCTCTGTGACTGATCCAATGTTTCAGCTGTTCTATTGATGAACAGAGGAGGAACCTCATAGTCGTTTGCATCTTGTCTCCCCTCATCATCATCATCATCGTCTTCGTCATCTAGAATGGACAAAAAAAAATTACAGACTTGCTTGTTGACCAAGTTAATTGCTCTGGCCCCAGTTCTTCAAAGACTGGATAATGCTATACACCGGATAAATCTCTATCCACTGAATAGTGCAACTGGTTTCCCTAAACACTTATCTGCTGGATAGTTATTTACCCAATGGATAGCACTATCCAGCTTTTGAACAACTGGAGTCAGACTGGTGACCAAAAAATTAGTAGAAATTTTAAGTCAAATCAGTACAAAAAGCTAAATCTAGACTGAAGTAAACATATACAGTGTAGCTGGCAGCTACTAGGATCAAGTCAAACTTGCTGTTGGTGTCCACCCCAATTTTTTTTGGTGCAACTGAGATGAGCTAAGTGGTTGCACATGGAATGAATGAATAAACAAATTTTTATAGCACATACAGCCAAGCCTGGTCAGGCATACACTCTATGAGGGTATGCATGACCAGGCTTGCCTTGAGGAAAGGAGATAATTATGTTTGTCCAGGTCACTGTTTAAGTCAGACACACGTTAGTCTAACCTCCATGTGTGACCACCTCTTGTTAGCGACCACCTCCCATCAGCTACCTTGACCACTTTTTTGGCCTGATGGCTTCATAATTTACAATTGTTTTAACCTCTTCAGAGTGCAAAGAAATTATTCATTGTTACAGCTTGCCATTTGGGCAAGCTGATGCTAGCATTTACTAGCCCAGACATCATTTCAACTAGCCCCAAAAGCTTTTTGACGAGCAGTATTGATTTCACAGTTCTTCTGTTATTTGAATTCCTCAAAAAACATCACTTCCCCGTCGGGCCAGTTAAAAACAGAATTCACTAGCCTTATAGCAAAATCCACTAGCCCCAGGCTATCGGACTTTCTTTGCACGTTGCTTTGGTAAGCGACTGCTTGACACATGTTGTGGTCTCTTTGGATGCTGTACACTGATGTATGTACTATCCAACTCATGCCTAGTGTATATGTTACGGGTCAGAATTACATATTTCAGGTTAAAATTTTAATCCTAGGTTGATGCTCAAATTTCTTTGTTTCCTAGCCCTAAGTCATGAATAATTAGGGCTAGGAGACAAAAGGAAACTGGGAATCAACCAAGGTTACAAACTTTTAACCTGAATATAATTTTGACCTGTAACATATACAAAGAACTTTCAGTGACAAAATGAAACTATTCTCACTTCATACACAATTTGCCCGTGACGCAGGAAATAAGATACTCCTTTAAATTCCGTTGTGTTGGGCCTGCATGCTATTGGCATGATGCACTGTGGCCCTTGCTTAGAATTGCTTGGCTTTTGCCCGCCTCTGGGCCAGTTGAACAGAGTTCAGTGGAAGTGACTTCAAAGTTTTGCCCCTCCCACCTGTAATATACCCTGGTGGTGGTTGACGTCGCATACCCCCATTATTCGGCATACCTATATTGTCCTGGTAGTTGCAGTTTCCTCCCATAACATAGTACCCCGTAACAGGACAAGGGTATGGGGTGCGAATATTATAAAACACGTATATGTTACAGGTCAAAAATTTTAACCTAGGTTGATTCTCATTTTCGCTTTTCTCCTAGCCTTAATTATTCACGAATTAGGGCTTGGAGACAAAGGAAAAGGAAAATCAACACAGGTTAAAAAATTTTGCCCTGAATTTCATTTTGACCCATAACATACAGGTAAGCATAACTTAGAAATTGCATACAGTGAATTCTCTGCCAAAGAGTAGACATGTTGGGAACTCTTCTCAGATGAGACCCCCGGTGGTTGGATTGTCATAAGCAACCACCTCCAGTGAGTAACCACTAAATCTCTGCATTTTTGGTGATCATTTAAAGGAGGTTTGACTGTATTTTTCTTAACATACTATGCACCTGTTTTTCAGCTGCTAAATGATAGTCTTTGGTAACAATTCGTTTGATCTGTCTGGTCATCATGTCTAACTCCAGGTAGGATTTCATTGGGTGGGGGACATTTTAGTTGGACTGACTGTTATTTGCAGCTCTGCTCTAACAGGGTTTGCAAATTTTATTGATGAGTGGAGTCAGTGTGACTTCTGCTTCACAAATTTTGGAGTCATTTTGGAATATTTGGAGTCAAGCATCACAGTGAAAAAAGCAATTTTCAGACTTTCCAGCATGTGGTCCTGGCATGTATACACTATCATGAGGGATACACGAAGTAGCTGTGGCAGTCTGCTGACCTGGAAAGCTCAAATCCATGATGGCGGTCATCGAGTAAACTTTGATTGTAATTTACCCTCTTCCTGTTTTGTCGTGCAGTATAATTCTTTAATTTCAACGATTTAATTAAGGTTTACAACGTTTACAATAAACGTAAATTGTATTTGTTGTGAAAAAGGTAAGGACAAAACTGTGTCTGTTACCAAAAATTTCTGGAGTCGAAGTGACTCCCTCCGTAACCTCAGTGGAGTCATCTGAACAATTTTGGTGTATTTGTGAACCCTGTCTAATCTCACCTGTTTCATCATCAGTAATACTATCCCTGTCTTGTGGTGCCATTGCTGGCTGCCTTAACTCACAGGGTAGACCATTATTTGCTTGACTGTAGAAAGTGACCAGATGTTCAAGCTTACTGAAATCCTGAGCTTGGGCACCGGGGACAGCCTTGAAATAAAATTAACAGATGTCTCTTTACTGACAATTAAGGCTAATCATTGGTGACACCATTGAATATGTATATTTTGGTTTTACAGCGAAATTCGTTGTATCGTGCAGTGTGTTTTGCAAACTTTGAAGAAATTTTGGCTTTTTCTGTTCCGTCAATCATCTTAGCGGACCTCTTAGGACATACATGTTTACTGGCATGAGTTCAAAAGGTCACGGTTTGTGATTTGTGATTGGTGGATTTCGATCCGTTTTGTTTGTTTCAGGTTTTAAGGTTCGTTGCTTTGTGATCGTCCTGTTTTGGGGCAATAATCGACTAGTTGAGCTTGCTTTGCAGGTTTTTCTGATCTTTCTTATTCCTGTCAGGTTTTTTCTGATCTTTTCTTATTCCTTGAGCAGTCACTTGCAAGAATAAATGCAACATCTGCCTCCTTCCCTTTCTACCTGTCGATTTCAGACAAAAACAGGTAAAAATATTGATGCCTGTCCACTCACCATCACAATTTCCCATCCATTTTCCACCAGCATGCGTGCTATTCTTGAGCAGTCTAGGGTCATTCTCAGCCAAATAAAAACGAGATGATGCAATCGGTAGTGCGCAACATGTTACATTGTGATTTGCATTAAACCTATAATCGGATAATGATATGGATCGCCTTCACTAAAATGGTTGAAGTGGAAGAAGTTCATGTAGAAGAGAATCAGAAAACCCAAAAATCCCTTCTCAAAGAAGACTCACTTAATGACCTCATGCATGTTGCCCTTAGCAGGGTCACTGTAAAGAACTTGAACCCTGAGCCTGCCATTGAACTATGGATGGATGATGCTAAAAAACCCAGGAGACTAGTGGATGCCTATGGGCACCAAAGGCCTAAACAGGCTGAGACAAAATAAACTGACATGTCATTGCTTCTATCATTTTATTACTAATATTGTCAATTGTAAAACCACAGTTCAATTTTGTTATCGCTAAAAAAAGGAAAATAAATGTTTAAATTATTGTTCAGCTTGGATGTTGGTGGACAGGTAAAAATATTCTACCTGTCATTTTTTCGACTCCATTTAAGATAATGCCCCGTGGCAATGAATTGAGCTTTTACCCGCATTTGGTACTATTTATTTATTTGGTTTTACCAAAATTTTTTTGTTTTGTCTTTATGAACTATTCCTTTAGCCACTAGAAGGTGTGAAAAGGTCAGGGGCTGATTACAAGGCTGTGCTCTACGAAAAATTGAAGGGAACTTACGTGAAATCCAGGGCACCCAGCATTATGAGGTGTATGAAAAAAACTAAGATTTTCTCGTTGTCCGGGAGCAAAAGTTAGGTACCACAGGCCTGGTCGCTGCTAGACTACAAGCCCTGGATTATGATTATGGGCCAGGTAAATATCTAAATAATACGTGAATTGAGCCAGCTGAGACCTGCCATGTTTAGAGAGATTGAAAGCAGTATACATGAGCAGGGTGTTACTTGGTTTGTTGGGTTTGCAGGGCTGGCCCGACAAGCATGATTGCACAGAAACTTTCTTACTTGATCATTGTGTAACCATGAAGTCGATAAATTTCCTACTTGATCATTGTGTAATCATGAAGTCGATTTTCATTGTGTTTAATGGCCCTAATGCATGATGACCGGTATGTCAGATGAGCAAATTTCACCACCAAGTCGCCATTGTTTGCAACCCTTTGTGTATGCTGGCTATTCTTTTCAATTCTTTACCACTGAGAATTTATTTATGTAAAACTTTGTTACTCTATATACCTGCCAACTTTTTCTGAGATATAAGCATGAGATTTTTATCCTGGGAGTGCTAGGATTTTTGAAGATGACACGATCATTTCCGAAGATTCCCGAAGAAGTCCGAAGTCTTCCGAAGACGTCCGAAGTCGAAGTTATCGAGAAAACGCTTATCCACAAAATCAGAGATCGTGAGGAAGGTATTGTCATTTATTCATTTTACACATGGTTTTCGTTCCTTACATGGGTCTGAGTTAACATATTTTTGGAAATTGTGTCAAGCAAGACGGCAACAACTCACATTTTTCAATCAGGCGTGAGAAATTGGCCCGCAAGCGTGAGCCGGAGTGAGATAGAAGTTTTCAACCCTCAGGCGTGAGACTCACACCTAAGGCGTGAGAGTTGGCAGGTATAACTTTATTGCAATGTCTAGATGAGGCTTGATGTTGGTCAAATTTGCTTGTCTGATGTAAATATGCATAACAGCTATTGACATGCCGTGACATCACCAAACTGGTCCAGCCTGAGCCAACTTATGTAAACAGGCTCTTTCAAGTGAAATAAACTGTTTACATTCAGCATTTTGTGCTAATGAAGTCAGAGATGTTGCAACTGACCTGCATGTAGAAAGCTCCATTGCCTTCCCTTCGTAAGATTCTGAAATGGTGGATTCTCCCCTCGTGTCTACAAAATGGTATTATTTAAAGTGCATAAGTGTGCATTTAACTGGAGGAGTTCAGATCAAGAATGAAACCGACCCAATCTAAAATTTCTTTAAAAATGTTAAAAAATGCAAAACAGAGCTCTAGTTTATTTTCAAACTGTGTTCCTAAAAGGAAGAAACATTTGATTGAAACTGAAACATATAGGAAATATAATTAACTTATGAGATTCCCAAAATGTAAACCTGTAAAATGATATGACAAATATAAAGTTTTCCTGTTAAATACCAAACACTTCTCTTTTCAACTGCCTAGAAGCGGATTTCGTTAATATTTACTTGATACAGCACCGTAATTAAGCTTAACTACAGTCTAATAGGTCACGTTAATATCCGCAACATTAATATTCAACAACAAGCACTTTTTTTATCAGAAGTTTAATAGACCGAGACATGAATGGACCGACCTTGCCTTATTTAAATTGAAACTTCTACATAAGCAGTGACGCAGTGCAATATTCATATATACTTACAATAAAGAGAGGGTGTGTGCATTGGAAACACTTTCGCTGTCTCTGATAATAAAGGCACCATTTTTGCCGGAGCTTAGAAGCAACTCCTCAGCTCGCAGCCTGCTGATACTTGGAAGATGCCACGGAAATGACATGAAAAAGCCAGCTATGTCACTTCCTCTTTGATATTGTTCACCTTACATACGGCATCGTGATATTGAGTAACGAAAGTAAAAACTAATCAAATGCACCCGCAAGAATTCACTTCCCTGTAGAAAGTCTCAGAGTTATGATCATTCCCAGGGTTCATATCGCAACTTCATGAAGGAAAATTCATATATGCATAAGTAACGTAGAATCCAACGCTTCAGAAAGCCGCTGATCAAAGTGAATATCGCTGTTGTCATTTTGGCCGAAGTTTTGTATTTCATCAAGAAAGGTGGCGAGAAAGGAATAATTTTCGCCTCGAATTACAGTATCAGTGGCGAAAGGAAACTCATAAATAGGGAAGCGAAAATAAAACAGGTATTTTACTTTCGGTGTACGTAGTCATAGCGGACATTTGTTTCGCTTTCATGCAGTTTGCGCGTCCTTCGCTTTCTAATCTTTTCATCGTCATTTTTTTTATAGGGTTCTTACATGGATGGATGATTGCCCTGAACAAGAAGGCCCTGGGGTAACCCGTACAAAAAGGTAAGCTTCGTTGTATTATGTTAGCCTTGCACTTAACATCACAATGTTTGGAGGTTGAAGTTAGTTTGTGATTCATTGCAATGAAGACGAGTCAACAGATGTGTTTGTTAGACAAGGCTTTGAGCCCGCAATGGATTCACGCAGGACTTGCTACCATTTCACTTTGCATTTCGATCACTGGAGATATTTACATCCTGTATAGCGCCATTGTGCATGTAATAAGGTGAGTTACTGAAGGACCATTTCGGCGAGTTTTAAAGAGAAAAGGTAAATTTATGGTGCCGAGTACTGCTTACGCTTATGTTTACCAGCTCATACATAACAAAGAGAGTCTACATTACAGAACGTGGAATAATATGTGCAACTTTTCATAACTAATTATTGTAATCAGTATTATTAACGTCCTTCCTTTAAAGAATGTTATCTGTTGGGAGAATTCATTTCCTATCTGCCTGGTTTCTGGTAACAAGAATGTGCTGACATGGCAGCATCACATTTCATATGTCTTTAATAAAAAAAGGCTATTGTTACTCATTGCAGTGAAATGCAATAATAATAGTAATGATAATAGTAATAATAATAATGATAGTATTGTTGTTCTCATGAATTGTGATTTAAGTAGCTATAATTATTATTATGTTGTCTTCTTGCCAATCTTATTCATCAGGGTAACTGGTGAAATTACCTGAAAGTCATCTTGTCCAAAGAAATGTTGCCTGAAACCAGAGTTATGTTGCCTGAAATTTGTTTATAACTCCCAATTCAGGATTTTGGGCAACATGTATATTTTTTATGTTACCGAAATCCTGAATTATGTTGGCTGAAATTTTTCTCAGAGAAAAATTCACAGAGAAATAGAGTGGAATAAAGCAGTGTAAGCCACGATGAGACAAAACAAGCGCCATTTTAAGCCAAGATGTGATGAAACAAGGGTGATAAAATATGCAGTGTATCTTGTTCTTTAAGCCTTTTGTGTAAATTATAAGTGTAAATGTTCTAAAAGGTTTGGGATGACTCTATATCTTTCTAAGACAAAAGAAAGCGATGGGAGGAATGTACTCCATTTCATAAAACACAGAATTTTCCACCATTTGATCCCAAGAAAGATGAATAAAGTTTACTTACTGTTTGCTTTTAGCATTGTCTATTGCATTTTGTTTGTGGCACTTTGAGTCTTCTTGAAGTTAGTGTCACTGGCAACCTTCATGTAGATAAGAAAACCATAAGACATGCAGTTTCTGTGACACCATCAGCTGAATACTTGCTGATTTCCAGTTTTCTCACACTTCCTTGCATCCGTTGCTATCCCTCCTCGGGAAAGTGAAAGCCAGACAGTTTGTGAAGTTCCGTGCCGAAAATCACAGAATTTGCAAGGCTCTTAAGTTACTTAAAAAATTTTTTTCTTAAGCTGCGTAGCAAGTGTTTCCGATAGAGTTAATGCGTGAAAGTTGGAGGAAGAGCAAAAAATGGAAGAAGTTGGGGTTTGAGGGCAAGCTTTTCCTTAATTTTTACCACTCCCCTTCATTCCTCTTTTTGCTTTCTCAATTTTCTTGACCAACTCACGTGGAAACGCTTGTCATGCTCAAGGATTGACTTAAAAATAGAAAAATATTGCTCATTTTTTTTCTCTCAGAAGCAAGCTTCAAGGTAAAAGAAAGGGGTCATCTAATCAAAGTTCTTCCAACGAGGTGGAAAACAAAAGGTACATTTAGAGTCATAAGTTTTCTTTTACCATTTCACGATGCACACTCTCAATCAACAAATCAGGTTAGGGGTTGGTGAATTGAATTGAATCTAAAGGATGGTTGAGGGTTACACAGAGCAGCAAATGAGTGAGTGAAAACCACCAAACCCCATCTTCCAACATCCTGGGATTATCAAAATGGAATGTGAATATGGGAACTCTCAAGAACTTTTAAGAAAAATGTCTGGTTTTCTAAGTTCCAGGGACCGTACATATAAGCTGTTAATAAAAATATTGAATATTGCCTTGTGTTACATATATGTAGATCCAAACCCAGTCTACCTGGGCGGTCATCTTCAACAACTCCCAAGCGTCAGTCAAGTGTAAACTGCTCATACAAGTAAGTGACAGTCAATACTACTGCTACTTTTTTTTTTAGAATTTTCTTCGAAAAGAATTTACCTGGTAACAAGAACCCTGTTTGCCATTATGGCCTCATGGACTGATGTTCAGTCTGTATTTCTCAATTCTGCTCCATGTTTAGAGAGTTATCTGTCACACTATGCCCTAATTTCCACCTTTCTGTTTGGGCTGAACGTCAGATGTCAACTGGTACATGTATGACTCGCAATGAATCTTATGCCCAGAGATTTAACTACAAGAGCTTCATGAGTAAAATAATTTTGATGTAAAAACACAATGCCCTTACTACGTGTTTTAATAGTAGTTACAGTACCCCTCACAAGTATGTCACAGTTGAGTCTTGTTTTCTGCAGTATAAGAATTGCTTCATGCAAGGATCAGTGAAGCTACATATTTTGGCATAATTATCAACAATCTGTCCTGCCCAAAACCAATCAATTTCTGCATTATTGTTGGCTTCTTTTGGGGAAATTTTCTTTGAAGTTCTCATCACCACAGCATTTCAGCATACATGTGATTGCCTAGTTTTTCAAACTTTCATTACTGTTACAGTTTAACTAACCGCTGACATAAGTGACGCTAATCTTATTTCTTTACTGATTTAGTTTAAGGTCTCGCAGTTCTTCTGTGAGCCCTCGGACCAGCACCAGTGATTGTGGAATCCACAGGTAACATTCACTTCTTTTGATTTTAACAATCAAATAGTAAAATTATGGTGAAGGTTTTCGTCACTCAACTTTACTTGAGTGGTATCGTTGACAGGCTAGTGGTGGTGGAGGAAAGTGCTAGGCTACACTGCTAGGCTGTCAACGAGGTTAAAAGGAAGAGCACTTAGACAATAAGTTAGAACAAGTTATAGCTATCTCTAAGCGCCAATGAGCAACAATTTTACCTAAACGCCCACGCTGTTTAATTTGTTTAAAAATGTCATTAATTACCGTAACAATAAAAAATTGCTTCGGGCAAATGCGACAGATACCCGAGTATTCTCTGTTCTACATTACGTCATGAAAGTTACCACACACTACCTTATGTTATGTCACTTCGAGATTCATTCTGCCTTGGAACTTTTGCGCACGTCTTTATTAGGCTGTCGCCTTGCAGCCTCGCATCTTCACAAGGCTGCTTGTTGGCAATAACTACATTTGTATGCAAGCACTCCATGATCATTTTTGTTTCCTCCCCTTTCAGTGTCCAACAAGTCGTCCAGGAGAAGCAGACTTTAAGCAGCAAGCCTGTTATTGGGTCATCATCTTCATTAACTGTTGGCAAGCCTGAGCAAACTCAGTCCTTGTCATCATCTGCAGGCCATTCAGCACTTTCCACACCTTCATTTACTTATTCAAACAGTTCTGCAGCCATTGGTAACTCACCATCAAGCTCCAAGTCTTCCTCCCGTGGAAGACGTGCCACGTCATCATCATCTCTGTCTGATAAGACCACAGAAACAAGCCAATCCTCATCCTGTTCTTCTCGTCCACAATCACGAAGTTGGAGAAGAAGTGACCCGCCTGAGCCAGGCATAGGCTTAAGGCGGTCACAGAGGCTTAAAGAGACAACGGGATCCTGTGCTAGTAACAGGTATGAAACTTTTGTGTGAAATCCAAGCTGCAAAACATTTTCTATCCCTACCCTCCACCCTCAAACCATATGGAGCCAAGGAACTTCATCCTCACACTGCATGACTTTGCCTTGGTAATGGTAACAGAAAGCAAAATTAGTCAGACTGATTGAACACTAATATTATTGATTGGTTTTAAAAAACAAACTTTTGCTATTAAAAGAAAGTTCCATAAACAACTAAGCTTATACCCTGTTGCAGTCAACCTAAATAGCTACCTGTATGTTCAGATGGAAGATTCTTCTTAGTTTCAGTCTCACAGATCAATCAAATTAACTTAATCCTCATTGTTACAAACAAGCTTTTTACTCTGGCTTAATATGCACATTATGTACACTTATAAACTCTATTTTGTTTTTTAGTCGGCGTGGGCCACAGGGGAAAAAGCAGTCGTGGACACGCCGGCAGGCTTCCAACATGTCAGTAGACAAGTATGTACTATATTATTTAAAATGAAAACCAATTCATTCAGCCAAGGACAAAAAATACTGAATACCCTATTAGCTAGTTAATTCTATTTAATTACATGTAAATCAAAGGTCTCCCTTTATTTTTTCCCCTCTTTTTTTCCATGACAGAGCACATGTAACATAGTTTTCATAATTGTCTTGATCACAATTATTTTAATTCTGACTTCTCAGGCTGACTCATCCCCAGTCGTCTCTCATTATTAGTATTTGGCGTGGAATACTAGAATGAAGAACGAACTAGAACAAAGGGGATGACGGGAAAGAAGAAGGGATGACCAAGGGGATGACGGGAAGGAAGAAGCCTTCCCATCTTCCCAGTGCGCATAACCCAAGCACTTCCCTAGTAAATAATTAATGAGTAGAGACAACTGGGGACAAGTCAGTTTCTCAAGTGTTTACAGTGACTATAAGCAATGTGCTTTTGAGAGGTGGGGCAGTATGGTGGGTTACATTAATTTTTGTTCATGGCACTGGAGTTTTAATGTGATGCTTGACTTTTAAGCCCAGCCTGGGTCCAGACGCTGGATATACAATAATGGCTATCATGTTGCAATATTTATCCCACTTAAACTCTTTGTTTTTAATGGCAGACATTGGTGGTTGCATCTGACTTAAGGCTGTTTTTTAAGTGACAGAGAACTTTTGGAATCAGAGTTGTTAACAGAAGCATTTAGTATTATTATCAAGGGAAAAAAAGCATTTTTTTTCACTTGTAACTTTGTGGCTTACAGTCCAGTGAAAACTAGTCAAGATTATTGAGGTCATGAGTAGAAGCAGAAGAGCTAAACCAACCACAATGTGTAGTTGAAGGGCATTCTGATTGGTATATTTTTCTGCTTCCGCTTTCCACTCCAGTAATCCAGTTTTCATAAAACTGTAAACAAAAGACTGAGTCACATGTGGAGAGGGAAAAAAAGCAGAAACGTTCTGATTCTTGCAACTCTGCTTCTGTTGAGCCTATGACTGGGTTCACCACTCTTGTTTTTTTTATTTTCACTGGGTCTTAAGCACTATTTTGACGCCAATTATTACCATTTGAGCCATAATAGTAACATTCACCCTGTATGCTGTAATTACGTGTATGTCAAAATGTGCAAGCTTAAGTTATAACTTTAAAAAACTAATATCATTTTTCTATATTTCTTTAGTGAACCTCAAGATCCTGGGTCTTCAGATGCAGGTATGAACTGTATATTGCACTCTCACAGTAACTTGTATGTGTACATCATTGTCCTGTATAGAGTATAATAGAGGTTCTCAATGATTAAACAGGTTTTCTCTTGGAGGGGAATGAAGACCCCCATTATCAGTGTTAGAAAATATCAAGCATATACCCTCTAAAGATACGCTTTCCAAAAATAAGCCCACTAAATTACAGTACTTAATGCTACACTAATTTAGAGACTGTGAGTAGCCAGATGGTTTTATCTTTGATTTCATATACTACAGCCCTGTAAAAAAAAGTGGCTTGTTGCGTAAAGAGTTATTTTTTTCAAGAAAATGACTGTGTTATTTATTGACCACTGTTTTTACTTTTTGCAGCTCGTGGCAGTGTTGAAGACTCTGCAGCTCCATCCTCCAGTGGTATATTTTTACATATCAATTTTTGTAACTATAAATCTTTTATTTCAGAAAATATTCATCCCCCCCCCCCTCCTCAAGAGGGATTTTTTTTTGTTTGAACCTGCCTCCCATCTCCAAGCTCCAGTTTTTCTTCAGACTTTCCTTTAAAAAATTCCCTGTCCTTATTTTCTGGAAACACACAATTTTATTTGCATTGCTTTCTGAAATTGGGGGTGGTAAAATTATATTCAAAAGTTACAGACTATTGAAACTTTTTAACTATTGAATATATAAAAAATAACAAATTTTCCTTTAAGTAGATGCCATTACTTCTTTTCGTTTGACTTGACCAAATAAACATGTTATAGTGTTCTTTGGATTTTCAAATGGTGGCTCAGAAACCATGATCACTTTTTTGCATAGCCAGTGGCTGTAGCATGTACATGTAACAGGTTACTTTAACTTACTACTGCAGGAGAGGCTTCCAGAAATGAGATGGAGGGATCTGGCAGCCTTGAAGACTTGGAATTAAAAGATGGAGAATTGTCAAGACTGCAAGGTCAGACATTTTGATAGTGATTGTAAAGTTATTTGTTAATATATAGTAGCAAAGAATATGCATAAAGTGCAAATTCACTGGAGAATACAAATTCCATTGAGAAATACAGGCATGTCGTGACCCCAAAAGAATTATTTTCGGAGAGCAGCACATTCCAAACATTACAAGGGAGGTACATGATATGTACACAACAGGGAAGTAGATAAGTGGTGGCTGACAGCAACATGCAAAGAAATTTGTGTTTGATATCCCAGGGTAGTGGATTTTGCTATCGGGCTAGTGATTTTTGTCCTTAACTTTCCTGATGGGGAAGTGCTGTTTTTTGGGGAAATTCAAATTACAGATGGATTGTAATCAATCCTGCTAATCAAAAAACGTTTGGGGGCTAGTTGAAATGACTTGTGTGCTAGTACATGCTAGCTACAGCTTGCCCAAATGGCAGGCTGTAAAACTGACTTTCTTTGCACCCTGTGACAGCAAATATAAGCTTATTAATTTCACTGCAAATCAAAGACATGGGGTTTTCATGGTGCACAGTTAAGTATAACTAGTCTAACAGAATAGCCTGCTTAGCTCTTACTGACACTTAAGCTTTATTCCCGGATTTAAAGTGTCTCTTCCTATTGGTGAATATATAATGCAGGCACACCTTTTTCCTGGTCACATACAGAGCAGACAGTAAATTTCCTACCATTCCTTTCTGCCACCATGCAAGAAGTTATTTTAAGGGCATTTCCTGCAAAGCAAGTTCTCTTCATGTATTTGTCCTTTTTGTTTTATTGTAGCCCTTTTGGAGGCACGTGGTGTACCATCTCATCTGATTGGCTCACTTGGACCACGAATGCATCAGCTCTTGCATCGAACTATCAGCTCTGGTTCAGGTAAACATGTCAATGGTACAGCAGATTCAGTGTCTTAGTTTGTATATTATGAATTATGAATTATTTTTTAAATTATTTTTCCGACAGCCTGTGTGCTCAAGGCTGTGCTCGAAGAAAAATAATTGCCCAGTGCTTTGAACCTGTGAAATCCACGTTGTTCAGCATATATTTTTTTCTGAAATCAAATCTAACAATTCCTAGTCACCCAAGAGCAAAAGTGAGGCACCTGGGGCCACTGGTCATTGCTGGAGCATAGCCCTAAACTGTAAATTAAAAACTGAGTAGTAACTATGTTTATTTAAATCAATCATCTTGCCCAACATCTAGGTGGTAAAGTTCAACAGATGTTGACAGGGATCCAGTCATCAGATGAGGGACAACAGCTCCAGTCTGTTATTGAAATGTGCCAGGTAATGACTGAGGCAGGAAATACTCCAGATTACTCTTCTGTCTGTAATTTAATGCAAAAAATAATTGTAAGTCTAGGCCAAACTAAATTGTGTTCTTCATATACAGGCTTTACATACTTGTCTTAGCTTAAAATGACATGCACTTACTTTATTCAGTGCCAAATCTGTCTGTTAGTCTAAGGAGACTTTCCAAAAGTCAGAACTGGCCGACTGAACCATGGCCGGATGAGCTATTTTGAAAATGAACTGGCTTTTTCCAAGAGCTTTTTCTATCTCGTGCATACTAGTTAGGTTTTGACTGATCTGGCTGGATAGTTTTGATTAAAAGTAAAATTCTCATTACGACGGGAATGTTGTGGCCGGTCAGTTCTGACAAATGGAAAGTGCCCTATGTGTATGCAAGTGGATAATAATAATTTTCCATTTGCACATCTCCCATAATACACCTTATTCAACCCCCAAAATTGTGAATAACCTTTGTTGTTGATTTCTCTAGGGAATTACAGTCATCCCAAGAGAAATTGAGACAATAGTGGGCGGGGAAGGCGGGGGGAGCAAACAAGGTGTATTATGGGAGATGTGCAAATGGCAAATAAATTGTATTTTTTTCTGTTTATTTAAGTGTTCTTTATGTACACCCATAAATGTATCGTGTTTTTCCTCTCCACTATTATCATTTAGAAGCTCCCGTTTATAGAGGTTTTGTCAATTTGTGTCTTAATTTGCTCTTTGTTATAGTTTCTAGTTATGGGGAATGAAGAGAGCCTTGTTGGTTTTCCTGTGAAGCAAGTTGTGCCTGCACTAGTGAGTAGTCTCTCTCTATCAACAAATGAATGTCCACACTGTAGGCTGGTTTAAGGCTGATATAGAGGATGCTGTACACTCTCCTTTTTGTTCCTTTGTAAAAGATCTTGAGGATAGTAAAGTTAGCTTTCATTAATACTATTACTGAAGGAAAGCCTATCACATACAACAAGCAGGCAACCAATTGAACAAAATCTTTGCTGGAATGCAGGCACAAGCAATGAAAAACTGTTGTAAAAACATGACAACTAAAAGTGGAAATAAGTTTATGCTCTGCACACTTATTTTCGATGTTGTGATGCATTAACTGTCTTTGTTGCATTTGTTTTCATCAGATTAACCTGCTTTCAATGGAGCACAATTTTGACATTGTAAGTATATGAATTTCCCACCACACACTTTCACATTTGGCTACATTGTATGTTTTTAAATGTGTAGCTTTGGGTGTCCTTACTCTGTCAGTGTCTCCTGTACATTTGTTGACTTTGTTGACTTTGCAGATGAACCATGGCTGTCGAGCATTGACATACCTGATGGAGGCTCTCCCGAGATCAACAGCTGTAGTAGTGGAAGCAGTGCCTGTGTTTATAGAGAAGGTATGACCTCAGAAGCCATGAATGGGTAATTAACCCTTTAAACCCTAACATAAAAATGCAAATTCTCATTTGTTATCCCTATACGTTTTCAATAGAAGTAGTGGGGAGAATTTGTTGAAGCATCAATTAGATTAATTTTGTGTGATCATGTCCTCAATTCTCATGACCACTCTGTTTTATAAAGCAGTGATATTACAAGGAGAAACTTGAAGCTGATCACTCTAAGGGCTTAAAGGGTTAACAAGGCAAATGGCTCAGCATGTAGAGGGAGGCTGCTAAGCACAAAAGAAGTGTAAGAGTCGCTGACTGCAACTCTAGCTTCTCAAGTGCTTAGCAATCCTCCCAAGTGCAACTATAACTCAATAGTACGCGCTGAGCTGTTTACCATTTGTTTTATAAGATAACCAAAAGAGAACAACTTTTAATTTTGCTCACGGATAGGAGGGAATGACGTGAGTGCTGTAATCTGCTTGCTCTATGGTGTGTGCAAATCATTCCTTGCAAATTCTTTTGTTACAAGAAAAATCTTTTTTTTGTTAATAACTAGTTCACCATCTTTTAGTGCACTTGCTTTCATCACCATTCACCCATGGGCAAACAGTTAATGGGTAATTGAAGAATCAGAGCATGCTCTTTACGTTTGTTATGTTATAAAAGGTTTTGATGAACTGGTTGGATTTTAGGAGCAAAATTATCAGTTGCCATGTTGAGGTGGCCATTGTTGTTGTCTCTTTTTTTTTCTTATTACTACATGTACAAGGATTGGTTTTTTTCTAGATTCTCTTGTTATTTTTGCTATTTTAAAACCAACAATGTACGAATTTCATAATAATTTTACATCATTATGGCTTACCTTGTTGTAATTTCTGTACTCCCTTTGGGCCCAGTTTTTCAAAGGCTGATTAGCGCTAACCCAGGGTTTAATTTCTACCCGGGTTTCTTTTTCTGTTCATCAAAAGCATTTTCTCCAATTAATTTCTCTAATATTTTTGGAGTATCCAATCATCAAATTGTAGACAAAAAAAAACTGAAGTGAATTTGCTTTTTAAGCTTTCATATCTGAATTCAAATTTTGCACTTACCCAGGGTTATCTTAACCCAGCTTTAAACAACCCAGCCTGGTCTATAGCCTTTTTTTGCCTTTAAGAAGTAAACAAACTGAGATTATAATCTTACTTTTATTTTATGAAGCTTCAAGTCATCCAGTGCATGGATGTAGCAGAACAAGCACTGACTGCATTAGCAATGCTGTCCAGGAGACATGGAAAGGCAATTTTACAAGCAGTAAGTATTTACTCAGGCCCTGTTAGGGTCAAATTCCAAGAAACGACGTAGGCTTGCAACAGGGACTTAAGACAGACGAAAGTGCGACAAATGACATGAAGATCAGTTGAAACTGTGACAGCTACAAGGACTATCTCAATACAGTAGTTAAATTCTTGTAGCAAACAGCAATCGGCAATCAGAGGTAAATGGTAAAGAAAGTTGATCTCAGTGGGTGCATCAGACAAGTGATTCTCTGAAAGGGAATACAAAGCACAGCCAGTTTTTGCCAGTTTTTTAAAAGATAACAGAATGGTTAAAACTTGAATTAGTTGGTCCAGTTTTTTCTAGTTGAAATTCATTTCCCTCTTGCACAACAAAAGCGAAAGAAAGCCCTTAATAGTTTGGCTAGAAAAGTAGAATAACTTCTAAAAAAACATGTGGCAAACATGGTCAGAACATCCAGGTTTTTAGATTAGAAAAGATGGCTTTAACAAATATCAGAGTGTGCTTCTTGTTGAGTTCACTTTGCTGTGTTATCTCTTCTTTAGGGAGGAATGTCAGCCTGTCTGTTGTTTTTGGACTTCTTCTCAATATCAGCACAGGTATGGCTCAGATACAGTTGTATAGAAAAACAACTAAAAGACCCAGCAGTGTTAAGTCTAGTCTGCTCAATGCCTTCTTCTGATGTTGATTTGTTTCAGTTTACTGTGCTGTGCCCTTAACCAATGATGTACATGTACATAGTAACATGCCTACACTACAGCTATTTAATTTAGTTAAGATCACATTCTTGTTAATCCATGTACTCTACAATTATATCATATTGATATCTATAGATTCTGCTAAGTTTTCTGTACATTGACAGATAACTTGTGTCCAACATTTTTTTGTCACATTTGAACACATGTACAGAGGTAAGCGAGATAGTGATGCATGAAATAATCAAATCTTCTTTCTTCTCTGTTTTCAGAGGTCAGCCCTGTCAGTAGCTGCCAACTGTTGCCATAGTATTGGTGTCGGTGACTTTCATCTGGTCGCTGATTCTATCCCAATCTTGAGTGGAAGATTACAACATCAGGTAACTCAAAAGACTCACAGAGCTGCAATCAATGTAGTGAATTCTGTTCTGCCCAAAAGTGTGACCTCTTTTAATTAACTCACATTCTTTCATGCAGACATTAACCAATCAGAAATCAAGGACAGTTTCCGGCTGGTTTCTGATTGGATTAAATCTGTACAGAAGAATAAATCAAAAGTGGTCACACTTTTTGGCTCGTTGCTGTAACTTGCCCAAAGGACAAGTGAAATTTTCGGAGGTTATTCAAATTATGGAAGAACTGTAATCATTGCTCATCAAAAATGCTTTTCGGCCAGGTAGTTGAAGTGACTTTTGGGCTGGTACGTGCTAGCTACAGCTTGCCTGATGAATGGCACCCTTTAGAACTGACTTTGTTTTCACCCTGCTGACTAAAATTTTCCCATTGTCTGACAAAATCCTATTTGTGTTTGGACTTGATAATCAGATTATAACCAGACAGATTAAAATACAAATGACTATCATTATGAAGCTGTAGCTTTATAGTCAATATTTGTAATAAACATTGTTTGCCTGGCATTTTTTTGGTTTGTCTGACCAGAATGGTGACCTATTCAGACAAATAGAATGGTGAATTGTTTTTGCTTGAAATTTCATAAAGTCATAACTGTTCATCAGTAGAATGCCTAATTAAAAGTGATCTTCTATCAAATTCTTTACCTAATGTTTGGAGATCAATGCGGGTTATTTGCCACAGGTGTAGATATTGGAGTTTAAAGGGTCACTGATAACTCTGCCCTTGTTTGCAGGATAAGAAGTCAGTGGAGAGCTGTTGTGTGGCATTTTCAAGACTTGTAGAAAGCTTTCAGACAAATGAGGTGAATCATATTTTTCATTTTTCTGTTTCTTTTTTCTTTCTTTTTTTTTTTCCTCGCAAAATCCAGAAAGCACAATGGACCTTTTTACCAATGCTGTGGCCATATTGAATAAGTTAGATTTAAGGAGTGTTATGGGATGCCCAGGGGGAATGAGCACATTCTGTTTAGTATTTATGAGCGCCTTGCGGTGCATTTTGTCTTAAAGTTTAAGACAATAAGATTTTTATGGGAAAAAAGATCGTTGTGCCGTGTTAAGATGTAATGATGGTTGCCTTTTTCCTGAGAAATATACAGTGAAAGATCATATTTCTAACACTAAGCAAGTACATGTACAATGTATTTTGCTTATGTCCCTTAGGCGTCCCATAATACTACTTATTTAAATTGAATTGATTCAATATGGCCGCCATATCAGTAAAAAGGTCTATTATACTGGTAGTTAATTTTTTACAAATCTATTTCAGAAACACCTTGGGGAACTTGCTTCTCATGGCCTTCTCAACAACTTACAACAGTTGGTGAGTAAACTATTTCTAATGAATTATCAAAGGTATTAGCATGTGTATTTGCATGCACAGTACCATTTCAAACTAATAGCATCTTTTAACTTACCAAAAGCAAATCATCCTCATGGCTGCACTGTTAGTCCCTGCAGGCCTTAAGCTACTAGCTTTTGCCCTCTGGTAACCTGAAAAACTTACGTGAGGAAAAGAAATCAACTGCTTGATCACGTCAGATTTTGAAGTTGCAAAACTTTGAGTGCCCTGTGACTCCTTAGCACTGTCTGAGCTATTACAAATGTAAAGTAAACTTTGCCTAAGCTCAAAGCTGGAAATTAATGCCTTGATCTGAAATTTTTCTTTAAACTTATCCATGTCAAATGCCCCATTATTTTTTGTCCTATTTTTCTGTTTTTTTTTTTCAACATAGCTGATGATGACTCCACCAGTCATTAGCACCAGTACATTTGTGATGGTTGTCCGCATGTTGGCCATGCTGTGCAACAGCAGCCCAGCCATAGCAGTACAGCTCCTAAGGCAAAGTAAGTCACTCAGTGATATTAATAAATAGCTTTGCTGAAGACACTAATTTCATTTTAGTGGTCACACAAAAAGATTTTATTCAGACGCCAAAGTTAGAACTACATACTTAAGAAGAAGTAGCATGTGAAAGTACTGTTAAAGAGGTTTCATTTGAATGGTAACACCATAGGATTTCATCCACAGACTCAAACGTTAGAGCTACATACTAAATAACTAGTACCATGTGAAAGTACTGCTGAAGAGGTTTCATTTGAATGGTAACACCATAGGATTCTGTCCACAGACTCAAATGTTAGAGCCACATACTAAAATTAATAACTAGTACCATGTGAAAGTACTGCTGAAGAGGTTTCATTTGAAAGGTAACACCAGAGGATTTCATCCACAGACTCAAAATTTAGAGCTACATACTAAATAAATAGTACCGTGGGAAAGTACTGCTGAAGAGATTTCATTTGAATGGTAACACCATAGGATTCTGTCCACAGACTCAAATGTTAGAGCCACATACTAAATAACTAGTACCATGTGAAAGTACTGCTGAAGAGGTTTCATTTGAATGGTAACACCAGAGGATTTCATCCACAGACTCAAAATTTAGAGCTACATACTAAATAAATAACACCACATGAAAGTACTGCTGAAGAGGTTTCATTTGAATGGTAACACCATAGGATTTCATCCACAGACTCAAAAGTTAGAACTACATACTAAATAAGTAGATGTGAAAGTACTGCTGAAGAGGTTTTATTTGAATGGTAACACCATAGGATTTCATCCACAGACTCAAAAGTTAGAGCTACATACTAAATAAACAGTACCATGTGACAGTACTGCTGAAGAGGTTTCATTTGAATGGTAACACCATAGGATTTCATCCACAGACTCAAAAGCTAGAGCTACATACTAAATAAATAGCACCATGTGAAAGTACTGCTGAAGAGGTTTTATTTGAATGGTAACACCATAGGATTTCATCCACAGACTCAAAAGTTAGAACTACATACTAAATAAACAGTACCATGTGACAGTACTGCTGAAGAGGTTTCATTTGAATGATAACACCATAGGATTTCATCCACAGACTCAAAAGTTAGAGCTACATACTAAATAACTAGTACCATGTGAAAGTACTGCTGAAGAGGTTTCATTTGAATGATAACACCATAGGATTTCATCCACAGACTCAAAAGTTAGAACTACATACTAAATAACTAGCACCATATGAAAGTACTGCTGAAGAGGTTTCATTTGAATGATAACACCATAGGATTTCATCCACAGACTCAAAAGTTAGAACTACATACTAAATAACTAGTACCATGTGAAAGTACTGCTGAAGAGGTTTCATTTGAATGATAACACCATAGGATTTCATCCACAGACTCAAAAGTTAGAACTACATACTAAATAACTAGTACCATGTGAAAGTACTGCTGAAGAGGTTTCATTTGAATGATAACACCATAGGATTTCATCCACAGACTCAAAAGTTAGAACTACATACTAAATAACTAGTACCATGTGAAAGTACTGCTGAAGAGGTTTCATTTGAATGGTAACACCATAGGATTTCATCCACAGACTCAAAAGTTAGAACTACATACTAAATAAATAGTACCATGTGAAAGTACTGCTGAAGAGGTTTCATTTGAATGGTAACACCATAGGATTTCATCCACAGACTCAAAAGTTAGAACTACATACTAAATAACTAGCACCATGTGAAAGTACTGCTGAAGAGGTTTCATTTGAATGATAACACCATAGGATTTCATCCACAGACTCAAAAGTTAGAACTACATACTAAATAACTAGCACCATGTGAAAGTACTGCTGAAGAGGTTTCATTTGAATGATAACACCATAGGATTTCATCCACAGACTCAAAAGTTAGAACTACATACTAAATAACTAGTACCATGTGAAAGTACTGCTGAAGAGGTTTCATTTGAATGATAACTCCATAGGATTTCATCCACAGACTCAAAAGTTAGAACTACATACTAAATAACTAGTACCATGTGAAAGTACTGCTGAAGAGGTTTCATTTGAATGGTAACACCATAGGATTCTGTCCACAGACTCAAATGTTAGAGCCACATACTAAATAAATAACACCACATGAAAGTACTGCTGAAGAGGTTTCATTTGAATGGTAACACCATAGGATTCTGTCCACAGACTCAAATGTTAGAGCCACATACTAAATAAATAACACCACATGAAAGTACTGCTGAAGAGGTTTCATTTGAATGGTAACACCATAGGATTTCATCCACAGACTCAAAATTTAGAGCCACATGCTAAATAAATAACACCACATGAAAGTACTGCTGAAGAGGTTTCATTTGAATGGTGACACCAGAGGATTTCATCCACAGACTCAAAAGTTAGAGCTACATACTAAATAAATAGATGTGAATGTACTACTGAAGAGGTGTCATTTAAATAGTCACACCATAGGATTTCATCCACAGTACCATGTGAAAAAAATACTACTGAAAATGTTTTATATGGTTTGAGTGATCACAGAATTGCTTTTTGTTCACAGACTCAAAAGTTACTGTTGATATTTCTGATTATTGGGGTACATGCAAAGTGAAGTATTTGTGTGGCTATAAATGATTTGGAAAAAAAGGATGAGTAATAGTTTGTTTAATATTGTATTTTATTGTGATTCTGTTTCAGATGTATCAGACACAATTCTTTATTTATTGTTGGGGACTACAGAGCCTGGCGAGATAGAAAATGCAGAGGTACTGTATCTTTCATAACAAAAATAATAGATAGTAGCTTGAGTAATAACCAACGGTAAAAGAACCCAGGCGAAATAGATTGAAGGTCAAAATGCTCTTGCCATCTGTGCTGTGCTTTCCCTAAGTTTTGTAAGATAGGAGGCCCATGAACAAATTACTAGTAATAGAAGGTCCAATTGTGCATGCGTTTGCACATTATTTGCATTCCATTCATTCTTTGTGGAAGTCCAAACAAATGCGGGCTATATATGTGCCACTTATGTGTAAAAGTGACCTGGTAATTAGGATTGCTGGCTTCGCAATAATTATTGGTGTTTACTGGTACTGTTTCTCACAGTTTTCACTGTGTGAAGGTATAATAAAGTCAAAGCCAGTTACAGGATATGAGTGCAGGATTGACCAGACTATTTAAGCTTTGTAAGGGTAAGTTAATTGCTGGATTAGGGGGCAGGGATTCTGCAGAATAAAGTTCTAATAGCTAGAGAGGAAGACAGCACCCACTTAGCCTACAATACACAAGCCTTTTTGTGTTATTGAACACTTTTCTACAAATCAAAGGATTTAAACAGGCGAAAATGTTTACCTATGAGTAAAAATAATAGCACAGTAACAATAATAGAGCTGTGTTGATCATAATTTTGTTTCTTTCCAGCTGTTATCAAGAAGTCCACAAGAATTCTTTGAAATAACCTGTTTTATCAGGTTTGTTGATAAGTTTTAATTATCTTCAGCAGTATTAGTTTCCATCAGTCTTGAAATGTAGACATTTTAAAGTCTTTTCCTCTCTGGTTGTGACATGCCTTAACACGCTTCCACAATTTTATCCAGTAACAAGTTTGATTTCTTTTAATATCAGCTCTATTATATAAATCTTTGTATTAACTCTTGTATTTTCTTTTCGACAGTGAACTGCTTCCAAAATTACCTACAGATGGTAAGATAACTTTAATGTTAAGCAGGTTCCTTTAAAGTTATGAAGGGCAAGAGTGTAATCCTTTAGCTTCTTATCCAGTCAATGCCATCATTATTTGTCAGGGACAATCAACTTTTTTTCTGACAGACATGTGGTTACTGACATGTGTTAAAAGTGAAGGCAATTTCTATTGTCATGAACATTACAAATCAACCCATTTGCTTGCAACAAATGTTCCATTCCAATTATACCCCTCCCCTCTACCCCTCTGTTAAGGCCCATCTTTATGTATTAAATATATGTCTTGCTTTGTTTGTAAACATTTTGTCCCTTCTTTTTAACCCACTCCCTTCCCCCCCTCCCCCCCAGATATAAGCCTGCATTGTACAAGCCCAGGGGATTTTACTGTCCCGTAAATCCTCTATTAAGCTCCCTGCAGGCTTGATTAAAAGGAACATTATCATTGCAACGGGAATGGTCTGGTCAGTCAGTTCTGATAAATGGAAAGCACCCTTAGTACCCATCCCAAAGGTGTCTGCCTGTCTTTGAGAGACTTGACTGTACACACATACTGTTACTTGTGTCTCATGACATCCTCCCATTACAGGTATTTTTTCAGTGGATACATTGCTTTGTAAGCCACAGCAGAAGGCAGAGCAAGGTCTGTGGCAGTGGAGAGATGACAGGGGACTGTGGCACACATACTCCTGGATTGACAGCAAGATCATAGAAGCTGCTTATCAGAGTGGCGAGGATGAGCTGACCCTCACTACTCTGGGAAGAACTTACACAGTCGACTTTAACACTATGCAACAGGTGCGATCAAAATTTGAATTCTCTTTTGTTGCCCCTATTCATTTCCTACAGAAGTAGTGGGGAGAGGTTGATAAAATATCAAGCAAATTCATCGTGTGTGATCATGTCAGTAATTCTCATGACCACTGTGTTTTACAAAGCATTAATATTACAAGGAGAAATTTGATGCTGATCACTCACAGGGCTTAAAGGGTTAAAAGAATGAATACACTCTTTTTATAAGAACCTTGAGCCTGAAATTTGCCAAAATATGAATTACATGCCAGGAACATAGCCGAGGCTCAGAGAAGAACAATTTATTTTTCAGTGCTTTTACTTTCCTGAGTCCAGAAAATCTGAGTTACATAATAGGGGCATTTATACGAGGAAAAATAAGACGCGTCTTAAATAAGACGCGAACTGTACCATTTATACGAGCATGTCTTATCTAAGACAAGAACAGCTCGTATAAATGGTTCGCGTCTTATTTCTGTTCTTGACTCGTTTTCATGTGAATGTTGCCAGTAGCAACGGCAATCCAACGTGGCGCGCCAAAAATTAACGCATGCGTACTATGCGTTCGCGTCTTAAATAAGACGAAAAGGTCATTTATACGAAGTTTTTCTCGCCTTAGCTAAGACGCGTCTTATCTAGGAAGAGGTGTTAAGGGCTGTTCTAAAATAAGACGCGTCTTAGCTAAGCCGCGTCTTATTGTAGACGAACTGTGCCGTTTATACGGAAAGTTCGCGTCTTATTTAAGATGCGTCCTATGTAAGACGCGTCTTATTTTTTTCTCGTATAAATGGCCCTAATGTCCTACATGGCATCAAAGTGCATGTAAAATTTTGTTCCTTCAACACATTCCTATTCTGAGTGGTCCTTCTCACAGTTACATTATACTTGTTCAATTCATTGATGTGAAATAATCATCGTCATATCTTGTCTATTTGTAGCTTTAAAGTAATCATATTTCCGTTATTGAAATTTAAGAACATCCATAAGAACATTTCCAGGCTGAAACTTCCCATAAAATAGAAACGTTACTGGCTCAACTAGAAAAAATGGACGTTCTTATAAAAAAAATGTGTGTTTATGAATTTCGTATATTTGAAGTGCGGGATGAAGAAGTAATTGCAGAAAGGATAATCAGAGTTAATTACGCAAATTATGCAGTTACCAAGAGAAAGTTAAAAAAAACTTCAGGCTCGCCGAATTGGAACCCTGACCTCTGCGATACCTGTATAGCATAATTGAGCTAGCAAGCCAACTGGGAGCAAGTCGTGAAATTGGTTCGTAAAAAGTAAAAGGGTTCAGATAGTCTTAGCGGTTTCCCTGGCAAGGCACAGAAAAAAGCTGCCATAATATACGATTATTTCTTGGTTTATTATATCCATTTTGAAATCACTGGTGGTCGTTGCAATCTGATTGGCTCTCAGCTGTGCGATTTATTCATGATTCGCACTATTTTTTGCTTTAAAACACATTTGTTCTAAATCGCTTCATTTCTGCTCTAAATCGCACCATTTTTGCTCTATATTGCATCATTTCTGTTTTGAATACAAAATTGGATGTAAAAGCCTTTTCGTTTCTTCTTTTGAACAAACTGGACACTAGATCCATATAATTTTGATACTGACCGAATTCGTCGATTTCAAAATGGCTGTAATAAAGTGGTAATTGAACTTCTTGTCGTGCAATTTTGGTCTGAAATCATACTTGTGATTTCAAATCGAACTGGTGCTGCGCGTTCGTCCGATTTTGAAATCACGCGTATGATTTCAGACCAAATTGCACTCCACTCATTTCAATTACCATTTTAAATCAAAGTAAGAGATGCATTCTTTCTTTGTAGACGAATGAGGATACAGGCACTTCAAGACAGATTCAACGATGCCCCAATGGCAGTGAGACAAATACTACCGTCTCAAATACAGATGAAGCTAAAGTTGCAGGAAGGGATGAACGTGAAGTGGTATTACGTGAAGAGACTGAATTGGCTTCCTCGTACACATGTGGAATGTTTTCTGCTCTGTACAAGATATTCAGCTCGTCTGTGGGACCTGCTGTCAGACACAAATGCGTGAACGCTATTCTTAGAGTACTGTATCATGCGCCCCCAGAACTGTTGGGCGTGGTCTTAAAGAGACACCCTATTTCAAGCTTGATTGGAGGAATGCTACAGTCAAATGACTTGAGGGTCATAACAAACGCTCTTCAAATGGCAGAAATTGTAATGCAAAAGCTGCCTGATGTGTTTCATGTGTCATTCAGAAGAGAAGGAGTGATGCATAGGGTTAGAGACTTGGCCAACGGTCTGTTGGCAAATAAACCAAGCACGTCAGGAAAAAACTGTTCATCAGAGAATTTAGCAAGCAGTAGTGACGTTGAAAGTCCAACACAGAGAGTCCCTGAAAATGCACCATCATTACCAGTAACCAGGTCAGAGATCTCTGTCTTTATGTTCGCATCCCATTTTTACCTGAAAGTTAACGCTTAAATTTTTTACGCTAATATTAGGATTATTGAAAACACTCAAGGCTTCCTTTGTCTTCGTTGAAGCACCCGTCCACAAATCGATCTCCACAGCCACCTACTTATTTATATACCTAGCTGCCCGTCCAGGTATTTATCTTATCCAACCACCCACCTACCCTTGTATTGTTTCATCCACCCACCCATCCTTCGATTCCACCCACCCACCCATCCATCTGCCCACCCATCTATCCTCCACCAACCCATCTATTTAACCACCCACCCATCCATCTGCTCACCCATCCGCCCATACATCTATCCATCCACCCACCCATCCACCCATCAATCCATCCATCTATCCATCCACCCACCCACCCAGCCACCTATAAATACATTCATCCAACCATCCCATCCAAAGTAACCTTAAGGACCGTCAACTTGCAAGGATTAACCTGACTGGAATTATTTTATCATTGTTACCAGAAGCATAACCATGTTGTTACTTTATCACCTTGACTTTTTTGTATTTTAGGAGGCTGGGGGATGTCTTGCGGAGGAAACGCTATTCAAAACGCCCAAGTAGAGGCAAAGCTACAAGCATTGCAAGCACATCAGATGCGTTTGTTGGTGACGTTGCCAGGCAGCAGATAGGTGCACCTTCTTCAAAGACGATTCTTCACGAGAGTAGAGCTTCATTTTTGGCCTCTCAGTCGTCAAGACTTAGTTGCCGGTCTTCAGTGCTCTCAGAACGACCAGCTAAGGTATAGCATAAGAAGGCTGCACGAAGGCCAGATTTAGGGGTGGGCCGAGCCCGAGGAGGCCGTGCCCACCCCTTTTTCTTTGAAATTTTGTACTATTTTTATAGAATTCTCAAAAAGACAAAAAGTATCTATATAGCTGGCAAGTGGGAAATTGTCCCGGCCACCCCTTTCTGAATTATCTGGATCCGCCCCTTTGTACATTACCATATGTCTTTTCAGGAACATTGGAACCCCGATTTAATGCAGTGTCAAGGGACTGGGGAAATTTGTTCGTTATATCGAAAATCTCGATTTAACGAATTTTCGGGAAAATATTCGTCATATCGAGCTATAGTTAATAATTTAATTTTCAACGTCCAGCATTTCCCGATCTGAACAATTTATACTATACAAAGCTATTGTCTCAGTGCAGAGTTGTACATGCCATAGCTACGGCACTATAAACTCTAGAAGAGGCAAACAAAACTGGTTAAAACTATTGTGCGCTTAAGTTTTATCCTTGTTGGTCTGTGTCGCATTCATCTTCGTCAGATGTTTACCTTTATTCGTTATATCGAGGTATATTATACGCTTCTAGATTGCGTTCGTTATATCGAGAATTTCCGTTAAATATCGAGGTTCTGTTCCATACATTTTATTGTAATTTTGGCCGGGCTGAAGAAAATCGTTCGTTCTACAGAGGACGTCGTTATATAGAGGTTCTTTAAATCAAGGTTCTACCGTAGTTCGTAACCTTTTAACCACCAAGGATGATCAGCTTGAAATTTCTCCATAAAACATCGCTGCTTAAACAAACGTAAAGGTCGTGGGAATATAGGAAAGATCACCGAATAAGAGAGTCTCGATTAGTAAATCTGTGCCAGACTCTCAGCCAATAAGGACGTCGCAAAAACAACAGAAGTCATAATAAAATAAGAGGTGCGGGATCTGGGAAAGATGGCAGCCGATCTCTCTCCCCAGCCTTCGCGCGTTTTTTTGGATAAGTTTTCACGGTCTCTGTGCACATTAAGATCTTGAAACCTTGGACAGGTTATCATTGGTAACCAAATTCTCCTTATCAACACCTGATGAAGTGTGTAGGCATCAGTGTTGAGAATATACATGCTGATATTAGGGTTCAACGGGTTGACTGGACTTAAAGTATTTGTTTAGGTTCCCAATGGTGTCTTTAGGAAGATAGAGTATTATGAAGTAAGTATGTTGAACAATTATTCCACGAGTATGCGTTGGATGTGAGATGGTAGTGGGCAACGAGGTGCGTAGCGCCGAGTTAGCTATAATCATCTCATATCCAACACGCGCGATTGGAATAATTGTTTTATTAAAAATGCCCACAAAATATCGAGAATTCTTCCCGACTTTATTTGTAAAAACAAGCGATTTTCAGCTTGTATTTAATTTTGAGCTGACGCGTACAGTTGCCATATTTGGAGTGCATGCTATGATGGCTCATATGCCATGATGGCTAAGCCAGTCAGAACGCTAGGATTGCATTATCCAATGATTCAGTTTTTAATAAGATATATTAACATATAATATAACAGATTATATATATATTTTTTGTTTCCAGTTGGAAGCATCTGTTGGAAATGGCATTTCAGAAAATCACGAAAAAATTTTAAGTTGGATAAAAGAGCAAGGTAAGAAACAAAAACCATAAAACAAATTGCGGTAGGCTTTAATACAACTAGAACCTTGACTGCGATGGCTGAAAGTAACTGAAAGATTGGATTTGGGGAGCTGTGTCACGAAACGTGTCAAAATTCAAACGGTCGGAACTGCCACCAAATTGGGTGAAACGTAAAAATGACTGCTCAGAACATGCAGAGGAGGTGTAAATAACTCAGCAACTACCAAAGGAGTAACGGATGAACAAACTTGGACCAGATTGAAACGGGTTGCAATTGTGCTTTTTGTTAATTTTGTAGCCTAACATTTTCAGAGTTCATTTTTTTTGTTTGTTACGTTTGATATACTGCTTGAGAGGCATGTTTCTTTGACAAAAAAACAGTGATTTTGCCATTTACAAGTACAGTGGAACCTCCACGAACGGCCACCTCTCTAGAACGGCCTTATGTTTTAGTGGACAGTCCATACATTCAGTCTTGTTTCAACCTCTCTACGACTGCTACTTCTCTACAACAGCCACCTCTCCACAATGACCGCCTCTCTACAATGGCCACCTCTCTACAATGGCCACCTCTCCACAATGACCGCCTCTCTACAATGGCCACCTCTCTACAATGGCCACCTCTCCACAATGACCGCCTCTCTACAATGACCACCTCTCCACAATGACCGCCTCTCTACAATGGCCACCTCTCTACAATGGCCACCTCTCTACAATGGCCACCTCTCTACAATGGCCACCTCTCTACAATGGCCACCTCTCTACAATGGCCACCTCTCCACAATGACCGCCTCTCTACAACGGCCACCTCTCCACAACGGCCACCTCTCTACAATGGCCACCTCTCCACAATGACCGCCTCTCTACAATGGCCACCTCTCTACAATGGCCACCTCTCCACAATGACCGCCTCTCTACAATGGCCACCTCTCTACAATGGCCACCTCTCCACAATGACCGCCTCTCCACAATGACCGCCTCTCTACAATGACCGCCTCTCTACAATGACCGCCTCTCTACAATGGCCACCTCTCTACAATGGCCACCTCTCCACAATGACCGCCTCTCTACAATGACCGCCTCTCTACAATGGCCACCTCTCTACAATGGCCACCTCTCCACAATGATCACCTCTCCACAATGACCGCCTCTCTACAATGACCGCCTCTCTACAATGACCGCCTCTCTACAATGACCGCCTCTCTACAATGACCGCCTCTCTACAATGGCCGCCTCTCTACAATGGTCACCTCTCCACAATGACCGCCTCTCTACAATGACCGCCTCTCTACAATGGCCACCTCTCTACAATGGCCACCTCTCCACAATGACTGCCTCTCTACAATGGCCACCTCTCTACAATGGCCACCTCTCCACAATGACTGCCTCTCTACAACGACCACCTCTCCACAATGGCCGCCTCTCTACAATGGCCACCTCTCCACAATGACCGCCTCTCTACAATGACCGCCTCTCTACAATGGCCACCTCTCTACAATGGCCACCTCTCCACAATGACTGCCTCTCTACAACGACCACCTCTCCACAATGACCCCCTCTCTACAATGACCACCTCTCTACAATGGCCGCCTCTCTACAATGGTCACCTCTCCACAATGACCGCCTCTCTACAATGACCGCCTCTCTACAATGGCCACCTCTCTACAATGGCCACCTCTCCACAATGACTGCCTCTCTACAATGGCCACCTCTCTAATGACCCCTCTCACCTCTCCCTCTCTGGCCGCCTCTCTACAATGGTCACCGCTCTCTACAATGACCGCCTCTCTACAATGACCGCCTCTCTACAATGGCCGCCTCTCTACAATAGCCACCTCTCCACAACACCACCTTTCTACAACGACCATTTGTTTGGGCAGACAGTCCATACATTCACTCTTGTTTCAACCTCTCTACAACGGCCACCTATCCACAACAGCCACCTCTCTAGAGTGGCCACCTCTCCACAATGGCCATCTCTCTACAATGGTCATTTTTTTGGCGGACAGTCCATACATTCACTCTTGTTTCAACCTCTCCACAATGGCCACCTCTCTACAATGGTCACCTCTCCACTACGGCCACCTCTCCACAATGGCCAACTCTCTACGACGGCCACCTCTCCACTACAGCCACCTCTTTAAAACGGCCACCTCTCTACTATGGCCACCTCTTTACAACAGCCACCTCGCCACTACGACCACCTCTCTACAACGACCACCTCTCCACAGCGGCCACCTCTCTTCAACGGTCACCTCTCCACAATGGCCACCTTTTACAACGGCCCTTTTTTTGGTACACAGTCCATACATTCATTATATTGTTTCAACCTCTTTACAACGGTTACAACGACCACTTTCTTCTGTCCCCAATGTGGCCGTTGTAGAGAGGTTCAACTGTAATTTAACAAGTTCCATTGCAAATGAGGACGTGTAATGCGCATTTTAAACAAAGTGACTTAGACAGCCTCGACACGCGCCTTAAATGAAAGCTCTGGAATGGATGTTTAAGTAACAACATGTTAACATTTTTGTTGCAGCTACAAAGTTCTGTGCTGAATACTTTGATCAACAGAAGGGTGATTCACACCCTGCCCTCAGTGTCCTACGTCAGTTAAAGAGTGCTGCAGAACAACTGACTCTTGAGGTGAGTGGTTTTTTCAAACAGTTTGCAGTGAGGCTTCTCATGTACCTAACTCCACTGCCGCATTATGCAATCTGCTGGAGAGCATAAGCAACGAAGAGGGCGGAAGCAACGAGAAGGTTAAAAAAGTAATAGGTTGGAATTCGCAAAACAACAACTTTGGCAGGTGCATCACTTTTTTTTTGTACAATTCTTTGCCGTCATTGCACTTGTACAACAGGAAACTTTCTAATTCGCGTTTTATGACTGCTTGAAAACAAGACATGCCTTCCACGAGAACATTCGAAAACAACTCTTTTCCACCTGTAACTGTAAAGTGGACTATTTTGTAAAACTTTGACAAGTGTAATTTACAAATGCAGGTATTGTTTTACCACTCTAAGACAATAGCTACACTTGTAAATTACACAGGTAAAAGTTTTGTTAAATTGACCCCAGGCCACAGCGTTTACCCGGGGGAGAATGGTACACTGTTTTTAAGATAAGGAAAGTGAATAACACCGTTTAAAAGCACCACAGCTGAATAGCTGTCTCAAAAGTTGTCAAAGAAAAAAAAAATAGTTTTGTAAACATCTTGGAAACATCTTACAAATATTTTTCCGTACTGATACAGCAACATTTTCTGACTCATTTCTTGACCATTTTGTTGTAGGTTTAGGCCTTTATTTTATTTATTTATTCATTCATTCATTCATTCATTCATTTACTCACTCCCTCATTTATTTATTTATTTATTTATTTATTTATCGTTTTATTTATTTTCAGAAGGAAGATTTTGTCCCAGCACTTAAGGTGAGAGTTCTTGGGAATGCTGCCAAAAACACAAACAACGACACCAACGTTGTCGGACATCAATCGAAATGTACAATTTGTGATTGGAAATGTTTTTCTTAAATAAAAATTCTCATTTTTCGTGACACTCCCCTTTTGAATTTGTTGCTGTAAGTACGCTCAATTCAAGCTTTGCGGATGCCTCACTTATACAGACAGTTTTATTTGTAAAATGAATGAAACTGTCGCTATTTTGAGCTTTCTCTCCCTTGGATTCTAATCCATTGTCTTGAAAGCATCAGATAAACCGCAAGTTGAATGCAACTTTGTCGACTCTAGTTCTGCCAGCATTCTCAGTAATAAACTAGGCAGCCGAAGCTCATTTCCGTAATGTTAGTCGGCTTTCAATACTCTTGATTTCCCCTCATTATCCTCAAATTCAAGTTAATTACACTTCACTGCCAAAAATGAAATTATCTTGTGCGTTCTTTGGTTGAAAATTTTCAGGAGATTTCTGATGTGTTGACTAATGAAGACAACAGCGCATGTGCATTTGAGATACTTCACAGTGGAATGGTACCCAATATCCTCAGGTATGCTCATTCTTTCCTTTTGGGATAACACAGCTGTTTTCAGTTGATTAACAAGAGTAATTTCCATCGTCCCTCGTTTTTTCACCCAGGCTTCACTATCCTGATACCTGGAACAGCCTAGACTGTCTTCACTTTTTGATTGGCTAAAATTTTTCATACCGCTATTTTCACCAATCAGAAGTTACCACTGAAAAGATAGTGACGTGACTGTGAGCATTTTCCCTCGCTACAGCCTCTGCAACACGGATGCATTCAGTCACGTGGGCTCAGTTGTGTTGTTCATAAAAGTACAGTTTGTTTTATCTATGGATTTATTCGTTTTTATTGATTTATTTACTTATTTATATCTCTTTACATAGGTATTTGACATCGACAGAGGCAGATGACGCTCTTCCCCAAGAAAAACGAATGAGAATATTTTTCCACGTTTTTGCGGGTTTGCCGGTCAGTATTAAATCAACATGCTTTTTTAATTCTCTCTTGTCTACCCTCTTCCCTCGTCCCCCGTCTCTTTAACTGGTGCCCCACATTCGAGTAAATGTTATTTTCCCCCCCCAGAAAACGTCATTTTGCAGGCTGAAAAAAAAAAAGGTTGAAATAACGTTACAAAGAGTGATAAACATGAAGTTTGTTTTTTATTTTCTTCTTCCAGGAGACATGCTCACCTGGAGATATCAAACTTGAGGTAAAGACCTTTCTGTGATTTAAGACCTCACGTGTGGTACAAAGGTTGATACTAAGAGAGGGGAACGTTCTGTGGGTACAACAAATTGGGGCTTCGCTCTCATAAAGTGGAACCTCGGTATAACGAAGGGCCAAAACACTGTATATTTTTGATTGAGCTGTAATTGTTGTGTGTATCAGTTGTAAATTAAATTTTGTTTTTCCTTCTTCAACAGAGTGAACCTAACGTGGGTGCCCTGATCGCTTTGATACAAAAACTTCACTTGTGTATTAATCAGTTGGAACAGGTAATAGACCAGCTTCATAACAATTTCATTTCTTCTCTCAAATAGCTAGACTGCGTTGCAGGCGTCGAAGGGAAGGGGAGGAAGGAAAAGAGAGAGGGATTGGGGAGAACCCGTTCGTTCTTGTCTCAATTTAGGTTTCTGGGAAACTGCCCACCTACCCCTCCCCTAAGCCAACATTTTGCCCTAAGTGACAGAACAGTATAAGAGTCTGGGAAGCTATCCACCTACCCTTCCCCTAAGCCAACATTTTGCTTTAAGTGAAAGTAGGTTTTGACAGGAGCCTATTACCCTGGGTAATAGGCTCATTGTTTTGATGATTGCTTATGGGAGGGGTATGTGGGCAGTTTCCCAGAAACCTAAAGTGATCCCTTTTTTGCGCCTGCCACGGAGACTAAAAAATGGTTAAATAAAAAACCTTTTACAAATTCCAGCTTTGTACAACAGCCATGCGCAGAGACGGCCTATAAATTTAAATGGAAAAAGACGGATTAACCGTCTTGGTTGTCGTGGAGACAACTTCTTAGAACTGTACCAAGCTGTAAAATTCACTTACCTAGGCTTTGTTTGAAATCTGTTTTTTTGTTCCGTTGTGGCTGAATCACCGACCCAGATTAAGTATCTGTTATCTCTCTCTAGTATCTTTTAGTTACAGCGATATCTTAACAGTTTTCATCATTTTTGTAGCTTCCAGTCAAAGTCCATGACACTCCAGGCGGAGCAGTCGGGGCGAGGTAATTTTCCTTTTTTTGTTTAATCAACATTCATTTAGGACACTTCTCAGTCGAGTTACATAAATCATCATCATCATCATCATCGGTTTCAGTAATGACTCACTGAACACATGATTTAACTTGGCACGCAACTTCAATCGTATTGTGTGTCATCCCAGAAGCCTAGTTTTGTTGTGCATAACATCACGCGCGAGAAACCCTCCAGTGCAATCGCTTTCTACTTCCTGCGACGTAGCCTTTTCCAGACCCTCTAGACGAGCGGGGACTTGGGAGGGAGGGCCGGGAAACTGGTAACTATGCCTGGCCTTTCGATCTAGCGCTCCTCCCAAATCCGTGATAATGTAGCTACTTCTACTAATGATGTTGCACCAAGTAAACACTCTTGACGTCATTCCGTTTTAGGGGGTCTCAAGCTCTCAGATTCTTCAGTTCTCACCAAATCAAGGTATTGTAAATTTAAAGTAAAAATTAATGCTCTTGCAATGTAATCGGAGTTGGTTAAGGATACAGCAGGTGATCGTCTGCTATCAGATTATTTTGATTAAAAAAAATGCAGATACCCCTTAGAGATCTAAGCGAAATGATTGAGATGACTGGAATCTAAGGCGGAGAACGTTTTTCACGCGTTACTGAGTTGACCTTTGATTATTACTGACGGAGTCGGGGATGTACCTTACCTAATGATGCTTGAATTATTTTTTGTTAGTGTCTTCTACAAAGACACCCTGACTGCGAGGGCTTGAAGCAGTGGAAGCGTGGACCAGTGAAAATTGATCCTCTGGCGCTTGTCCAGGTAGGGACTGAGTTTTTCTTTAATACGTCAATAAAGTCTCTTTTAAGCTGGACAGTTTCAGGATCAACTCTAGCTATCCGTCTTATTTCAGTGTTTGCATTTTAGAGAGGCCTGTCCGTGCCCTTCGCTAATCGTTGCTAAATCTACCTATTGATACTTCCAATCATGGACAAAAGTCTTGGGACACTTGCACTTTTTGGGGCGTTTTCCAATCCACACAGGCCCAACCCCTCCCCCCCCACTCCACAAACAATGTTGGACGCGTGTATCCAAAATTTTTTCCGAGTTTCAACTTTGTATAAGGTGGGGGGAGGGAGAAATGACAGAAAAATATGAAAATTGCACCTGTCCCAAGGACTTTTGTCCATGATTGTAGGAGGCGGGCCTCTCTTCTTGGCTGTTAACTAACTTGCTTTGCCAATGACGTTTTTTTTTTTCAATTTGTGCCCAGCAGACAGCTACAATAGAGTTAGTCTCCAAGGCATCCGACCTAGGGGGGGCTTACTTTGCCATTAGAAAAAAAAAATCAAAGCACTAAAGTTGATTTGTTTTTGCTAATTTGACTCTGTATTACATTCTAGGCAATTGAACGCTATCTCGTTGTTCGTGGTTATGGAAAGAAACGCGAGGTAATTATTGTCATTTTTTGTGTCCTTTTGTCCATAGCTGTCAGCTAGATTGTCAACAGTTTGAGCTCCACCGTCTATAGACCTGCTACATTACTCTTACTTAATGATGCGTTGAGCATTCCCTCTTCTAAAAGAATGGCTCGTTTACTTGTTCATCAAAAGCATGGGCTTTATCAAGTAACCTACGTATAAATTGCAGCAACCATTAGAGAGCTTTAGATTCTGAGACGAGGACGACTACGAGTACGGGATTTTCTCAATACTAAGTACTGCACCCGCGTGAACCAGCGTCATTTTGGCGGGAAAACGTGATAGCCGTCGTCATTCTACAGCGAGTTTTAGTGAGAATGTCGTAGTGGCGGGAATAAGTTATCAAATGCAAGAAGTTTTATCATTTTTCTCTCTCGGAAAGGGTTAACCTCCTTCAGAATAAATAACCGTACTAACTTTTGAGGGAAAAGGTAAATTGAAGCTTTCCGGGTGTCTTGTACTCGTACTCGTTCTCGTCCTCAAATCTAAAGCTCATTGGTAACCTTATCCCTGCTGTTATGCACAACACAATGACTCAATCATAGACAAAGCCACAAGAAACTAGAAATCTCCTTTTTTAAGCTTGAGGTCTTGCTTGCGGCTTTGCGTCATGTTACTTCTATTCCCAAAATCCTTGCTGGTTTGGTTTCTTTTGCAAATAAGGGCTTTTGCTATTTTATTACCATATTTAACATGAAAGAAAAAAACAACATTGATTCTGTTAGTAGTAGTAAAATGACGCCATCGTGGAAATTGTTTATCGAGTTTATTCTCTCTAATTCTCTGTAGACTGTGATGATAACTTTTATTTATTGGGGTAGGCTTTTTGCGTAATTTTAAATTATCATTATCACCATTTTATAGAATCCTGAAGATGATGGAAGTGACGATGATGGGTAAGCTGTTGAATTATAACCATTAACCTCAATCTTTGTTCCTTTGCAAGACTCCAGTAGCACCCAGCACAGAATATTGTGTGACGTTGTGTTGACTATTTCTTGCGGGACCAACGTGGGAAATCCTGAGCGGGCATGATGGGTGCATCTTGCCCTCTTGGGAAGCCAATCAGGATTCTTCTCGCTCGTATTTTGTTGTCGTTTTCTTAGTTACTTAGTCTGTCAGTCAGTCAGTTAGTCAGTCACTCAGTCAGTTAGTCGGTCAGTCAGTCAGTCAGTTAGTCAGTCAGTCAGTGAGTCAGTGAGTCAATCAGTCAGTTAGTCTGTTAGTCTGTTTGTTTAAGCAAAGTGTGTCTTTCGGAGTTAATGAAGGTTTGTTCCTTTTTTCCAGCTCTGATGATGACATAGATGAATCTCTGGTAAGTTGGTTCAATCATGCTCTCTGCAATCATTTCGCAATACAGTCGAACCTCCACAAACGGCTACCTCTCCACAACGGCCACCTCTCTACAGCCGCCATTTTTTTGGCGGACAGTCTAGACATTCACTCTTGTTTTCACCTCTCTACAATGGCCACTTTCTTCTGTGCCCAATTTGGCCGTCGCAGAGAGGTTCAAATGTATTCTTTTCGATTTGTTTTGTTTTTATGTGCGTCACACACTTTGCTAATGCTTGATCCACTTTGACAGGCGACTGAACTACAAGGACAAAACAATTCAAGGTTTGTCATTATTTCAGTGTTTTCTGATAAAGAATGTAAAGGAAATCATCACGTGATTGTATTCTAGAAAACTGTTTCTTTCAAATTTTGTTTTACGAAAGAGAAAGATTAAACAATCGTCATGTGTCGACCTTGGGACAAAGAAAAATTCCCCGAAAGAATTCGAACCTGAACAAAGTAACGCTGGGTGAGGACTATAGCTACTGAGTTATCCTGGATACGATTCTGGAAAACTTCCAACCTACCCCTCCCCTAAGCCAACATTAACACTTACTCACTTAGGGCAAAATGTTGGGTTAAGGGGGCAGGTGGGCAACAAAAACAAACAACTCCCAAGGGACTGGTTTTGAACACCAAAATGGCTTCCGTTTTATTGTTTTGGAACACCAATATGGCCGCCGTGACGTCATGTGAAAGCACTCTATTGGTGGCAAACTAAAAAAACTCACAAAAATTCGATATTTCATGATAAAACTACTTTGGTAGAACTTTTGAGTGGTGCTATTCATTTCTTAGGATTTTACAAAAAGGTATGAGGAATATTTGTGATTCTTTTATATTGGCATTCTAAGTAGTAAAAAGGCTAAGCTCGGCAGTAAATAAAGAATATGATTTACTCGATACATAGGGGAAAATTCTAAGAGAATTTCAAGAGAAATTTTCTTGAGAGTGGCCCGTGGCCTAAAATGGGGAAACAAACAGTTTACGCTAAAAAGTCTGGGGCTAGATGCCTGAAACCCGCTAGATGCTGAAACCAAACGTCAGACGTAGCTGCTGACGTAAGCCGTTAAAATAAAGAGTTTTGGATGGTGCTGAACGCCCGGAGTTAACCGCTTTTTGTCTTAGATGAAAAGAGTATTGTTTTGGTGACACTTATGAGTTTTTTTTCTGTATTTAGACATCAGTTGGAGATATTATTGGGTGACCATCCTCTGCCATACAACATGACCGTGTATCAAGCAATTAAGCAGTTTGGTCAGGTATGTAGGGTCAAGAAACCTTGGATCAATTTAGGTTTCGGGGAAACTGCCCACCTACCCCTCCCCTAGCTCAACGTTACCATTTACGTCTCACTTGGGACAAAATGTTGGGTTAGGGGTGAGGTAGGTGGGCAGTTTCCAAGAAACCTTGAAGCAAATGCCACAGAAGACGTCGATAAAGCGTTGACGAGCAGTTCGCCAAGCCTTTGGGCGTGGTGTTGGAATATTTAGTACCCTATAAGGGATAAGGTTTTATTGACTTCGTTAATTTACGAACAAATTGTGATTCTGGGTGGATGCGGTAGTGATTCACAAATCGCTAGCGTCATTAACTGGTTTCATCCTTTCACTTGCCAAAGTGGCCAAAGCTCCAATATTGACACATTTCATGTTGTAAAATACTGAAAAACAAAGAGCGCAGCGTAAAAGTACCGCCAGAGAGGTTTCTGATCAGTGTTTTGGTTAAGGAGAAAACAGAAGATGGAAAAAGAAAAATGGACACCACATTGAAACAGTGTTTTCTTGGCACTAAAACAAAATATTCAGATTTGTAAATGACAAGATCCTATCTATAAAAATGGATAAAAGCGTCGTTTGAAAAGCGGACACCATATGGTCTTCCCAAAGCCAAGAAGGCAGACTGAATTTAAATGTGGCAGTAATATGGTTCACTGTTTATGTTGAAGTATTAGGGAGCTTAAGCAGCGACGTTTTTGAGCGACGCACGTCAACCGGAAGTGAGGTATTTTCCCTCTTAACATGCCTTGATGATATAAAATTTGTATTCCTTAGCTTCTTTACTACTATAGAGGCGATTTGACTGAAAATTTGCGCGAAACCACCGTCAAAAAATGAAAAAAGGTCACTTCCGGTTGACGTGCGTCGCTCAAAAACGTTGTTGCTTAAGCTCCCTATTAAGCAACGACAACGGCGACGGCTACGAAAACGTCACTTAAAAAGTCAATTCGCACTTCTTCAAACTTTATCGCGCTTCTTCCATCTCGTTGAATTCGTCAAATGTTGGCAACTTTTCTTAGAATGGAATTCTAAAGGACAGTATCAAAGTCCAGGAAAAGAAAAAGAAAGTTATCTTGTGTTTACGTCCTCGACAAAACGTGAAATTAGGCATTTTCACGTTGTAGTCGTGCAACGACGGCTAACAAATGCACAAAAAAGCGTGATTTACGTGCATAGTTGTTGTTTTGCCTATTCAATGTATTGTTTTTTTGCCGTTCTCGTAGTGCGATGAAGACAAAGACTTCGACGATGACCAAGGTATCCTAGGAAGACCCAGTATCTGGGTTTCTACACACACAATATGGTGAGTGGTATCGCTTTTCCAGTTTATTAGGGACGTTTAGATTGGACTATGGATCTGCGATTGTGCGAGTACGAGTTTGCAAAACAAGGTCATGTGCCTCAGATTGTTACAGCAATCTCACCACTTCATGTTCTGTTCTTCACGTCTCTATTAACCCGGTGGATCTGAGAGACTTGTCTAGCTTCCAAAGTCATACTCGTATTCGATTTTTGTATTCTTAGTCAAAACAGTCAGAAATCAACCTTGACAACTTGAGCTCAGTTCTAAGTAGAGGTTATACAGTGAATTGTTGTGTGTAGTTGGTATTTTATATTACGCCGACAAAAGATGCAAGATGTACTGAACTCGTTGGCAAACGGTAAGAGCAATTTGTTTTGTGTTACGGGATTATGTATTGCCAGAGTTTCTGGTATTACTTAGTTTTGTTATACTCGATATAAAGAGCTTGTGTCATTCTTTGACTCAAAAAATTGTGGATCAAAATAACCTAGAATAATGCCTCGCCAGTGAAAAGTGCTTCTCGCGTGCTGTGAATTGCCAGGTGCGAGGTGATTATTCTGTGCTAAACAAAGTGACTTTTCATTGTGCTTTGTTGTAAAAGGCAGAAAATTTCCCCTGATTTAGGTAAATAGACCAGTTTTTGTATACAGACATTACATTCGTTAAGCATTGTTGTACAAAATGTTTGGCTAGTATATACTACAACTATTATTCACCCCCAGTGTCGGTAAAAGTGGAGGATATTTAGCGAGCCATGTGGCTACGACGCAATTATACTCGCTTATTTCTTTACTACTTGGGTGTTTAATTGTTAATTGTTTAAGAACCGGATGTCATATAACAGGTTACGTTACGCGGGATGAGAATCCTATCACTTTTCGTAGATTAAGGGCTCTGAACTAACTTAAACTGCGCAGCTCTCTTCCCTAATTCTCGTTAAGTAATAAGCCCGGTCCATAACTCATTTTCATGGTGATATTTGTCAGGTTCCGACCTCTGACTCCAAACCAGAAAGAGCAACAACCTGTCCTCACCAGCAAACCCAAAACTGGATCGGCAAGTGCTTCACGATCTTCTAAGAAATCTTTGAAGGAAGATGGTGAGCAGTTCAGTACGTTAAACTGTGCATGATGTGGTGGCCTAAGGTTGCCATTTGTTTGCATGATCTTTGATTGTTCTCGAAAAACAGTTTTTGTTCCTTGTCTTTCCATTTGTCAGAAGTTGTGTTAAGTCATCTAGTGGTGTCATTACTTTATTGGCCTTTTTGCTGTTGCGCGTGAATTCAGGCCGTTTTGTGTTGAGCTGTATCATGGAACTGTTTTGGGGACTTTGTACTGGCTATTACGACTTTGCGAGGGAAACTGGGTCCAAGGCAATGCACCCAAAACAATCTCATATCGCAATTCGACACATCACCGTTCCCGCCTTTTGCTCATTCTCTTAAAGGCTCAATGGCTCTTTTCGGCCCAAGTCGCTCTTTGGTTCAATGCCTTTATAGGGTCTGTGCGTGTGAACACGATACATTCACATATTTATTATTTCCTTTGATAGATTCAGAAAATGACGTATCCATGAGTCAGCTGCTTTCAGCTTGTGAACCACAAAGCTTCAGTAAGTTCAACAATAAATGTCAAAGAGTAGAGAGTATTTAGAGACTAATAATTTATCTTGTCAGAATAAAAGAACAAATGAAAAAGTCTTAGTGTTAAACGCACGCCCTCCGGATACCGGTCGGATATTCTTTCGTACTAAGCTACGTAGAGACAAGTGACGAGTGAAGCCCAGAGCTAGTTTTATTCAAGCTGAAAATAAACTTGTTCGGAAGAGAGTTTCAGAGTAGTTTTTCAGTTTAATCGAAGAGACGTAAGTAGACAGCTGAAATTCAAGTTAAACTTTTAGATACCTGGTCGCTTACGTAACACAGATAATCGACTATACGGCATTTAATTTAACATTATTTTTGTTGTTGCTTGGTAGCTATATCTGATCCAAGTATTGAGGTAATCAGCCTTATGAAAGCCCTGCACGTGATCAATTCTCACTGGACAACCCTTTACGAGGTGAGTATAGCTGAATTCTTAGAGGAGAGCTTTAGGTTTGACGACGAAGACGACTACTAGTACGTGATTTGACTTAAAAGTTTTTCTCGCGTATTGTCGAGAAAGTATTCGACCCGGAAAGTTTCATTTTACTATTTTTCCAATAGGCCTGCACCGTTCGAAACTTCTTATTTCACTGGTCCCCTTTAATCTGCTCTTCCATTGTTTTCAGGGATAGGGGCATTGTTATGTGACAATCCCTACTGTTTTCCCAGCTAATCAAAAACAATCTTTCAAATTGGTGCGGGATCGCCCTATTTTTCACCTGAAAAATTAGTGCGGGTAGTTTTTTTTTCCAATAGCAAAATGATAAAACTTCTAACATTTAATAACTTGTTCCCGCCACTACGGCATTCTCGCTAAAACCCTTCGTAGAATGACGACGGCTATCACGTTTTCCCGCCAAAATGACGCCGGCTCATGCGCGTGAAATACTTAGTTACGAGAAAATCTCGTAGTCGTCCTCGTCCTCGAATCTAAAGCACTCTTTTGTTTAGCAATCAAGAGCTTCTTTAGTTGCTGATCATTTGCTTTGTTCTCATGATCTTGATGCTTTATTCGGCGGTAATACTGTAAGGAGAAGTAAGATGCTTATCAATCTTAGACCCAGGAAAATAATCTGTGCTGCAGCAGATCAGTGATAGTTGTGTTTTCCATGCGATTGTCAGTACCAATGAGAAATCATACAATTAACTTCTTTTTTTCTTTTTCTTGTTAGGGGCAAAGCCGCCGGTCATTCTTGTCTTCAAACGAGTTCATAAACAACAAACTTGCCGCAAAGGTTACCAGGCAATTACAAGGTAACATTTTCCCTTCTCTTCGTATAGAAAGTCATTTCGATGGTACTGCTTGAGAATTATAAATGTTGAAACCTGCCTTGTAAAGCGTAATAGGAAGCATCAGTGAAAAATCTACTCAGTTGCTTCTATCTGAGTGATCACTTCTTTACTCGAGAACTCAGTCTAAAAAGTGAAAAGTAAAGCGAAAGCAATTCTAGTCAACTATATCAACGGTAGACGCCTTTATAAGTCATCGGCTTTATTCTCTGCGACTGAACTTCCTAAGGTATACATCTACAGCTAGACCATCGGGGCCGGGTTGTTCAACGCCAGTGGCGGATCCAGGGGAGGACCCCTCCCTTATTTTTAGACCAAACCGAACATTTTTTCTTTGAGACTGCCCTCCCTTATCTAAGGGTCTGGATGACCCCCCTTCCCCCCTCCAAGGTTAGCGCGAAATTTGAAATCAGATATGAATGCTTAAAACCCAAGTTTAATTCTTTTTTGCCTACAATTTGATGATTGTTCGGCATGTAGCCTCATTTTACAACTGTATCTGTTTCAGATCCCATCACCGTGATAACTGGGAATTTCCCTGCTTGGGTTGAAGAGCTTCCTCGCAAATGGTATGGTTTTCAGTAGAGCTCTTTGATTTGTATCTCTTGTTGTTTAGATATGGCGTACCCTGCTTGTATTGCATTTTTCCTTTGTAACACGTCCTGCCAGTAACTGTGCTTACACTGTGGTTGGCTCCCCGCAAAATGTTCAGCAATTGGTACAGGATTTAATGGAGCCGAAAACAATTGTGAAATAGAGAGGAGAAGTGGTTACCTCACGTTGCCATGGTAGCAAATTTCTGGATGACAACAAACCGAAAACATCAGTTAAAAAGTGAATTCGCGCTGTTTCAAACTTCGACGGTCTTATTCAATTTCATTTAATTTGTCAAATGTTAGCGAAATTTTCTGGGGTTAAATCTGAAAAGACCGTATCTAAGTTTCGAAAAAGAAAAAGACAATTTTTGCGTTGTGCTCGCCTACTTCGTAAAGCGGGTGCGTGAAATCGGGAAGTTTCACGTCGCAGTCGTGCAACGACGGCTAAGAGACGTACAAAACAGCGTGACGCACGTGCACAGTTGTTGTTTTGCTGATATAAACCTATGGCTTTTTTCCATTTCTCTTTGCCGTCGCTGGCGTCGTTGCTTAAGCTCCCTATCCAGAAATTTTGCTACCATGGTAACGTGACGTCACACTTATATTGCACGCATTTTAGACATCCCATTAATGAACGGTCACGGAAATCAGATATTTGCAGGAGCAAGAGTCGTCTTTCAATACAGCACAGTAATATACAACACAGCACACCACATCACGGTGTAAGTTAATGCAATGCGGTGCAATACAGCAGAGGAGGTAGAAAGTGATAGTGATAAAACTGGTGACCCTGTGGTCTTCTTACTGTATTTCAGTCCATTCCTATTCCCGTTTGAATGCCGGCAACAGCTGTTCTACTGTACTGCAATGGACAGAGATAGAGCACTTAGCAAGTTACAGGTATGGTCATTACTCTGAAGCAGTACATTCTGAAGATTACTTCTTCTTCTGACTAATATCTGATGAGGAACCCGTTTCGCTACCCTGCGAGTAAGGTCACCAATTATGGCAGGCGAAGTGAGCCGCGAGGGGCGCACACACAAAGATTCTCACCCTTACGTATTCTAGGAGTGAAAGCGTTAAACTTGGTTTGGGGAAAAACACGAACTTCTGCGATGTCATTCCCCATTTTATTGTAGATGGAGTACCGATCTGACGGGCAGTTCGTTTTCACTGATTTAACTGCTAATAGGCATCCCGTGTTGCTTGTTCACAGGCCTTTTATTTTATCTTAAGAAATCATCGAGCGCGCTCATACAAATAAAAACCGCGGGGAATTTATTGACCGCAAGCGCAAGGGGGTGTGACTGGGGAATTTCTATTTTTTTTCCCTCACTCTTCGCGCTCGTGCACTTACCAAATTGTCGAAAAAAAAAAAGAAAGAAAGAAAGGAGATTCATAACGTCTGTGAACATGCTTGGCATCACGCCATATAATGCCCATCATAAGGTTGTAACTTTGCCTTTCTTCCTAGGAAACACTACCCGAGCTTATGAATGCAGAAGCCTCCGATCGCGTGGCACCGAGATTTGATAGGAAGAAGGTTTGTTTATATGAGAGGTTATTTGACTTTATGTTTTCACTGATAGACTATCTCCTCACTCTACTTCAGTGAGTGCACACAGTCAAACGAGGTCGAGGTTTGTTTAAAAAAAATTTCGTGTAAATCGCTGTGTTTTGTCTACTCAAGCCTCGGTTTAGTGCCTTTGTTGGCGGGAATGCGGGAAAACGGCGGAAATGGAGCCTACTCGTAAATTCCGCGTTATGTTTCTTCCTAATTTCTCGTAATGTTTTAGTGCGGTGGTTTCTGTAAATTGTTCTTGACTTTGCGAATTTCGTATTTTGTAGCACACTGTTTCTCGTGTTGGGCTGCTTGACCAGGCGGAAAAACTGATAAGTGATTTGGGCAGTTCCCAGTCTGTACTGGAAATACAATATGAAGGCGAGGTGAGCTTGTAGACCAGTCCTCAGCAAATGCATGCGTAGAAAAAACGCTCTTTAAAAAGAGCGTTTGTCAAGGTAGTGTCGAAAACTTTGTTGTAGTTACTCTGATTTTGTTTTCTGTACATTGTGATTTGTAAAAACAAAAACTCCTCGTATCTTATTGACCAGTCAGTAATGGGCACAATTGTTTTCCCGCCCCTGGCTGCGGGCGCCGGTTACATGTGTATACTTTGTCACCGTTTGTTTTGATTGGCTCCAGTTGGTTTGAATTTACTTGTGTCAGGAATCAGGTGCTGTGGAATCCTGTCATACGGCCACGTTGTTATTACAGGCACTTTGATTTTCGCGGCAAAATGCCCATTGCATTTTCTTAGAAGAAAACCTCATTAATGCGGCCGCCTCGTTCATGTAACCAAATGCGCATTATAAAGGAAAAGAAAACAAAAATGATATTCCTTGTTAACTGAAAGTGTTTGTAAAATTGGTATTGTTCACTTTTAAAACAACTTTCGAGGTTCTACTGTAGCTGACTTACGAGGATGCTAAAGAAAAGAACAACAATCTGAGCATACAAAACGGTCCCGATGTTCTTAGAGGGATTTGACTGAGCGACTAGTTGTAACGCGTGCTTATGTATGTGTGTGTGTGTGTGGGGGGGGGGAGAGAATCGATGGATTATAACGCTGTTGAGAGATTCTCGTGGCTAAATTTCAAATCGAATGCGCCTTGATAGTGAGATTCGGTCCGATTAATATTTTCAGGTTGGGACTGGGTTAGGTCCCACGCTGGAGTTTTACGCGTTGATTTCTCAAGAATTTCAACGAGCAGACTTGGAGATGTGGAGAGGAGAACGTACTCTGCCTCCAGGAAGAACAGGTAAGGTTTTTGGTTTTGTAGATTGTCCTCGATTTTTGCTTGCAGACACGTCTATAATGGAGAGACCTGTCTACACGGACAGTTCTCTTTGGATCAAAATCACTATGCTTCGTTCATCCCTACCTCCATAACATGGACGCCTCTATATTGCCGACACTTGGCTCTGTCCCTTTGGTGTTGACTGTTTGATACCCCCTCTAAACATTGTTGTGAGAAGTTGTGACATGCCGAAAACAGTTTAAATTTGTCAGAACAACGTAATAATTGATACGCAGATGTTAGGGCCATAGTGCGACAATATTGGGGCAATGTTCTGACAGTGTTGGGTTACTGTTGAGACTATGTTGGGGAAATGTTTTGGCTGTTTCACCGGTAGTTTACTTCAATCAAGATTTGCTTGCCTAACGTTTATTCTTCGTTCAACAGGTTTTGGAGACGATGTTTCATATGTGTACTCACCAAATGGCCTCTATCCAGGTGACCTAAAATTTTTAACTTTCTTGAGAACGGATACACTTATATTAACAGTAAAAACGTTCCGTATTCTCCTGAACCGAGTCACTAGAGAAACAACAGAGCAGGTCCGATCATGTAGTTGTGAGAATATTTATTTTGTGGTTAAAATTTTATTGGCCTTGCCCAACACAATGTGTATTCATTTATCTCACGTTATTTAGCTCCAATTTCACGCAACGCCAAAACAGCAACCGTGACAAAGCTGTGCTCAAAGTTCCAGTTCCTGGGCAAGTTTCTTGCGCGCGCCATAATGGACTTCAGAATACTGGACATTCCCTTCTGTCCAATACTATACAAGTGGCTCCTCAATCAGGAGGGAACGCTTGATTTGGGTGATCTTGCAACCATGGATCCGGTGCTGGCGAGGTCGCTGTCTCAGCTACAGCAGGTTGTGCAGCGAAAGAGACAGTTAGAACAAGACGCTTCTCACACTCCGGAGAGTCGGCAACTGGCTGTGGACAGTCTGACGCTTGATGGAGCCCCCATTGAGGATCTCGGCCTGTCGTTTGCTTTACCCGGTTATCCGGAAGTGGAGCTTAAGGTATATTTTAATCGATTGTTATTAGTGATTGTGGACAGCGAGTTTTCATACTCGATATTAATTCAAAAATCGAAAACTGAAGAATCATTCACTATGGTGTTTTTGGAAATGAGATTCAAAAACCTCCCAGATTTCCATCCTTAATGCTTAGTGGTTATATCATACACACAACAAAATGTTTCATCACAATATCAAGAACCTTGAATATCATCAAAAACGCTTCGCAACGCCTCATATAATTATTCAACCGATTATTTAAGATTCTGTTTCGTGTAAGATTACTTCAAAAGCTAAAACCCCTTTATGCAAGCGAACAAAAAGTTGATGTTGTTGTTATTGATGATGATGACGATGATGATGATGATGATGGCGATGACGTTGATGTTGATGATAATGATGACATTCGAATTTATTACCAATCTGACAACAAAACAACAACGTTGCACGTGCATCACGTCCTTTGTAGATTTCTTTGCCGTCACTGCACGGCGAAAAAATGCCGAAGTTCAAGTTTTATGAAGGACGCAAATAAGCGGCCACGAATTTTTCTTCCTCTTTCTAAACGTGATTGCGGTCCCCATGAGATCACCTCCAAGGAAATTCGCCTACATTGGACATTTTCAGCGAATTGGAATAAACGTAACAAGGTTTGAAAAAACGCGAATTCATTTTAAAAGTGACGTATTCACTGTCGTCACCGTTGTCGATGCTACTGCTCCCTATTTACAGCGATACAGCGGGGGATGCACGGCAACTTTCACCCGACTAATTTATACTCCTATTGATTTTTATTACTAGTGATTAATTGAGTGATTGATTGATTGATTGATTGATTGATTGATTGATTGATTGATTGATTGATTGATGTTTTAGAGAGGTGGAAAAGACATCGCAGTCACTATCCACGATTTAGAAGAATACATCAAGGTAAATTAAATTAAATTGATCTCAACTAAATAACAAACTCCCTCTGCAGCAAGGCTTTCTTAGGAACACATCGTCATATCGTTGTATCTGTAGAAAATCATTTACCCATAATGAGAGAATTTCAAAATTTTTGCTCGCTCAGCAGGACATACAATGGTCCAGTCCTATGCGTTAAATGTCTACATTTCAACATTTGTTTTAACTGCAAGGCCGAAATACTGTGTATTATTCCAAGATGTGTTTTCACGCAAATTATCAAATTATTCAGCATGAGTACTATTTCAGGACACCTCTCTGCCGGAGACGGACTCCTCAATTTTTACGTGGTCATCCAAGCCATTAGGAAAGTCTAGCCGTTTGCGGGACACTGAAGGCAATAGAGAGATTTAGAATCACGTTAACGGCAAACGGCCTTTTGTACCACGTGATCACGTTTACTGGTCATCATATCTACTCAGACATCAGCAGACTCATGCTAATTTCATCCATAACAATTGTTTTGGACAGTTTTGATCGGCTCATTTCTTAATTTGATATATGAATCTGAAATTTGCCGTTTGCCGTTAACGTGATTGCAAATTTCTCTTACTACATACTTTATCATCTATTTAAAGATTGTTACTGTTGGTGTGGCACTAGTCTGCGTAGCTGGCGGGATTAGCGCGGGAGTGCTGTATTGTTTTAGCTCGCGAAAATCCCTCGCGGCTTCGCCGCTCGCTTCGCGTGGCGGGAGCCGCCAAGAAAATACCTCGGGCACAAGAATCCCGCCAGCTACGCAGGCTAGTGTGGCCTGGGTATTTTAACCCGTGAATTCCCGCGCTGCAGACCAGGACTTTACCCTCAGAGCTAATTTATTTTTTGCCTAATTGTTCGTATTTTTCAGTTGGTTGTTCAGTGGACTCTTCTAACAGGTGTCAAACGCCAGCTTGATTCTCTCCGAGAAGGGTTTAACTCAGTTTTGCCTCTGTCAAATCTGACGATTTTCACTTACAGTGAGGTGAGTCAAATGGTTTCATCATTTACTTCAACATTCGTTTAAAAATTTGTTGAAACAAACGTCGAGGAGGCTGTTTGAAAAGGTTGCTTGACATCGGTGAACTTGTCAACATTGATGAACATGTCAAAAGTGCGTTAAAACAAATTTTTGAATTGTTTTAAACTTTCACTCAACTTTGCTCTAACATTTCTTTTTGTTTTCGAAATTCGCGGATCGTGTTATTCCCTAGACTACCAGCGGTCTCTCTTTTTCCTTAGTCCGACTTGCGAAACGCGCGAGACACGCAAATGACCACGCGCTCATCTCAGAAACTCTAGGGAGAATGGGTACAAGCTTCTCGGATCGTTTAGATGGACAAGCGTTACTTATGATTATCATAAGTAACGCTTGTCCACCCAAAAAACGTTGCGCCGAAAGCTTGTACCCATTCATTCCTCTCATAGTTTTTGGAATGGGAATTGTTGTTTACATTTGTAAAACAGGCGTATGTGCACATCAAACTACAGAATCAACGTTTTCAAAATGGCGGTCAGAGAGTCTGGTTCTAGCGTGCGGACGCAGATGTATTTCCGGTTTTCGCTGTGTCTCAAAGGCGACGTTGTTTCTTTAAACGTTGTTTTTTCTTACACTTTCCGCGCAACGTCCGTTCAACCTTTTTGTTTTTGTTTTTGTCTTTTTTTAATTGCTTAGACGTTTTCTCTGATATTTATGATCGTTTTTCTTTCCAGATGGAGCTAACTCTCTGTGGAAATGTAGCCGAAAAGTGGGATATTAAATGTAAGCAACATCTCGTTACTTCAATTGTATTTGTAAATTTGCCCGTCCACACAATGTTCCCTCATTGTTTTAACAAGTTATTTTTATATATAACTCAGTTAGTGGCCAGTCCCAACCAAGAAAGTGGCTGAATTTGGCCACATTGCTCGTCCCTGGCGTTAGGCGTTGACATGTTAGCATTAAAATAAATCAGTGCCGTTGTGATTAATACAGTGGTGTTGCATTTTTAGGTCTCGTTGAGAGCTGCCGACCCGATCACGGTTACACACACGACAGGTGAGTGAAACCTTGCCCTAGCTTTCTATGGTATTCCACAAAAAAAAGGCAACCATAATCAAAATAATCACACTTCGGTGCTTCATCAGTAAGTCAAGTCGTGGCTCGGCAGGATTGGGGAAAGCGAAATGGCCGAGATAGGAACTGGAGAAAATTGCCCTTCAACTAGCCAATTCTCCACGCCAGAAACTGTAAAGGTGATGTGACACGGAACGATTCGCAACGACGATTTTTAACGCAACACAGCATCGCAATATTGGAACAATGTTATAACTATTCGAAACAATGTTACTAACAACAATGTTGCAATGCTGTGTTGCACTAAAAATCGTCGTTGCGAATCGTCTCGTGTAACATCACCTTAATTAAGGGGAATGGGTCAAGCTTTAGGTGCAAGGGTTTCTGGGATCGTTTGGGTTGACAATCTCTATTTATTTTTTTATTTATTTACCAGCTTTTCTGGACACAGGCCTGTCCAGAGGGAATGTGCACGAACGGGACTCTGGTCCCATGCGAGGTGCCATTCCTACTCAATCCCACAACCCGTAAAGGTTGGCCACACCACCGGGATCTACGACCCCTACTCTTTTCGAATAGTGATGTGGGTTCTTTTACGTTCCACAAGAACAAATCAGTGAAAGTCCTGTGAGACGGGACCTACGGTTTTTTCATCCTTATCCGAGAAGACTAGAAAGTCAAACCATTTGCAGATGTCATTACAAAGGCAGCACTTTCTTAAATCTTTTAGTTGTAATAGGTTAAATGGCTCCATCGACCAATCATAACTAACGCTTGTCCACCTAAACGATCCCAGAAATCGTTGCGGCAAAGGCTTGGACCCATTCCACTTATAGTTTCTGGAGTGGGGAACTGTCTTCGTTCGCTTCGCCTGATTTCCTTCCTCGCGCGACCGCCCTCATTCCCGCCTAAAAGAGGCCGCTCTTCCCTGGCAAGAGAGGCCTAATCATCCTGTAGGACTGCTCTACTGTTAAGAACGTGTATTTACAGGAAAGCTGTTTTTGGAGGTGTTGATATTTTAACCAGCTTTAACGCTTTTCTTTCTGTAATTTTAGTCGAGCCGTCAAGAGTCTGTTTGAAATTTTAAGCTGCTACGCGCAGGAGGAGCAGCGGCTCTTTTTGCAGTTTGTCACAGGAAGCCCAAGATTACCTGTCGGAGGTAAGATCGCAGATATTCCTTTATTTTTCTCGACATTTTGCGCGTAAATACTTTCAATACGAAAAAGGAATTCTTGCAGACAGGCTTGCTTGCAGATAATCTTCTGGACGCGTTTCGCGCGCGTTTTGGCAGCTTTTCTTCCCTCTCACTAAACAAAACGCCAGCTACGCAGGCTGGTGATTACTTGTCGAAAAGTAATACTGCCCTTATGCGGTTAATAGTTGTGACCTTTACTAAGCGGTCAAGGGAGCCTCCGGTAATTGCACAATGTTTTCGTTTCTTCGAACAATAACGAGTAATTCTGAACGAATCGCTCATATGAACTTGCGCCATAGTTTCTAACAGGGTCGGACCCAAGTAGGCAAATCTGCCCAACACAGTACTCGTTCGTTGACTTTGTGTATGTTTACGAGCTGTTTGGAGAAATTGGTCTTGGTTCGTTTACCGTTCTGTCGAAACAGCGCACTCTTATTCAACTAGGTAACCATTTATTTGATGGAAATACGGTAAAACAAGCAATTGGGAAGTCTAGAGGGTGACCACGTCTGCATAATTGGCAATAATTGACAGGTTAAGAGATGTCAGCCGTCTGTTCCCCCACCCTCTCCCAAAACTGGCTGCAATGCGAGAGAGACCGGCCACCCCTTGGGGAGAGGGGGTGGGGCGAAGAGATGGCTAACATTTCAGACTAGGCGAGAGAGAGTGGGCCTGTGTTGCATTGAACTGCATTGCTGGACCATTTGTATAGACGAATTTTGACCCAGTATCAGCTTTGCAAAAGATGTTAATACGAAGATGGAAGTATCGTTCAGTGTTCTTCTGAATTAAATGAAAAATTTTGAGATATTGTATTTTGTTTCGTTAGGCCTGCGCAGTCTAAACCCACCGCTGACCATAGTCCGCAAGTCGTTTGAACCACCACTTTGTGCTGATAACTACTTACCCTCTGTCATGACTTGCGTGAACTATCTGAAGCTGCCGGACTACTCCAGCAAGGAGATCATGGCCAAAAAGCTTAAACTGGCTGCCCTGGAGGGACAGCGCTCATTCCACTTGTCTTGAAGAGACTCGACTTTCAGTTTTCTTGATGCCATGTTTTGTTCATATTTCACCTTGTCGCTGGTTTTTGTTATTGTCACGCGGTCAAGTTGTCAGTCATCGCGTGATGTCGACTCTTCACGCAATCACTGCATAAGAAGTCGTTTTTGATAAATGATTGAGCAGTGATGTTAATGTTGGCCGTAATGCAGGGTTAGCGTGACGTCACGCTTTCTTCGTCTAGCGAGGTTGTGTGACTAGTCCTTAAAATCTTTTTGATAGAAGGCCATCGTATTTGGCTACTTTTGAGTGTTTCTGTGTTTAACGTTTCTGTCCTGTAGTTAGTATTAACCCTTCAAGCCTCAACAAGCTGCCACTGACTGATTTCCGTTTGTATCATCACTACGTGTAATATTTCTGATGACATTTAAGCTGTGGAGGAATTTTCGACCTACTGAAAAATTTGATCGGAGACTCTGGGCGCGATCCATTCAACCAAAATTCCAACCGGTCCGACCGCGAAAATCGGTCCACCTCAAAAAGTGGACCCGTTTTTTCGAAACTTTTCCGGTTGGACCGAACCGATCCATTGAGTTCTGGACCGAAATTTCCGGACATTTTGGTTGAATGGATCGCGCCCTCTGTTCACACATGACCGTTCAATATTTTCGCTCTGTTCACACGGAACATTTGAAAGGCTAGGCCTCGAAATTTGTGTACGGTTAAGGTGATTCCGTGTGAACGGAACAGCTATACGCACGAATTTTCGACCGGCCGGTACCTTGTGAAAAACGAAACGTCGTCTCCCTTAGCAGCAAAAAAGAGAGTGTCTGGCAGTTAGGTTTGAACAGCATCTTTTTCGAGAAAAGATGACTTCTTGTTGAGGTGTGGCAACTTATTTACTCCGAATGAATATTGTGAAGTGCAGTGGTGACCAATTTTGCCCGTTTTAATTGAGAAAAAAATGCGTTTTACATTGCCAGAGAGTAGAATTGGTACCCACCGTGCGCTCTTGTAATACCTCATTTACTACTTCAATAATCATGTATACGCTATTTTTGGTCAGTAGAAACAATTCAGGGATTTTTTTAAATTCGACAAATGTTGATAAAATACGTTTTAACAGCGTCTTTTCTTCCCAGTCACGTGTGGATTGTCACACAACGCTCCTCTCAGTGAGTAGAAGAGTTGTGTGACAAACCAGCTACTTGGAGATAAACGTATAGCGCAAAAAAATAGTTGTCTGTAATTCTGCTGTTTCCCTGCTTTTTTTGTCCATTTTTTTGTGGTTTGTTTATTTGCTCCTTTTATTTATAATCGCTCCCGATAAGTACCATTTGTAGAGGTGATAATATTGTAATAAGGTCGCATCTGTAATGTAATTAATATTAGTGTGTTTAGAGATAAGTTTTTATTTTTATTTTGCTATTAAGTGGTTCAAATATGGCAGTCACGCAATCATAAAGTGGGTTGTAAAACTGTGATTATAATTGTGAAGAAAAAAAGAACAAATAATTATTGCCTATCAGTTTTATTCACCCTCTTTCTCTTTCGTGATGTAGAAAAAGTGCACATTGTAAATAAAACCTCCAACGCTTTGTATTTCCCGCTTTTCAACCACAGTTTTCCTGTGCGCCATATTTGAATTGATAAAAACATATGTTCTAAATCAGTTAGATTGTAGCAGACAGAAGTTAAGAGATCGCAATATCCTGTGGTTTATAAGCTTTATCTTCACTCCAATCGCAGGAGCTTGCAGATAAACTGTGATTTGTTTGCATAATAAAAGTGATTTTATGTGGTGAAGAATTGTTGAGTTTATCTTAACCAATTTTTATTTGTTTGCTTGTTTGTTTGTTTACCTATTCCCAGGGAAACCCCTCTTTGTAGTATGTACCCATACCCTCCGAGAGTCAATCAATCAGTTTTCGGCCCAGTGACGAGAAATTTCTCGGTTATTGCGACAAAAATTAATGTATTTTAGGGCCAAATTGAGGTTCGTCCTTCGTCAGACTAGATCTCTGAACATAGGTTGCGTGTGCTTAATTCATTCGTTTTTAGCTTTATTCATTTCTCTTTCTTCCAATCCTTATGACAACCTTATAGCAATCAGGTGTAAATGGGACTAGTCCAAATCTCCCAGAAAGACATAAGAACACAAAATATCACAAAAGCGGATGCATACCGTAAAAATCCGAAAATAAGCCCCTCCAAATTAAGCCCCCCAAACTCTTAACGCAAAAAATCCTCCGTTAAATCGCCCCTCCAAATATAAGCCCCCCAGGGGGCTTGTACTTGGAAATCGCCCTCAAATACAAAGTGAAACAAAGAAAAACGGTAAATTTCCTTCCAAGAATAAAGCTAATACCAAGAGTCTCCTGGGGAGGAGGTGGGCTTGCCTGTGGTGTCGGGTGGTGACCTGTGGTCGTTTTTCAGGACCCCCTTATGTAAGGGTAATCGAAATGAACCGTTCATCAGTTGCATGATGGGTAAATTACAATGACATCACGGCCATTTTCCTGTAGGGAAAAGTCGTCGAAGAAGAAATTTCTACCATGGATTTGAGGAAGGTTTCTGACGAGGAAAAAGTCAACTTGTGCAGGAAATATACCATTCACATATTCAATTATTATTATTTATTGTAAATCCTTTTTTTTTCATTTACGTGCTATCTCCTTAGTGTGGTTGTCGTGTTCCATTGCGCTTTTCTTCGTGATCGATCAAGTTGTTGGTTAGATGTGTTAAAGTTACCAGCCTTATATCACTTTGAGCTTGATCGTATTTTGTAATTTTCAGCGGTTAGAAAACATCATTATGTGTAGTTGCGATTTACTGCTGCTTTAAAAAAGCGCTTTATCCTTTGCTGCAGAGAAAAAATACTTAAGCTCATTGTGCCAAGAAGAGCTGCAACATAGTACTAGGTTCTAGATTGTTTGATTGATTATCGTCAAATCAAACCATTGGTAAGTTATTCAAATGTCAAGCAGTCAGCATGGGTATTAGGTAACTCAAAATTTTTCTCTGTTATAGATTGTTAAATTCTCCTTGTTTTCATGATTTGAATGACTTGTTCATTTGTTATGTGCTATTGTTGTGTTTTCCTTGATTCCGTCAACACATTTTTTAGGAGGATTTGCTTTGCTCCCTTTTTTGTGGTTTATCAATGTTGTTTGGTTCTTCAAGGAGGCTTTTATCAGACCATCATTTTCAGGGCAATCAAAGCTTAAATCATGTAAGTGTAATCATAACATAATAATGATTAATGATAGGATATAACTTACCTTAGCTAAATGACCCAGCATTTTGGTTCAACATCATGTTTGTCACACTTAGCATGGGGAGGCCAAACAATGTTTCACCAGACACGGATCAGAGCAGTGGCCCCACCATAAGCCTTGTGTGTATTTCTGGTGATATTATGGCATGTGATGAGCAGTCCACATGCAGCGTTCCAGTTAATTCTTTCAAGCAGGGGTCGTGGAGACCATCTGAGGGGTCACCAAGACCACATGCTAATTTTTTTTGTTACATTGAACTCAACACTTATATGTCATCTGTCGGGTCAGGAAGCATTCTTTGTCGGGTCATTGACCCGAGATCTGTCTCTTATCTGAAACACTCTACATGTGAGGTACCAATAATTTTTTTCCAAAAAATCTAATTCCATGATATTAGTTGAAAAAATTACAGTCAAACTGTGCTTTACAAACACCAGCCCAATATGGACACCTCATTATTACAGAGAGTTTGCATTGTCCCTGGGGAAAGAAAGACCTTACATTTTCTCTAAACTCAACCTGTTTTTAAAATACAGACACTCTATATGGCCCTTCAGATGTCCATATTAATGCGGTTTGACTTTACTTAAGTCTGAATGGGAAGAAAAGTAAATCAGGATCATAAAATAAGGTCTCTTGTCTTAAACAGGGTAGTAAAATGAATGTTTTTTCTATTAAACAAGGTCAGGGTTTGAAGGCCTCGGGGCACACATCTTTACCCAAACTTTCCTTTAGTGCCCCTCGTGCATGCATCACTTTACATGTATCTTAGAGAGTTTTCAATTAGAGCTGGTGGCTGGCGATTCACATGAACTCGCCGCCTACTTTTCTTTGGAAATTACCCCAGTTTAAATAGAGTATTGGTGTGCTGTCACTGAATAATAAAGCCAAAATTTAATGATGTCTGTGTTCTGTTCAAACACTCTAATTTTTGCTCCAGAATGCTGGAAATGCATTCTAGATGCATTCAAATTTTTCCAGCAACTCGCGCTCACAAGTCACGCCTTTGCCGTGAGTTTGTTTCCTTCTTCACCTACTCCAAGGCTTTTGCCATCTACTTAAAATCTTATCAAAAACCCTGATCTTACCAAACCCTTTTTTATATTCCTCTAAGCCAAAAAAACCGACCAGCTCCATGTTGAGGGTTTTAATCTGTTTTAATACAATTTTTTAACAAATTCTGCTTGTGTTTGTTTTCAGATGTAATCAAATCTGGAATTGGATTTTTAGTGTGGTTTGCTGGCTTGACTGCATGGATCCTTATTTATCAAAAGTATCGAGCAAGCTGGGGAGCAACTGGAGACATGATATCTTTTGTAATACCACTGGGAGAGCCATGATCAAGGACAATGTGTTTTCTATGTCATCTTTAGTGTCACCTCCTCCTGTATTTGTAATAAAACTTTGTCTGCATTGCAGAGTGCCATTGTAAATAGTGAAAAGGATCATGTAAAATTTTTTTTATTAAATCTTCAGCTACTGCATTCTGCTAGTTTAGTGCCTGTTTTCCATTCTTAATGGGGTTTTGAAAATGTCAAAAGCACTTTATTGAATAGAATTCCTTGGATATTTTTGGGCAAATATAAATTTGACCTCAATGAATGGGCCCCTTTCATTTTGTCTGTTTAATGTTTGCTCAACTACTTTGATTCTTGGTGATTTCAGGTTATTACAGTCAAGCCAGGTCACTCAAACGCCCAAGATAGTGAATATATTGTTCAAAACTTGAAGCTGGTAGTCCTTGCTGCAACCAGTATCAAATTCAAAAATGCACTCCTGTGTGCGTCATGTAATGAGTAGTGAATCATTTCCAATTGAAAAATCTTTGAATTGATAATATTGCTTTGAACACATTTGCATCAAATTTAAGAAAACTGACCTGGTAGAAATTTCATAACAACCTCACATGTAAATTTACTGCTCATTATGCATGCAGGAAATATGCAGAGATGAATCTGCAGAAAACGTACAACTATCAGTGGATTCAACTTTCGAATGATAAATTCATTAATGGAGTCTTGAGGGTACGCTTGACCTGGCTTGACGGTAAAGGGAGATAACTGTTACTACAGCTGTAACTGTCCTGAAAAGTAACTTTTAGTCATGGGCCAAAGAGAAAATTTCAGACTACTCACATTCTGAAGGGTGCGTCAAAATCTCCATCTGATGGTCAAGTGCTAGTCAAAGAACCCATAAACTGACATTATGCATTTTTACTACCAAGTCACCTGAGAACCCGGCGGGGGGGTCTCGAATTTTGGATAGGGGTGTGCCGCAAAAGTTCGTGAACCCTAACCCTATTTAAGGACTAAGAAAGCGAAAACTGATACCCTTTTTAAGGCCGAAAGCCGAAAAATGACACCCTATTCAAGGAAAAAACAAAATTATTAATAGCATGAAAAGGAAAACCTGTAACATTGGATGTATAATATCAAGCATAAAATACTAGAATAAGCCTAGTTGAAAAAAAATGTTCGTTTAGGCAGGCGTTTTCATACTCCAGTATTAGATAATACAATTAAGCTACCCTTTCTGAGGACCACACCAGGGACACAGAAACAAAAGGGTAAAAAAAGATACCCTATTTAAGGACCGAAAACCTCAAAAACCATACCCTATTCCGCGGGACGTACCTATATAGCCCATATGTGGGAGTACCCCACCCGGGCCTGAGATTGAGGTTGGTAGAGATCTAGAGATGAGGCATTTGTTTTTGCAGCAATGAAAGCAATTGGAACTCGTAATGAAGCGAGAAAAGACCCAGGGCCCAGTTGTTCGAAGGCTGATGAGCGCTTAACCCAGGGTTAAATTTAACCCAGGTTTCTTTTTCTTTTGTTCAAAAGCATTTTCTCGGACAATTTTCTCTGATATTCATAGAGCATCGAATCATCAATTTGTTGACAAAAAGAATTAAACTGAATTTACTTTATAAGCTTTCATATTTGAATTCAAATTTTGCACTAACCCTGGGTTATCAGGGTTGTGTGAAGAAAATTTTAAAAAAAGAAAACCGGATATGCATATTACATAACTAAACCTCAATGGTGGTAAGCTTTTAAGGACAAAATAAAATGTTGAAAATTTGCCGGTGCAGATACCTTAACCCAGCTTTGAACAACCCGGCCCAGGTGTGCAAGTTGCATGTAGGCCCCACTCAGATCATAGGATTTGCTTTATATTGCTATATAATAACTCGATTATTTATGGGCTCTCTTAGTTGGGGATGATATGCAATGAAGTGTTTCAAAAAGTGATCATTAAAAATTTTTTTATAATCCAGCATGATTTTGTTACACCACAGATGCTTGCTAAGAGAAAAGAAAACATACCAGTATCAGCTTGCCTGAAGAGTAAGATTTTGTCTCTGTGTATTAGCCTGCGTGCAAGCTCTCCATTTATCAGCAGCAAAGCAAGCCCGGGGGAGGGCTTACTCCCTTATAAGGGCTTAATGGGGACGTGCGGCAAGCCAGGGTATGTTTTTCAGGATTTTTGTCTTAAACAGGGTATCGAATTTGTCATTTTTTTTCTTAATCAGGGTTTCGATTTATCAATTTTTGTCTTAAACAGGATATCTTTTCTTGGACGATAAACAGCAAAATTTTTACAACCTCTAATGTTAATTAATGTCTTAAACAGGGTATCAAAAATCGGAATTCTGTCTTAAACAGGGTTGGAAAATCAGCGATATTTGTCTTAAACAGGGTCAGGGTATGAGGGGCCTTGCCGCACCTCCCCACCGAGGGATATATTGAGTATCCCCCCCCCGGGAAAGCAGGCCACAAGAGAGAGCAACACCCCTCGCACTCAAATCTCCTCTTGCATGCTGCTTTTGTGTGATTTCTCATGACTCCCTCAGATGGAGACCTTGCTTGAAGCTTGAAAGCTATCTGTGTATTAGCCTGAAACCTCTGTTGATCTTTCTTGGTAGGAGAGAGAACCTGGGAACGAGGTTCGGTCTCGACGCGCGCAAGCTAACGCTGGGTAATTTTCGGTGGAAGAAAGCATGGCGGAGTATTTGGCGTCGATCTTTGGTACAGAGAAAGACAAGTAAGTCAATCCAGGGTCGTAGGCGATCCATTTTCATGTTTTAAATAAATAAGATTTATTTTGTTCAGGTTTGAGTTCCACAAGCGCAGGACTTTAGCGACTGTTGTGTTGTCAGATCAGCTTATTACTGCAACCATCTATTTAGCTAAGAGTTTCCAAAATATAAGCCTGTAAGATCTGAACGTCCATATTGTCCACAAATTTTGTTTCTTGTGTTCCATACAGGAAACTTCCTATTACTTTTAGATAATTTTACAGTCAAACCAGGTCAAGCGTTCCCGTCGCTAACAAACTAATGAATTCATTAATGGAAAAATGATTTCGTTTGTTGATTCAATAATCCATTCATAAAATGAATAATCCAACAGTCAAATTGGACCTCGATTCAATAATCAAATGTTGATTTGGTTTATGAACAAAATCTACCTGTTCTTTATTCTTGTCTGTTGTGTTCAATCGTATTTGCTTCCTTTTTCCTGCCGTTTACGATTGCGTTTTTCATTGCCTTTAATCAAAATAACAGCTAGAGTAGACAGACCGCAAACGCAAAGAAACTATGAGAAACTGACAAAGGCCGAGGATCGAAATCCACCAATCACCGCACATACACTGACCTTAGTTTGACCATTGTGTTTTCTAAGAGGTCAGGCCTAGGTCTGTTGCACTGATTACTGGCAGCAAACTGGCGTACATGTAACAGTTTGTTTGGGTTTGAACTTCAGAACTCGCCAGCACTCGACTCTCAGAAAAAAAAAGAGGAAAAAACAAAATTCTGAGGTCAACTTGTGGAAAGTGTAGTTTTTCAAAAAACAGTAATCGAATCAACATTCGATTATGGAATTGTTCATTTTATGAATGGATTATTGAATCAAAAACGAAATCATTTTTCCGTTAATTTTTAGTTACAAGAAACCTGTCCCTGTATGAAAACGAACCCCAACCCCAATTTTTGTTACACAACTATACCTTCAAAGTTTAGCTTGTCGGTCTTATATAAAAAGCCCCTTCTAAACGATCAAATATTATATTTCCTCAAACGTCGTGTCTGAAAAGCATGTTTTACCGTTCACAAACCAATGTTTGATCGTTGAGCCACCCCATGGCCATGTTGTGCATGACAAATACAATGGTGGACGAAAATGTTTGATTGTTTAGCCCAGGCCTTAGCCCGGTGTAGTTTGACAAAACCAAGACAAGTTATGAATTCTTCTATATTACTTTGTGTAGTTTATTATGTGAGAAATGGAAGAAGGTTGTAGATGGTAATATGTGGGAAAAATTGATTAAGGAGGCATGTATACTTCTGTGTGTGCTAAATTGATTTTCCACCTGTTTAGAGTAAATTGCTCTTTCTACTTCAAAATTGGTGCTTGTCGCCATGGAGAAAGATGCTCAAGACTTCATAACAAGCCCACTTTTAGCCAGGTGTGTACCTTTTAACCCTTTAAGTCCCAATAGGGACCAACAGCAATTTTCTCCTAACAATGTCCATACATTGTCAAGAGATAAGATTGTGAGAATATAAAAAATGACCATGAAAGAGAAAATGCCTTGATCTTTTATTAAATTCTCTCAACTAATTCTTAAAGGAAATGTATGGAGATCAGTTTGGAGAATTTGTATGTGGATACTGGGGCTCAAAGGGTTAATGGAACTTATTCGTTTTTGTCTGGATTAGAATGAAATTATGTTATGTGTGTGCCTTAGGGTGGATTTCCACTGTCGTGGAAATTATTTTCAGTTACGCGTACATACACGTAAATTTTACTCATGTAAATAAAATAGAGACATGGTATGAAGTGTTGTGCTTAAACATGAAGTTGAGCGAGATTAAACTTTCAAGCGTGGTGTTTCATACATTACCTCTCTTTTACTTGCGAACGTAAATTGCACACATACACACATAAAAATTAAACGGCAGTGGAAATCTTAGGCCCAGTTCAAACACTGCATTTCACACTCACATGTGCTGAATTTCATGTTTACGAGGAAAATCTATCATTCTCCTAATTTGCATTAGATTTGTCACTTGTGAAATGCACCATTTTAACTGGACCTTTGGACATTCGTCTCAACATAAATACAAACTGAACTTCACTGTTAATGTGTGAAATGTTTGGTACTCTGTTAGTAAGATATACCATTTTATAGAATGAGAGAAATCAAAAGAGATTTTTTATTCTATTTTTTAACATTAATAGTCACAAAAAAACCTTCATTGAATAAAAGTTGTTAAAATATTTACAAGGAAGCCTAATGAAGCTTAAGTATATTAATGTTCCATTTGAAACTAAATTCATGGCTCAATGCAGAGTGAACAAGATCAGAAAATTATGCGACAGATCGGCTGTCAGTGAGATAATTCTTCAAATTTTTTTTAAAAACAAATATAGAAGGAGAGCTAATTAGTGAAACAGGCAACGAATTGATGAACGAGATATTGCTAACCTAAAAATTACCTGTCTAAGCCATCCTTAATATATGTCATGTTAACATGGTCTCTTTTTGTGGTAATATATTTTGGTTTGCAGACCATTTTGCTGCAAAACATGTACCAGAATCCTCAGAGTGCAGCCCAGGTTGCAGATGGGACAAGTAAGCATTACAGAAAACTCTTTTCCCCAGAAAAGAAGTCAAAAGTTAAAGCCACCTTACAGTGCAGCTGGCTTGTGTTATACCTTAAAAAAATGAATGTTTTTTTCAAAATTCTACATTGTATGTTTTCCTAATTTAGTAGGGTGATATTTGATACGAGCTTTTCTCAAGACAACATGAAGAATTTGCCCAATAAAATTGGGCCAGAAAATTTTGTGTATTTCATTGTGTCAGAAAGGAGCAGTTCTTTGTGGTGGAGAAATGACATTTTGTCCAGAACAGATTTCTCTTATTTGTTTCTCTTCTTTCTTCTTTGTCCTGTGTCTTTTTTTTTTATACACTGATAAAAATGATTATTTCCAACAGCAACTCACAAGTTCAGGGATTCATATGAATGAACAAGAATGAGAAAGGCACATAAAACAAAACAAAATTCGTGAAAGGTTGCTTCTCTCACGTACAAACACTTAATTCTCTGGTTAAGGTGGCTCAATAAGGTTTTCTGTTTCAAGGCCTCCTAAGTTTGAGTATAAAGTACGCCCCCATTAACAAAGATTTGCAATAATTACCACCACAGCTGTATTAGATAAAGATGAAAATTTGTTATGATCAGGGTAACAGTGATATCAGAGTTGTCATAGTAATGAAATGAAGCAATTACCTCATCTTTATCTAATACAGCTGTGGTGATAATTTTTTCAAATCTTTGTTAATGGCGACATAGTTCATGGTCAAATTTAGGAGTTATTGACCCTGAAAAACTCTATCAAGCCACCCTTAAAGTAATTCACAGAAATTTCATGTCCTCTTTACTTTGTTATCCACAGGTAGTGCAATATCCGATGTGGAAGCCCAGGAACATTATGATCGATTTTTTGAGGTGTGCATTTTCCTTTATGAATTTTTTACCAAGGCTGTGCTCTAAGAAAATTGAAGGGAGCCCATCCATGTAGAGTAGCTCACCAGGGTGCCCAGTGTAGGGTTTCTGTATTAAAACTAAGATATTCTAGTCTCCTAGGAGAAAAAGTTTGGTACCAGGGGCAACCACGTACTGCTATAGCAAAGCCTTGTTATAGTTAAAAAGTCTTAACAAAACCGTCTTGTGATGAATTCATTGACTTGCATTTTTTTTTTCTGTAGGATGTTTTCTTGGAACTTGAAGAGAAAGTAAGTTGGATCATTAAATTTTGTTTCACACAGCTCTGGAGAGCAAGCAAGCTTTTGTCAATAAATTAAGTATTACAAGCACTAAAGAGTGGGTAGCAAAGTTGTTCAAGCAATAATTTAACCCTTTAAGCCCCAGTATCCACAAACAAATTCTCCAAACTGATCTCTATACATTTCCTTACAGAATTATTTGGGAGAAATTGATAAAAGATGAGAGATTTTTCCCTTTGTGCTCATTTGATTAATTCTCACAGATGTTGCACTTGACAATCTATGGATATTATTAGGAGAAAATTGATGTTGGTCAATATTGGGACTTAAAGGGAAGTACCACAGAAGGCAAATTGTGTACAGTACTTGCTGTCTTGCAGTACAACATTCCCTCCTCCCTACCAGAAGTTAAGGGGTATGGTTATCAAACCCTTGTATGCCCCAAATGTTAATTTTGCTTGCTGCTGTTGTTTCAGTATGGTGAAATTGAAGAAATGAATGTGTGTGATAACCTTGGAGACCATCTTGTTGGCAATGTCTATGTCAAGTTTCGCTATGAAGAAGATGCAGAAAAAGCTGTGAAAGACCTTGATAATCGCTGGTACAATGGTAAGAAGCAGATTTGACAGTAAGTTATCAACATGGTAGTGCACCTGTTGAAACATAAAATTCAGTGTTTGTATTGATCATAAAGGTTGCATAAAGGTTGAGTTGCTTGTGCATGAAATTTTCAAGCAACCGGCATTGTCAGGACTAAACCTATATGACATGCTTTTTATTGCTGTAACTCTATGTTGCAACAATGTCTTCTGTTGCCATTTGGTCCATGGTTTGAAATGACATTTATCAGCTAAATCCTGCTTACTAATGTTGGTTTAATTTGTGCACACTCTCTTTCCATCAACCACATGGTGATCAAAATGTTTCTAAAAATCACTGTCTTTTGAAAGCTCCCTAGTAATTCTTAGCATGGACTGGTACATACACTGTTGCAGATTTTGGTGGCAGTCTCTTGCAGTTAAAGGGAGCATTTTGTTATTGATTTCTCTGTCATTTTTTTCAGGTCAGCCCATTTATGCTGAGCTGTCTCCTGTTACGGACTTTAGGTTAGCACATCAACCTTGCTGTTACTATGTTTCAGATTGTACAAATTGGGTTCATTAGAGCATAATTTCAAGCAAGACATATAATATTCCATTAACCTCCAATAGTGACCAGTATCTAATTTCTCCTCACAGTATCAGGGCATAGTCAAAGAAAGAAGGCATGAGATTTAAGACAATGATCGTGCAAAATCAATTGTTTTTTATTGGCGTCTTCTCCCAACTAATGCCATAAGATATTTTTGGAGGCCAGTTAGTAGAATTTGAATTTTGATATTGTTGCTTAAAGGGTTGATGGGAGCATGGACATTGTGAGAGGTTTCTTGTACAAGTAAGGGGGCATTTAGAAGAAAAGCTGTCTGTAGTGTAATGATTTCATTCAGCCTGTTCTTTGCTTGCCAAATTTTAAAACATATTGTTTCCTTTCCTTTTTGTTTTAGGGAGGCATGCTGCAGACAGTATGAAATGGGGTAAGCCTAAAATATTTCCCACTTTTGTTACATGTAGTTAGTCCATTGACAATCTCAAACTTATAGTGTACACTAACAGTAGTTCCATACTAGTGCTGTCTCTTTTTCATTTGTTTTATATTTGTATTAAGTTCTTCTCCTGAATTATATGATTTTGGATCCTAAGTGAAGCTTGCAGAGAGCTTGTACTACACAAATGTAGTCTTTAAACTTGAAGGGGACACTCAAAGGGATCACAAAGAGTGTACCTCAAAGATCCAAGATGGTACCTACATGTACACTTTAGCACAGCCTCTTTTGGAATCCAACAAGGATGGTTGGTGCTAATTACTGCCTCAGATTCATCTTTAGAAATTCAGAATGTGTAAGTTAAGTGATTTACACTGTAGAAAAAGATTCATGGCACAGCCTTTTTGGGAATCCAACAAGGATGGTTGGTGCCAATAACTGCCACAGATTCATCCATAGAAATTCTGAATGCGTAAGTAAAGAGTGATGAGAAATTTTATTTGACAACTTGTGGCAAATGTTCAGGACTTGGTCTGTTGTCAACTGTACTGTATGCAATATTAGGGAGTTTAAGCAAACAGGACTGTGATGAGGATGGCAATAGGGATGTCATGTATAGTTAACAAATTGATGCCAGTCTTTTATGTGTCTGTCCTCTAATTGATGATAAATTGATGTTATAACATTGTCAAAGTGTTATGGATCTACTAGCTGAGGCTGTCTTCTTATGATGTCATAAAATTGTCAAAGTGTTGCAGATCCACGAGCCACAGGCGAGTGGATCCACAATAAAATTTGACAACAAAAATAATTATCATCAATAAGAGGACGGCAATTTGGTTTTGTATGCTGACGTCCGAACCCCACTGTTAAACATGTAAAGATATATTGTAAAGGCGGTACGTCTGTTGTCCTCTCATCCATGACTCCTCCCTTCCTTCCTTCCTTCCTTCCTTTTTACAATAACAAAGGCTAGAATTTATGACTTTTTTAAACTAGCGCAATGTATTGTCAATAACTTTTCTCGCTTGGTGATTGGCCACTGAAGACAAGTAACGAAGTTTCATTGGCTAAAAATTTGACAGGTTGAGTCATGCCACTGCCTTGCGTAAAATTCTTAGGAATGATATCAGCGATGTTTATTGTCTTGGAAAATGGAGGCATTTCTGGGGTAGTACAAAGTCATAAACTAGCCCAAGAAATTTTGGAGCCATTAAAATAACTGAGCAAGTCAAAGTGTTGTATGGTTGAGCTGTCTGTAGAGCAACTAGTCCTGCAGTTTAGAAAAATTGCTAACCAAACAGTGCGAACAAGTACCGTGTACCTGTTGTTTGCTTCAGTTCAGGTTTTTTTTTTGTCCTGAATGCCATTCAGCTATATGAACAGTGTACAATTAAACCGAAAGGTGGTTTTTATTCACATGCAGTCTTCAATTCAACTTTCCAGGTGCTTACAAAGTTTCACAAAGTTTGTACAAAAAGTTTGTTTTGCTTTTGGAAAAAATGGATCCGAAAAATGCACAGTGTTTGTCAAAAGAAAACTACTATTATTAATGTCTTTAGTTTGAATAAGCTAAACTTTCAGAATTGTTTTCGTACTTTTTTTAGCTTTTCAACTCTGTATGAAAATTAAAAGCTTAGCCGAATCACAGTTTTGAAGCTGTACAAATTCTAGCAAGTTGTCTCGGCTTTTGGTTGCATCAGAGCTATTTAGCTAATTTTGTCTTAGTGACAGAAAGTGAATCTTCTACGAAACTTAAAAAAGAAAAACATTGAAATTTGGCCTTCGTTTGGCAAATGACCGTGTCTTGCATAATTAAAATTTTGTGTCTGTTCTCTTATTGATCATAAAAATTAGCCAATCAGAGCACAAGAAATAATTCAGCTATTGTAAAAAATGGGAAAAGTAAAATTTTCCATCAAGTGTTTACACCCTCTACAACGAAATATATGTCCATTTGAGAGTTTCATGTTGTAAAGTGCTGTGATGGTGAGAGTTGTTGTTTTGGTTATAAAACCTATCGCTATGACTTCACTGTCTGTCGTGGTTGCTTAAACTTCCTATTATTTCATGCCCACTGAACACTGCTTCTTTCTTTTCAATTGCTGTACTCAAAGTTCTTTTCTTTCTGATACATACATACCAACATTTTATTTGTATTTTAAGAATGATTTACAATTATTGTAACATACCCGCGGGTAGCTAAGCTAATCTAGGCGGGTCATATTTTCAGGAAATAAATATAACTAGAAGTCGCAAGAGACCTAAAAAAGATAGAATTGACATAATGAGTAGAGACTTCTGTAATTTTTTAAGCTGATGCCCCTAGCAGGCTGTTTCTGATTGTATGATCCCCTCTGTTATGCAGTGAATGCACACGAGGAGGGTTTTGTAACTTCATGCATCTGAGGCCTATATCTCGGGACAGCCGGTAAGAGTGTCTGGACTACTCAGCGTAATCAATTGTAGTCTTCTTGTATATTCCTAGAGAGTGTACTCGTGGTGGGTTTTGTAACTTCATGCACATGCGGCCTATTTCAAGAGACTTGCGGTGAGTTGGGTGGAAGGGACAAGAGTGGGAATGGGGAGCATAAATGGGAACGGAAAAGGAAAAAAGTGGGATCCAGAAAATGATTGAAAGGTGGCAAAAATACATTTTATGGGAAACGTTAGAGATCTTTAGATTTGAGGATGAAGTTTTTTCACATATTCTCAAAAAATAGTCACCCCAGAAAGCTTTATTGTTTGTTTTTTTTTTTCACCAAAAAAATCATCACTGTTATCTTTATTGAAGGAAGTTAAGCCCTCTCCTGATCGCAAAATTATAAAACCTTTAACATTTGATACCTTGTCCCACCAGTACAACATTCTCGCTAAAACTAGAAGTAGAATGACAATGGCTTTCATGTTTTCCGGCCAAAGTGACTCGTACTCATAGTCGATCTCATCTTAGAATCTAAAGCTCTCTATCATAAGGAAGTTTGGGACCCAGCGTATGGACAACCTCTGAACAGGGTCCTTGGACTACACCTGCTAAGACAGCCCTCTGTCCGGCCTATCTTCTTCAAGCAAAAACAGTTACCTGCTTTTTTCCTTTGATTGTTTATTATTATGCCTGGTCCTATGTAACCTAATCTTGTATTCCCACTGAGGAATAAGGTTGATAAACACTGTACTTTAGAAATGTGGGAATCTCAAAATTAATGGTCCGAGCCATGAAATTAGGGTTAGTTAGATTTAAAATGTTCTCAATCTTCCTGGGTGATCTTCGCTGTTAATTTTGTGTTCTGAGACAGCTAGGGACCACTTGGTCACAGTTCTGTTAATTTTTTTGGATAACTTCCAACTGTCTGCTTCATTAAGTTACTGGTATATTTTTAAAGGGATGTTTATGGCAAAGGCCTGTTTAGGGGCATACTAAGAACTTTAATAGTAACATCATTTCTGCATTCTGTATTATATATTTGTACTTGTTTGTGATTACAAATAGTTAATTTTTTACATACAGGCGAGAGTTGTATGGTCGCAATCGTCGCAGAAGGAGGTATGTCCCTTTTCTTTTTGTAACTTGTAGTTTGAATTGTCAGCTGTTTTGAAGGCAGCTTCCAATGGAAGAATTGGTGCCTACTTGACACTTGTATTAAATAATTTATTAATTTATTAAAAAGAACATCCAAGTTTTAATCTTTGCCACCTGCGACACTGGTTCTCTTGCCCACTATTATGAAGGATTTTGACTGGGCCTGCAACTAGATGGTACCACTTTTCACTCATTCCCCCAATGTTCTCTCCATGAAACTCTTGCCAGCTACAAATTTTTTATAGTATAAAATGCTCTAAGTAAGTGGAATATGGTCGCCTAGGTGAGCATAGTCCTGAATAGGACTGTTGTTAACACAATGACTGAGTGTAGTAGTCATCTTCAGAGACAAAGTAAGTTGTATTTCATCAATATTATTGGCCGATGCTCCCATGATACTTATCGGTCTGCCCCTCAGCATATTAAAATCTTATTTATTTCAGAGGTGCAGCCGGGGCGAAAGAATCACCTCCACGGTTAGTACAAAAAGGACATCATTTTGTTATGTAGAAAACAGTTTTCAAGAAAAGTCCTTGATCCTTTCATAAAAATACCAGACCAAAATATATTGGCAAAAAATTTCTTAATCAGGATCTAATATTGATAAGCCATGCAAACTTAAAGGAAAGAAGATATTGTTAATGAAATGTGCCAACACGGAATGTTGAAAAATTACCTGTAGATCTCAAATAGAGCATTCATCTTCAGGTTTACATACGATGTCTAATGGCCTTAGAGAATCAGTAGCAGGCCAAGGCACACCTTACCCACACACATGCAAAACATAGTCATAGTTACAATGAAATTAGCCTGCAATGAGACCATCTTGATAGAAAAGGAGCAGAGAGCAAGTTGAGAGTTTTGCCACGTGGCAAAACCATGGAATTGCAAGATGGTGGGAAGGCCAACATGAAACCTCAACACAAGATCCTTCTTCCATGTTACACGTACATGTACAAGTTAAGATAACAAGGCTCTAACTTTGAGTGCAGTGCAGGGACATGTCTCACTTGACTTAGATTACAGTTATGACAAATTCATCGTGTTGTCGCTTACAACTAGGCATCATGATATCAGCAAAGGCTTAGTTATCCACTGTCACCCCTCTGACAGATTATAATAAGGGATCTTTTTGTCAATGAGAATTAAAATTATTCCTGTGATGTCCAAATATGTCAAAATGTTCATAACAAACATTGTTATGCCAATTGGATCTTAAACTCTTGGGTAACACTACCTTTCAAATGATAAAAAGATTTTAAGTTAGGTATCACATATTTTGAATCTTAATCTTGGTCTTATGCAACAATCCCTCCTTAAGGTACTTGTATATTTCTTGTGGGTATCACTTTTGGTCACTGTGTGTAATGTCTGTTAACACCCACTGCTCAGAGGTAGTCAAGTGACAAAATTGAAAGCTAAATTAATTAGGGCATTTCGTTCTTTTAAAAAACGTCTTTTGCTGACAAGGTGCAAAGTTTCCTTCTCTGTATTATTTTGTTTAAGGCAATAATAAAATTTTCATTTTTAAAAGTTGCATCCTTTAAGTCATGATTCTGTAACTGATATAGAGCTTTTTCAGGTAACAGGAAGATGCGTTATTCCATCATTCTGCTTTAAGACCAATACCTGGAATAATACTGTAATTTCTAAACGTTATTCTAAGAATGAAATTGTGTCATCATTTCTGGCTGCAGTGAAAGCTTGTTTGTATTCTTTGTTGGAAAACTCTACAATAATTACAAATTTCAGGAAAGGAGATTTTTACTCCAACTCGACCATTGGAAAAGGCAAAGGACAAGCTCTCCCAACCAACCAAATATTGTCAGACATGATTTTGTTTACTTACTTATTTAATACATTTTTTTCTATAACTTAATCTTTATTTAAAAAAATTTAGGTTTTTTTTACCAGTTTATTCTAGGGAGCCAGCTGGGCCATAGCTGTTGTTTTCGTTTTTATTTAAATAAATGGTGAAAAAACAGTGTGAAAATTCTGGAACTAATTTCACATCGCTTTTCATAAACACTTCACTTTCCATAAACTGTCGTGGTCTTTGTTTTCATGGGTCAGTACACATCAACATTCCTGAAATAATTTTGGTGTTCACGGTTTTCTGAGTTTGACTATGAAAAAACCTCTGACAGCTTTTTTACAGTTATTTATTACATGCTTGATACTGTCTCGTATTTAGTTGTTTGTTTTTATTTATTTGTTAATAGTATTTCTGGTTTTATTTATAGATCCCGCTCAGCCTCCCCTCCATACACCCGCCGTTCACAGTCCAGGTCTCCGCCTCCCCGTCGTCGTTCCCGTTCTCCTCCTCGCCGGGATAGGTCACGCTCACCTCGCCGTGACAGGTCACCATATGATCGTGACAGAAGAGGCCGTCGCTGATATGACCCACACATTTCTATCGTTATTGAGTATTTCATGATATAAAACATATGTGCACTTTTTAGCTTTCCCATTTTGGTTTTTGCTTTACATGTAAGATTATTTTTCTTGCTTAAGACGATGTTGATATGGAATGTAAAAGTGCTACACTGTACATCACAATGTGAAGTATATGAAATAATTCACGTTTTCCAAGTTTTGTCTTTTGTAACCATTGTCACGGCGATTTTCGTATGACCTTGAAATGAAAATGCGCGAACCAAACTGAAACACCAAATGGACGGAAAGAGGGCGATTTGATTGGTTCATCGAACGGACACAAACGCACGTGGCATTTGGTTAGTTAAGCCCACGGACTTTCCAAAAATTGATAGATCCTTCCCTTGATGTCATACTGCTACACGGTTGGCCAAGCGAACAACGCCTCCTCCATATTAGGGTTTTCTTTTGCGGGAAAACGAACAGTCCATGTTTTGATCTTTCTTTTCATCCATTGGCTGATAAAACAAATAACGAACACTTACCGAAACTATTATTCAAGGTCATACGAAAATCGCTCTAACTCTTCAACTTCCAGGGGTGACCAATCGCTAACTTCTCCCTGTAGTGATACTGCTCAAACAATCATAAAGGTTGAGAGAATAAAAGAAATGATCAATAAGTGTAAAAGTTCTGGATAGTTCAACAGATTCTCCTCATTAGTACCTTGGGAAGTGTATGGAGAAAAGTGTGGAGAATATCCGTGGTGATATCAAAATGGATGACGTTGAGTATCATCTGAAGAATTATGGAGATCAAGGAGGGTTTTAATCAGCCTGGGCGGATAATACCCTCCGAAATCTCCATAATTCTTCAGATGATGCGAAAGCCGAATTCAACAATTGTTTTATTATTCATTCAAAATAATTCCTAGTTTAAAAACAAGCTATAAACATGCTTACCTCCATTGATGTTAAGTTCATCTGCCTGTTTATTGGCAAGTTTAGGAGATGAAGGGTTGTTCAATTCTGAAAATATTCTCCAAATAGCGGATGGCGTCCGTTGAGTTTTATTCTTGCTGTTCTTGCTATGTTTTCAGCTAATACTTCGCCCATTTCTTCCTCGCGAAACGGGTGAAATGTCCCTCCATTTTGTACTCACTACAAAAACAATTCAACCTCGTCCCCAGGTCTTCTTGGTTAACTATACAGGTTTCTGGCAATTATGCTGTAGAATTGACGTCATTTTTCATATATCGCTAAATTCTTCCAAATTTGGTCAGCATGAGCTGGTTATAATGAAGTATCCGTGGGATTTTCGCCAATCAGAAACGGAGAAATATTTTGAGTTAACAATAATGTTTTTATACATGGGCCTCAGTTTTGAACGGTTAATCTCGTCTATCGTAATCCATGCTTAATCACTTATGATTTACTATAACTCATTGGTGTGTTCTATTTTACCAAACTAGTGGTTTGATGTTCCTTCTTCAATGTCAAAATAATGTTGAACGGTGTAAAGCAATGGCACGAAAGTACGGGGATCAGTTCAAGATTCTAGTAACGTGCCCCCCCCCCCCCCCAACCTTTCTTTTCCTTTCTAAGCCAGCCTTGACACTAACTTCCCACTTAGGGCAGCATGAAAAAACAGCGTAATGTTAGAGAGAAAACGCCCAGAACACGGCCAGAACCATCAAAGACGTGAAGTACATGTGACTAAAATTTTGCATTACGGTTATGCCCAGCGTTATTAATGACCTCCGGTAAGGCAAACCTCGCTTCTCCGGGGGGCGCTAACGTCAATATATGTTCGGTGCACGGGAAATGAGTCTGTCCTCTTCCTAATAAACGTGGGTAGTTTAGTTTTATTAGCTTACAGAGGGCCTAAGAGCAAGATCTCTATTAGGGGAGAAGTCACGCGAGAGAGGCTTGTGAAAAGAGAAGGAAAAGCCACAAAAGGGGGCTTTGCGACTCGCTCGCGCGCTTTCTCGTGTGGAGTCTCGCGCGAGAGACACGCCTAAGGTTTTGTCCGAGGTTGTTGCTTGCGGGCTAGATTACAGAAGGTACAGAAACCGTATTATCGAATGATCACAATACCAAACCTGAATATTTCTACAGGCCGAGGTGCTCGTTCACATCCTCCAAGATCCGCACAGTTCTTTACATTGTATGAAAGCCGAATTCAATAATTGTTTTATTATTCATTCAAAATATTTTCAAGATCTTAACAAGCTAACCTCCTCGTAGACTTTCATCTAAACTTTAGCCTATTTTTCGGCACAGTTTCAGGGCATAAACACAGGTTTTTCATTTCCTTCAATTACTCCTAAATTAACTACTCCTAAAAATAGGAGATAACATCAATTCTTGCTTTCTTTCCGGTCAGTTTTAGTCAGAAATTCAGCTGTTTCATCTTAGCCGTGAACGCCATTTTTTAGTTCACTCGTGAATAAACAGCTAGGCTGCAGCACCTGGAAAAAACGTTGATCTGTGGCCTATTGACCAAGCAGCCTCTTTTCCAATCAAATACACCATCGATCAACCTCGTTTTCAATCAAATATACCATTGAAACGACGGTATATTCCAAATTTGGTCAGCACCAGCTGGTTATAAGGAAGGCTGGGGGAATGGAGCCAATCAGAAACGGCGAAATATTTTGAATGACTAATTTTTGTTGCTGTTGTATGTAACTGTTACCTTTCTATAAATTCACCCTTGATCATCACCTTAATCTTACTGCTACAATTAACGTTATTATCCATCTCACTCGTTTTTCTATGCGACATTTACCATTGTAATTACGGTTGCATTGGAACTACCTGTTTGAGTATTTTTATATTGAAAATGTGAAGCATTATTATTCGGTCTATAGCCTGGGCTGCCTGTGTTTTCTCATACGCCTAGCGCCCGCGCCTGAGATTGGAAAAGATGCTCGGTTACCAAGTAGCACCCGCGTATATTTGAACAGGAACTCGGACATCGCATTTCCCGGCTCTTTCTAAGTGTTTTAGGAGCGAACAGAAAGGACAAAAGACCACTTCGATGTGAGTAATTTACCTTAACTTAAGATAATTGATAAATTTGCTATTTTGAGTACTTTATACTCTAGCCAACATTAGTCTCCAGAAAAGACATCAACAGTAACAATCCTCGGCTGAGTTCCGCACTGATTTTTATTCCGTTGCCACCGAAATGCTTGGTAAACTCTCCCGAAATTTCTGTTGGTCGACTCGACAATCCCCACCTACTGATGACTCTTGCAGCCTATTTTAGTTCGCCACTCGAGATACGATAGTATCGTTGGAAAACTCATGCCCATTCGAGACGAGAGGAATTCAATAGTTGGATTAAAAGAGCGTTTTCGCTCACGTGCCCAGCATCTATGCAAATTTATCGGAACAAAAGAAAACTTTTGCATAAGAAATAAAAAGAGTTCAACTCCCATAGGATTGGTTTGGGACACCAACATGGCCGCCGTTTCATTGTTTTGGGACACCAATATGGCCGCCGTGACGTCATGTGAAAACACTGCACAAATCATTGAATTTTACCAAAAAACAGCCGCTACAGCCTGAAACTGTTTTTTTTTTCCGTTTGGAAAGTTCCGTCCGGGAATACAGGACTACTTTTTCAGATGTTCTCGTTGCTCCGGAATATTTTTTTCTGGAACGACACCAAAAGCAGTGCTCCATGTATTTTTCAAACGGATTTGTCGGGAAACTTTTTGTTTTTTAAATTGACAAACAGCCAGCACATTCCCTAGAATCGTTTGGTTGGGTGGCGTGGTAGGGGGTGGGGTCAGGAGCTATTGTTGACTCATTGTTGTGATGCACATTCTACTCCAGTCTTCCTACGAGTTCTAAATCAAAAGATGGCGACTACGTACAACGAAAAAAATTGAGCCTTCGCCAGCTCGAATAGCACGTGTGCGATGCAGACAACCAGTGCTCCGCAACATTTGCTCCCATCTCGGTCACATTAGGGCCAACGGTTTAAGCAACCACGTTTTTGAGCCACGCACGTCAACCGGAAGTGAACCTTTTGCACTCTTGAGCCGTGGTTTAGAACAAATTCTTCGGCAAAGCGTCTCTTGAAGAGTAAGGACACTTAGCAATACAAATTTGGTAGCGTCAAGATATATTAAAAGAGAAAAACGCTCACTTCCGGTTGACGTGTGTCGGCCAATGACCACAACTTGACTGCTATTCGCCACTTTAGTAACGTGAGACTTCTGGTGCTGTTACTAAGCACAGGCAAAAAACAAAAGGTCAATAACTGACCGGGGCTAATCTCGTACCCAGATCTCTTTTTGACGAAGCCGAAGGCGAGACAAGAGATCTGGGTACGAGATTAGACCGGCACGTTCCCAGTAACGATCCCACAAAGAATTGCGGGACACATTTCGGCTCCAGTTCCCTTCTCGTTCTAAAGTGGAGAATTTAAAGTTACATGCAAAAAGCGCGCGCTCTTTCATTTCGCACTTGTTAAAATAACTTTTAAAAATTGCTTAATTCTGTATGCGAACCGAAATGAACCGAGGTCGTGAAATAAGGTCTCCTGTCTTAGAAAGGGCAGCGAAATGAACGTTTTCTGTCTTGAACAGTGTCAGGGTTTGAGGGTTTTGGTAGTAGACCTCTACCCTTATATTTACCCACCGGGAGAAGCAATATGGAACTGATTTCAGTTTAAAATGATGTTCCAAAAGGGTAGCTTGCTTATTTCGATATGAAAATAGTAGAAAACACAGCCCCGACTCGTAAGAATGGTACCCGTTCTTCCTGTTTAGTTATAATCCGCTGTATACAAAATTAGTTTCTCTCAGGAAATCTGCCACACGGTCAAAAATTACATGACTCCTCCTGTGAACTGGTAGTACCGATCCTGAAATTATGATCAATTTGGATAAGCTTTCTCAAAGATAACAACAACAATAACAACAACAATGTATTTATTTAAAGAAATATAAAGTTTACAATACTTTATGTCCTGCAAATAGCTATAATGCTAATCTAGGCAGGACAATACTTTATGTCCTGCAAATAGCTATAATACTAACCTAGGCAGGACAAGGCTTTAAATAAAGAAAATATAAAATTGCACAAGAAAAAGATAATCAAAATTGTATATTAAATTGATATTAAATTGATATTAAATTGCATAAGACAAAGATAATCATCTTATTTGTAGCTTTTACTGAAAGAACTTTAAAAGTTCAATTATTCTGCGTGCAGCTCATAAGTTCTTGATCAGATGTTCGACGCCATTAATAGCAAGAACCAGCACCATAACATGAGCACATATGTGACCCTCTGGACCCCCTACAGGAGTTGGGACACATTTGACAGCTTCCACCACGGTAACCAGAATTACGACATCTGCAAAATTACAAAAATATATATTAAAATTGTTAACGGAGGTGCTGAAATAGTGAATCAAGAAAGCAAGAAATAATCCTAGCCACATTTTCACATAGGATCTGATAAAGACGAACCACATCTGGCAACATATGAGACTTTCTTTAGGGCTGGTCGTTGGTCACCTATGATGAGGGGGAGTTCATGGGCTCTCGAAAATTTTAGCCATTCTAGAGAGCTCCGAACAGATGTTTCCTAGAAAACGGTCGTTGGGTGTCCCTGGAGGCCGGTCATTTTGGGAAAGCTTAGAAGAATTTCAAACCTACCTCCCACCTCATCCTAGCTTTTTAGAATTGACTCCCCCCCCCCGCGCCCATAAATTTCGCGTAT